AGCAGGAGATGCCAACGCCTATCCCACGCATATCCCACGCAAAAGGCTGCTGCGCCGCAAGCTTCCGCCCGTGGGGAACACCAGTGCCATTCCTAGATCCAACGTCATAAGATCGCCTCGATATCATACACATCATCACGTCAGCTCTCCCTTTCTCATCTTCATCAAGGGTGAGGCTTACTCTTCTCACGGAATGCTACCCTCCAAATTCATGCGTCTTACTGTGTATGTTGACGCCCTCTGTAAGCAGCGCTCGCCCACCTATGGGCGTTCATTGCAAAGGACGTGTCGCCCCTTGCATTAGCCCCCTTTGGTTATTCTTGGCCTTGCGTTATGGAGGGTCGTCAAGACCGACTATTTGATGCCGACGACATCGGGCATATACTTGGATGGCACATACCGGGGTTGTGAACATGACACGGGTTTCCCAGCCGAGGCCAACACAGCCTGCAACAAGTGTGTGCACCCCGTCTTGCCTGTGCTCCCTGCCCTCGATCTATCCTGTACCTTTGGGTCTTGCCAATGGCGGCACCTGCGTTGCACTCAACCTTTTCTTTCACTCGATGACACCGGAAGTTGCATCGTCAACGTGGATCGATCGGTCCAGTGGCTGGCAAGAACACAGTGACGCGGGCGAGTAAACTGTCGACTCGCAGGATGGATTCCAAATGTGGTGATTTCCTCGTTCTACGCACCGATATGCGCGTCGGACTGCTGACCCAACACGCCAGTCGCCAAAGTAACTGTCGCCCAATGCTCGTCACTCGAGCATCTTGCCCAAGATGGAGGTCACGTGCAACGTCGTGGCTACTCTCTTCCAGGACTGGACTTCACACTGTGTCAACTGGTTCCCGGCAACAACGGCAGAGATAGGCTGCTACCTGGACCTTTGCCTTCATTGCCGTGCATTATTGCTGCCTCTTACCTTGACTACTGACCTAGCGGCAGTGGTGCAAGGTTCATCAGCAGGATTTTTTGTGGCCCAAGACAAGATCTCAACGGTCGATGGAGAAGAGGCCTTGCATGCAGCATCCATGACAGGTCGCAGTAGTTCCGGTTTACTAATGGAATCATGGACTCAATACGGCAAGTCCTGGGCATCAGGTTGCGCCGTTGAGGCTTATTGCCATCCCTGTGATCGTCCACTTACTACTGGCTCAAACTCCACTTTTATTATTATTATCATCGTCGCCACTTTTCTCTAGTGGACCAAGAGAAAACATTCTTAGAGCTCATGCAGCATGCAAAAGAGCTGCAGCAGCAGTTACACTGAAGGATGGATGTCCGAAGGGGGGAATCCTCTTGACGCAAGCCTCGTGCTGTGTGACATGTCATCAACCCAATTTCCGATCTGATGCGTTCCTCCAGCTGATGTTCCGCGCGCGCATCAGGACTTCCAAGTCTCGATATTGATGCCACGCGAGACTTCAGCTGTAGCTCATTTCTGTTGGGGGGGTTCTTGACGTGCGAGTTGCACATGTTGGGGTCCTGCTTGGGTTTGCCGGACTTTGCCAAAGTTTTCCCTCTGTCATGAACACCATTTTTCAGGCTGCTTGCATGTGAAGAATGAAGTACATCCGTTTTGGGAAGTAGAAGGTCTGATAGCCATCAAGGGCACGCTCCTGGATGGTTAGCAAGTCGATAGCGCTTCATCTTGCCCCGTAGCATTCTCGCCGGGCGACTAACTTGGAAGTGGCCAATGCACTGGCGACGTTCGTCGATGTGCATGTGAAGTGGGCTGCTCTGGTTAGCCAGACTTGCATGAATTCGTATTGTTGGAGGCCAGGGAGAGGGCGTGCCAGGTTGTCTGTCTTATGGACTGCTGGACAAGGGGGAAAACAAGAATGGGCAGTTCTCGTATCCAGCGGTTAAGGAATGGCCTGCTGGAAGTCCCAGAGGACCAAATTCCCATTGTAGAGGCTCACACTGTCTGAAACTTGATTCGAAAGGATAGCACTGCTAATATTTTTTGGTTTTATGGCGTCACAGATCAGTATAAGATCATGAACTATACGCAGTCATCATACGTGATTTGAATCTTATGTGACGGTAAAGTGATTGTTACGGAGGTGGTAAAGCTATTAGTTCAATCCAAGAAGTATGATCTCAGCCGACATTGCGCCATTGCGGACTTTGATACTCAAATTCTCATAGGGTGCGAATTTCAGCCATCCAGTACTGCTGAGCCTCGAGGGTGGAAAATCCTCAGGAGACTTTGCTTCAGCTCGATCGAAAGTGGGATACTTGCTGAGAGGCATCAAGAACTGATATCAGTCGCTTACAGCTGAACGGAACTGACTGTGTACGTCTCGCCAATGTTGTTGACTGCTTCAATTTGGCCACTGGTGCTAAAAGTGACCGAAGAAGCAGGCCTGGCCTCTCGTGATGCCGAAAAGCACAAGGGTTCTCCGTGATCTTCGAGTTAGCCACAACATATATTTGCCGTTATCCAAATTTGAACCGGGCCCATTTATCATGTGAAGTCGGTCCGACAAATTTGGTGTGAAATTCATCTACTCTATCATTTGCTGAACCGTTTAATAACGGCGGCAATACCTTTAAGCTGCAAAACACAGCCTTCGAGGAAGCCGCCTGTGAAGCTCGCGAAGACCTCCCCATTGCCCACCGCTTATTTCAGTTGTCAGGCCGCAACCTTCCGGACACTCTTAGATCTCGCGAGGGTTTGCCAACGAATATCCACTATACTCACGGTGAGCAAAACCTCACGGCCATATGTTGACCGAGGCAAACATTTACGCTGTAGGCAGGAATGTAAGTAAAAGGTTCGATTAAAGGGGAGACTGATCCTGAGAATCTGTTCTCACTCAGGTTGGGGAAAATTCACGACCTCGTATCGTGTATGTTACAGCACAGTCATGTTGCTAACCATGGCGTCGTTGCAATAATTCAGACGACTACTTAAGCTTTATGGTGGTCGATCAAGTCTCGCGCCTTATAGTCCCCTGATCATCTTCAATTCCTATACCATACGCATTGGCGTGATCGCAAAATCCCGCCCCCATCCCCATTCCCCTTTGTCATTTGGTACTGCCTGCTTGGGACTCCAATGGAAAGGTCGAACAGATGAACTATTGTCCGCGTGCTCGTTGTGTTGTGTATGTGGAGTTCAGGTTGTCGAAATCAAAAGTGTCTCATGTCTAATAACAATCTGGACAAGGACTGGGGCGTGAATGTGATCCTGACAGTGTTCGCGTTTTCGGGATTACAAGCAATACACGCGTGCTCTGGTCAAGAATTATTTGGCACTCGTGTTCATCACAACCACTTTCCAGTGCTAAAGGATAGGAGATGAGAAATTCAAAGGGCTGGAAAATAAGAGACAAGTATATGGGCCAGCGAGGCTCCTCAACTGACATGAGGCCTCTGACGGTATCTACCTCATCTCCTGCAGTCGGACTGCTCAGTTTCAGTACCTGTCTTGCAGGGGCCGTATTATCTCGTCGGGATCTGTCAGAGATGGGCTTTGCGGAAATGCGAGAAATCTCAAAACTGAATTTACAGGCCATCCATGAGTCAGTTGACACGGAGAAATGTGTTTTAACGGAAGGCTTCTTTCCAGCGGCCCTGCGGAACAAGCTTCTTCAACATTCAGCCTCTTTACTTGTCCTCGTGCCACTGTCTCCGCCGGCCACAGCACCGGCAGGGCGAGTTCCATCATGCCGTCTTCAGTCTTTTGGTCTGGACGGAGTTTCAGAAGCTGCACGTACCTAGTCTACTCCCCACGCCTGGGTCATAGCCGCCACCTTGCGAAGTCTCGGCGACCGAAGGAGAATCCATTCCCGAGCGGAAGAACTCACGCTGCCTCCAACATCCTGTTCATGCGCCCAGCGACTATATTCTTATGTGGTAGGCTGTATCGACGTCCAGCGAGGCGAAACCCAACGTCATAGACGTTCGTGATTTCAGCTGTCGCTTTTCTTTACAGTGCAGTGTCTCAGATTGACTGTAGCAAGCCAAAATCGCCCTGGTTGGGGCACACAGGTGACGGCCCACGTTGACCGGACTCAGAAACGACATTCACAAATTCGCCTTTCATAGTAGAAGACCCCTCTAGCCATCGGGTGTGATCATGACTGCTAGAGTGAAAGAGTAAACGGTCCAGCCTCAGCCATGTGCCCTGTAATGAATCGTTCTTGCTGTCTGTTTAATCGAAGCTGCCTGATATTGCAGAAAATGTCTGAGCATACCAATTGGCATGTACATACACACTGCCGGTTTGCGTTTAGATTTCATGTGGAGATAAAATCACTTCTCAATCAAAGGTTCTGTTCCTCTCAGGCCAACCTATTAATGTACACATCCGGATTCAATGGACTAAACATGACGAGTGCGAGGGGAGGGTGAGTGTTGATCGGACAAGTCGTCCTGGAAGCCACCTGCAAATCACGAGGACAGAGGCAACCGGGAGACTGGTGGGAGAGCCGGAAGACCTGGCCCATACCCTTGCAGAACGTAGAATGGCCACAGTACAAGAAATCACGTCAAGAACAGATGGAATGTAAATGTATAACCCCGAGTAAGCGGGGAGCAGCATGATATTCAGGCCTCGATCCTCGCAGTGGCGCAGCTAGCTATCCTTACAAACCGCGATCCTGTTTTCTCGACAATTTGTAGAGGGCTACAGAATGGGGCGCCAAATGAGCAAAGCCGGACCCTCAACGCCATGTGAAGAGACCCCAGAACATGGAGTCGAGCAATGCCCCTCCAGGGCCAAGCCACCGGGGCGGTGGGCCTTTCGACGCGACCACTGCAAGCCCAAGGCGACGGGAGTTGCCTCGTGGCCTCCTAGCACTGTTTGACCTGGCTTCCCCATCTGTCCACGGAGGTACGGACAAGTCTTGTCGGATCCATTTCCAGGCCGACGCCGCGTCCTCGTACACACCGCCAACACCTTCACTGCGTAGGGATAGTCATGCTGCTTTCCAAAGGGCCCGTACTTGTGACTCCAACAACCTCACAACTGCCGTCACGGCCATGTCTCAAGCGAATGCGGAGGCGCCGCCGCTCTCGATGGCCTCAATCTCCTCGGCGCTCCAGGAGGTCCTGTGGAAGCGGGAGGGGAGCTCGTCGCGGTCGAAGAAGAAGCCCTGAGGGGGGTTGATGGAGGGCAGTGCTGAGCCGGAGGCGCCCCCGATGCCGCCCTCGCTGGTGCGAGCCCAGGTCTTCTGGAGCGGGCCGTACTGCTGGGAGCGCTGGCGGTACTCGGAGAAGGAGTGGTGGGAGCTGGCTGAGAAGTCGGAGGGGAGGGACTGGCTGGGGCTGGCTGGGTGAGGCCTTGGGCTGTGGTCAACAGCAGCTGTGGAGGAGCGAGGTCAGATCAGTTTCGAGGTCTGAAAAAATGGATTCCGAGGAAGCTCGTGGCGTCCGGACCGAAGGGAAGAGGGTGGGCATGAGAGAGCGACGTACAGGGAATGGAGCGCTTTCCAATGAACTTGATGGAGGGGACACGCTCAGCGTGGGCAGCCGCCTGTCGGAGAGCTCGGGTCGCAAACATGTTGATTGTGTTTGTGTGTTTGTTTGGTATGTAAATGAAAAGTTGGCCTGTAAGGTAGTGGTTCTGTGCTGTTGAACCTGGCTGAGAGACGTTTGCGAAGGAGGTGGGCGGCTTAACTGTCTTGTCAAGATTGCGGTCGCGTCGGAGAATTATAAATCACACAAAGTGTTTTTGCAAGACCAATGTGAATGGGAGTTTTCGGTATTGCTGCAGAAGGAAGTGACGGACGGAGAAAGACCAAGAGGCTGGCTGCTGGATGGAATAGGGCGACGAGAGTGAAGTAGGGTGGGAGGTGGGAATGGGAGGAAGAAAAATGTCGAGATGGAGCGAGGTCTTGTTTGAAGGAGGTCGGCGGGCGCCAGGCGGGGGCTACAAGCGCGGGCATACGGGCACGGACATACAAGCACAAGCACAAGCACAAGCAGCCAGTACCAAGTAGGCAGGAACCGGCGGGCGATTTTCGGATTTTGGAATTTGGGGAAACAACGGACGAATTTGATTGAGCGAGAGAGCGATTGCGATTTCGGTGGGGCGACTGGACACCTGGGCAGCCAAGCAGTGCAGTGAGTGGGCTGGCAGCAGTGGGAGTGGGCAGGTGGGCTAGGGTGTTTATCTGCAGGTGGGTTAGTTAGCAGCACTGCCTGTGACTTTCCAAGGTTGGCTGTTTCTTTCACAAGCTTAGGCCAAGCCCTGACCATGAGCATGAGCATGAGCATGAGCCTGCAGCTTAACTTTTTTTTTTCTTTCTCACTGTGGAATTTGCCCACATGCCCACCCGGGCCACTGGGAGCAGGCACCGAGCGATGAACGGACCTTCCCTGCCACCCGCACACGCACACGCACACACACACTGCCTTCCTCCTTCCTCCACTGCCTTACTGCCGCATGCGGCTGCTGCATTGGGTCACACACACTAAACACAAACACACACATGTGCACCTGCCCCCAAAGTCAAAGTCCGAATCTCGGGGAAAGAGCCCCTGCAGTCCCTGCCTGTCCCTGCCAGTCCCAGGCAAAACCACGCCATTCCCTCCACACATCGTCCCATCCTTTTTCCCATACTTTCCCCATCCCGTCCAGGCCCCGTCCAAACCGAGGTAGATCAGTACGTACTCGTAGACACATTCAGATTACTTTACATTACTCTGCACCCAAAGACAGCACAGACACAGATGAAGAAATCGGGGGAAATCTAGGCTACTGTAACCCAAGCTGCAGTACAGTACCCAACCCAGTGGGCAGATCTGGAATGCCCCGCGCTTATCCCCGCCTCTCTGTGGGCCCACTGCAACCTGCTCCAGCCCGATAACGAACCCTTCCCTTAGCCTTTTAGACCTTTGTATTACTGTACTGTTTGCGCTCGACGTATCACATCATCGCAATATGTGTGTCTCTGTCTCTCTTCCTCCCCGACCAAGCCCGACAGCCCCCAACATCTAAGAAACTCCGGCGTGTCCTCCAAATAATCAGATCTCACCACTGTCGGACATTCATTCCTGTCCTCTCTCAACCGTGCCCCGAGTCCGGACTCCTGTCGACCATCCACCACGTATACGACGTACACCATCAACATCACCGCCACCACCACCACCTCCTCCTCAAGTGACACAACTTTTTGCCGTCCCAATGCACATGAGAACTGCTTACCATCATCTCGAACCTTACCATGCCAAGTCTCCCCACAATGGGTCGACGCGACTGCTTTTGCCCTTAGGGACGAGTCGCACAAACTTTACGCCTCCCCACCTTTTTGCAGTCCACGACAAATTACTCCAGTATACGGTTAACCTAGCTGCCTGTCACATGCTGACCTCCGCTTCTCCAGTACTTCCGGACTATCGTATCGGGTAAGCAGCAGCCGCAGCAGCAGCCGCAGCCTCTTGCTTGCTCGCCTTGTGTGAATTGTCTACAGTATCCATCTTGAGATCATCAACTTCAATGACATCGACCACTGCCAAATTCGAAAGTAATGTGCCCTACCTATGTGACACACGACACGTCCCAACGCGCCCTTGCCGGCTCCTCGGTCTTCTTTCGGCCTCGGCATCCATGCATGCTGCTGCTGCGACCCCAGACTTTCAATCCATGCACATGTGTAAAGGGCACATTCACGTGTACAATGACCCGAATTCGATACCGAAACTTTCCCAGCATCCGCCCGATTGGATGGCTCCCCCATGTCTGCTGCCCTACAGCCGCGCCTTACAGAACGCCCGAAGCTCATCTCAGCCGAGGGTACTCGAGGTGCAGGCACAGAATCTGTTACCACTCAACCTTTCTCTTCTTCACTTACCAATCCATCCGTTGAGTCAATTATCAACACAATAACCAAACAATTATCAGGGGATGACTCAAACGAGTGCAATCCCTACATTTCAACGGTGTATGTACTAAATTCAAGATTGCAGTAGATTTGGGGCGTGCATCCTCATCTAGATCTGGTGAGGTATTGGCAACTATGCAGACTTGCCGAAACTGGGGACAGCCTAATGAACCATTTGATCTACATATTGCTCAGATTATGTGGTCGACCGTACTTGATAAAACACTGTGTAAAAGGCATAGAAATACTGATGGAGAATTCAATAAGCAAATGGACATATTACAGAGCATGTACTGGTAAGGTGCCCTTTTGCTTGTATATATAGTCGAGACCTTTTGTGTTGTTGCATCGGCACTTCCTTTGGTGACGTATAATTTGCCTGGATGTAGGCGCCTCATTCTCTGTCAGCATTGAGTTCCTCAAGCATCAAAGTTTGAAATCTAATTCTATCTTCTTCCCTCAACCGTACCAGGGCCCCTTCCCCTCTTCCCAAATAAATGACTAATGTCCGACGAAGAATTTTGGCTTCGATGAACGAAGGTCAGGCCTGGAATTCATTGCTCAATTCTTTCGAGACCCTCTGGCTGGAAGACACCCCGGTGTCTCTCGAAAAATCAACACTCAATCTTCCCGAAGGCGGCTTGGGCAACCGGAATGTGCGCAAGAGAGACAGGCTTGAGTCGTCCCAGTGGCCCTCCCAGGTGCGGCATGTGTCCAGGATCGAGTCGTGGAGCCTGCGCATCCTCTCCATCAGGCCTTGTCTCCTGCGCTCTTCCGACTCTTGCCGCTTGCGCCCTGCATCTCTTGCCTCAGACTGCTGCTCATTGTGAACGAAGAGTGTTCGGAACGAGACGATGCAGGCGATGATGTAGGCTACGTAGTGTCAGCAACCATGACTTGATCGACCTTTTCCGGTAAAAGTCCTCAACTTACCAACAGTGAACTCGACGAGGAACCAGAAAGTTATCCAAGTGATGTTCACTTGGTTCTCCCCACTTTCGTTAATAGATTTATAGACGCCACCGAAAATACTGCCACGAACGATTGTAACGGCGATTGTAAACCCAACCATACCGAATACTGCTGAAAGAAGGAGTTTCTTCCGTAAAGTGATCTTGACTTTCCAGAGAATGTAGATGGGGAAAGCGAGAACTGAATTGCAGCATCGATGGGTCAGCACATGTATTCTGCTCAACGAGATTATACGAGTTGGCAACCTAGGAACGACTCACTGGTGACATCGGACACAATGTCAAGAACCGCGGTCATGACGACACGAACGTACGTCTCTCGAATGACAGAGAATGTAGAGCACTGCACGAAGACGGTCTCGAGACTGCCGAACATGCACGGGTATTGGAATAGCCCCAAGCAACCTGCACCACAGCCAATACTGAAGATAAAGACAATCCACCACACGACCCGGTATACGGCAATCTGGTTGCCAAGTCGATAAAAGAACAAGAGAAAGTTGAGTTTGATGAGCCAAATTCCAATCACACTCAGTACCGATAGGACTCCGAATGCCTTGAGGGCATGCAATCCGCTCGTAAAGAAGTTGGGCCCAATTGGCGCGCCATGCTCAGCAGCAGTCACCTCATATATGTTGGCTAAGAACAGTTGGCCCATGATAGCTAAGCCCAAATGGCATGCTAGGGCCAAGAGCATAAGCCAGTCCTCAACGAGGAGACGGTGGAAACAAACGTAACGAACATACGTACGGCCCGCGAAAGCAAGTAGACAGAGGGCAAAGAACAACCACTGGATGACCTACGATGAAGAACATTTAGCTATATACGACCCTCCGATAATTTGAAGTTCAGCGAATTGACTTACATGATATGCTTTCAGGGACACAAAATCAGACCCCGTATCGGTCATGGCAATCATGGCGGCAGGATGTAAGATCTGAAATGGAATTTGGAAAAGTGTATGGCCTCCCTAAAATTGCTTGCCGGTCACTGAATGCTTGTATTCTTGGGGGCTTGGTCGCTACTTCAAGATCTGGCCAGGACATTGGTTTTATGTTCGGCTTCAGCTCGTGGACAACCTATTCGTTGAAAATCTTGCAGCGATTTTGGGGCAACAATAGTAACAGTGAATCCACACTTCCGCTGCGATAGCCCCACGATATGGCTGGCGCAAGTTGCTCAGTACTCATTGGTGATGATGAACCAACAGACCTGACCACTAGCCAAATGGATCCTCCCAACCGTCCACCTTGAAGTGGACATGAGATAAAAATATCTCAAATGGCCATCATTGTGGAGTCCCAGTACAAAATACTGGAGAAACACTGATCAGGCTGCAGTTCCCTGCCCAAGGACTCGGAATCAGCTGGATAGTCTGGATGCATATTCTTTTACCTTCCCAGCTTCTGCCCAGCCTCACTAGCTCTATGTTTCCATGTTTCCCTGGTCTTCTGCCAGTTGACTGGTCCCGCAGGACCTCTCCATAGTAACACAGCCCAGGATAGCTTCTTCCTGGTTCTAGTACCACCATGGCATCGACACTCGTCCGAGTATCGGTCATCATTCTGGTGAACTATGCTTTCCTCTGTGCACTCCTACACCTCACTCAAAATGCGAGCGAACCTCTGCCGTGTTGACCTCGATGCCATTCATAGGGCCAGCTGTTGGGATGGCAAGACACAAGTCTCGGTTCCACTCTCGCCTGAGGGACAAGCTTGGCCTCCCGATCTACAACCCCCGCCTTCCAGGGGCCCGGATGTATGTTTCGAAGGTCCTGCTTCCAATCGCGAGTAGAAAGAAAGCCTGGGCGAGACTACGTAGGCGACAGCGCAAATGAGGCCAAAAAAGTAAAAGAAAAAGGAGGGAAACAATCAGAGCTTAATTCTACGAAGCCTCGTTTTGGGCACACTGGCTGGCTCTTGTCTAGACTTGAGACAGCCTTGAGAACGCTACCAGCGCTGGACTTGTCTGTCATGCGTCACTTTCGTCCAAAAAAAAAATATGCGCTGAGAGACGCAAATCAAGGAGCAAAGAAACAAGTAATTGTGCATGTTTGTATGGTAAATTCTTGCTGGTGCTTGCTTTGATTTAAACAAGCCATTACATTGCAGGCCAGCCCCTTCTGTTCGGCCCCCCCCCCCGCCCGACCCACCTCAGCCCAGGGTTAGGTTTCCACTGATGCTGAACGCGTCTGACGCGCTTGTTAAACTGTAGGTAATTAGTGCGAAGCCTAGGGACATCGACTTGGCCCTTCCGACATTCAATGCTCCTTGTCCATTGATGTACCTAAGGCGAAAATGCTTCATCCACGTCAACCTTGTCAACAGAAGATTGTCTAATAGCATTGGCCACGGTCAACTCTCCTTAGCTTCGTGGGACGTCTGCACAATGTCCTCCTCCAAGCGACAACGTCCTACCGCGGCCGACGATGACAACGATCCCTCCATCTCACCACCCCCTGTCAAGCGCAAGGTCCAGAGCACTGTCACCAGTAGGCACACCAGGCCTCTAGAGGCATGCTGCTGGCCATCAAACTTCTGACTGACATCACGAGCCAGACGGTGCCGTTGCGAACTTCTTCAAGCCCACATCCCAGAAGAAAGACCAGCCCCGAGTCGCCTGGTCAGAGCGCGCCCCAGACGATGATTCGCCTGCTACACTGCTTGTCGGACGGTACGAGGGCGGTGGCATCGCAGACGAGCCATCGAACAACAAGAGGAGAAAAGTCGCTGCGTTCGACCTCGACTCCACACTGATCACTTCGGCTTCTGGCAAGAAGTTTGGCAGCGACCCTTCGGACTGGAAGTGGTGGGACAGCACAGTCCCAGCCAAGCTGCGGAGTATCTACCAGGATGGATACCGCGTCGTCATTTTCTCTAACCAGAATGGCCTCTCCTTGCACCGAGAGCCTGGTGCAAAAGGCCCCGACAACACGAAACGAGTCGCCCCGTTCAAGCAGAAGATCAGCGCAGTCCTAGCCCAGCTCGACATCCCCACCTCTATATACGCCGCGACGGGCAGGGACATCTATCGCAAGCCCAGGATAGGCATGTGGAAGGAGCTCTGCGAGGACTATCACTTGGAAGATATCGACAAGGACGAAAGCATCTTTGTCGGCGACGCTGGCGGACGCGTCGCTGTGCCGGCCTCCGGAGGAAAGAAGGCCATATCAAAGGACTTCAGCTGTTCCGACCGCAACTTCGCCCACAATGCGGGTATCAAGTACCAAACACCCGAGGAATTCTTCCTCAATGAGCAGCCTCGGGAGTTTTCGAGAGATTTCGACGTCTCATCGTACACATTCCCGAGCCATGACGACCAAGTAGAAGATGTAGTTTTCGAGAAAAAGAACGACAAGGACATCGTGCTGTTCTGCGGACCACCAGGAGCGGGCAAGAGCACCTTCTACTGGAGGTACTTGAAGCCTCTGGGATACGAAAGGGTCAACCAGGACATCCTGAAGAGCAAAGACAAGTGCTTCAAGGCTGCCAAGGAGCAACTTGAGAAGGGAGAGTCGATCACGGTCGACAATACGAACCCAGACCCCGAGGTACGAAGTCAATGGATCGATCTCGCCAGACAGGCAGGTGTACCAATCCGATGTGTATGGTTCAAGACACCGCTGAGCCTGGCTGAGCACAATGATGCCGTCAGGGCCTTGAATAAGGACATGAACCCAGAAGCGAGGACTGCTCTACCTAAGCTCGCATTCAACGGATTCGCCAGTCGATTTAAAAAGCCGAGCATCAAGGAGGGCTTCCAGGACGTTGTCGAGGTCGACTTCAAGTTCCGCGGAACCAAGGAGGAGTTTGCGATTTGGGGTAGGTACTGGCATTAGGCTGTGCTGTCGCGTATTCTTTTGAACAAGTATGTCTGCCCTTTGGAAGACCTCGTAGCGTCATGGTCAGTCAGACGCAGTTGCACTGTCATAGCCATACCAAGCGCTGTCTGCCAAGACATTCGCGCCAGAGACGGGAGCTGGCTCTAACGAGATGGCACTCGGCAATCAACTCGGAACCTGGCCACAAAAGGTGATTGAGTAAGAACTCACAGTGAGCAAGACCGAGGTGGCCACAATGTCTAACGTGTCACTGCCACGTATGATCGATCCATTTGAACGGTGAAAGCGTTGACTGTTGCCCTACCTTCTCTTATTTAGCTTCGACTTGAACTCGACCTCATCTGGCGGAGAATCGGTAAAACCCCTGATCTGCAGCATTATTGAGTGCCTGCTTGATAGCAAGCGTCCTGAGACGTTCACAATACCTGCCACCATGTGCTATCGACCTTACGACCGCTACCTTTGCGGCCACCGAGTTTACCGGCCCTGGGCCATACGCTGCCGCGACAGGCCCTGTCCCAACAGTGACAGCTGGCCGAAGCGTCAAGACTGGTATTTACAGATACTCTGCAAAGAGTGTGGCCGGCGGAGACTTCATAAAGCAGCTAGACAGGCTCAATAAAGATGACCATCTTGATACTCAAACCCAACGTGCCAAGAAACGCAGATCAACTTGGTGACAATCAGCTGTGCATGTGTGTTCGCTCTTGTTTCTATGATTCTTCTTTTCCTTCCCGAAGAAAGGTCGGAGGGGTGGAGAAGGGAGTGGCTCAGGCAACGCTCAAGTATGGGTGTTCTGACTTGAGATCCAGATTTGCTTCGGCCGTAATTGGAACCCGACTGGAGATATGCAGACCGGGTCCACGTGTGGAGTTTATGGGGGCTTCCAAGGGTGCAGAGTACAGAGGTGCGTCTTGACTTATTTCAATAGCCACTACTTTCATGTACCAAGCCTTTTTAATCGTCAACACCTAAGCTCCTTGACCGGAGTAGACTACGACCAAGCAATTACCCGTCAAACTTCATCCCACGCTAAGCTATTGCGGATGGTCCTCGTCATCCCTTTTCCGATCGCCCTCCAATGTCATGATGATCAACTCCAGTTGAGAGTCCTGGTCTTCTCCTGTAGATTCCGACGAGGATGGCAGACGAGCGCAGTTGGGCGGCAGCTTAACCGAGCATCGCTGGCCACCATCTAAACTCATGCCCGGGCCACTTCCCGATTTGGCCCGGAGAGGCTCAATGCCGTCGTTCTCGCCGCTCTGGCTGAGGCGAATGCAGTTGCCTGACCGGCTGAGGCTTTTGCTGGCCTTGGAATTTGTTGTGTGGAGGACGCTGACATATCTGGCCACGAAGAGGCGAGCCCCTGGCAGGCATGCTACCATGACGCCGACAGTTATCTCTATGTATGACCATGTGACGGTCGCGAAGAATCCTCCTGTGCTCGGGAATCAGCTTATCGACCAGCAATAATATTGATTGCAATTTATAGATAGGGTCATTCTTACTCGTGGGATTCTTTGTATTTGCGAAGCTGACCAAGGTTTGTATGCGTATGATGCTCGTCAATGTCAAGCTGAGCCAAAAGTCAGTCGACTCACGTCAAGAGTGTTCACGTATGGATCGTACTCACAAGATTCCAATTCCAAACATCAAAATTACCCCCAGCTTCTTCTTCAGCTTCATTTGTAGAGACCATATCTGAGTCGCAGGCAGGTAAAGCATCCAGAAATCCAAGGCGATGTTCAGTGCCGAATGGGCCCACGCGAGGGCGTTAATGTTGAAGCAGTGGCCGCTGTGCTCGCCGTCCCACGACTCCCAGAAGTAGCTTATAGGCTGGCACTGGAAAAAGTCTGCCATGATGAAGCTTCCGACCATAAGAAAGTTGAAGGCTTGCGTAGCCCACACGATGCGGCGGAACTTCGGCTCCGGGAAGAGCCGTAGGTACAGGAACAAGATCGACGTCTTGATCAGTCCGAGGGTCAGGGTGTAAAGCACCTCAAAGACAAAGAAGACCTTGAGGAATTCCGAGATCCGCCAGGGCTCAAGGGTCCAAAGGTCCCTGCCCAGGCCGTAGCGTTCTTCGAGGATGCTTCCGGCCAGCCAGCCGGCAGCAAGGAGCTACGAATGAGTGTGATTGTCAGAGCTTGTCTTCACTGCGTTTACTTGGTAGATCACTGAGTATACGAACCCCCGATATCACAATTGTCGTATCGTCGTGGCCCCAAGGAGCTAACCGCATGGCCCTAGATGCTAACCTCATAGCGAAGAAGAACAGTCCTAGGAGAAACAGCACATATCGTAGAACATTGATAGTGACGGTTTGATTTCGGACAGGGAGGCCGCAGGTGGTCGCAGTGATGTTTTTGATAGCTGAGATAAACTGTCAGTCAGTCTAGGATGCCTTTACCATCAGCGTGTACTCACTTAGTGACTCTCTGATGGTGCAGTTGCCTGCCACACAAGACTCTACGACATTATTGAATCCTTTGTCCAGGCAAAGGCACGTCTCGTTGGTCGACGAGCAGGCTGACTGTGAGAGGGAGGCGACGAGGCATTCAAGCTATGGGACTACTGGTCAGCACGCGAAATAATGCCTTAAATCGTTGACGACACGACGAACTTACACCACAGCTCGGCATGCTAGTGTAATCCATCTACACTGATCTAGTGCCCGAGTGGCACTCGCGTGGTCCGGATACAGAGTTTGTTCGCGGTCCAAGTTCTCAGCTTTCCCACGTGGGAAGTCCTGGTGCGGACAAGCTGTGATATGGTCTTTGGTCATTCGGAATAGAAAGTTCATAGTAGAAGATCGACCCGAAAGCCTGGGACCTGGCTAGGGAAAATATGACATATTAGTGGATTCTGGGCATCGCAAAAGCCGTACGGTCGTGACTGTGAACAAGGCATCTAATCAAAGCACATTGATTCTGTTAGTATGTGATATCAGGGAGAAACCTTGGATTGAATAAAGTTCCCTGGATAGGACGTGCGCCTCAAGAAAGCCACGAACATCACGCCCCACAATCCTGTAGATCTTGCCTAAGCTCATCAATTAGAGTTCCCGCTTAGACACTGGACTCTCGACAATGTGATATAACGCAAGGCTTTACAAACAACATAGTGGAGGGAGCGGGGTCAGTTTGCAGGAAAGACCGGTTTCCACAGCCGGCAGTGTAACAGATTGTAATCCGATGCCTCGTGCGCACAGAGTCAGACCCCTCTGCCCCCAAAATTGAGCCTGCCCACAGCGGAGGAAAGCTCCACAAAATAGATAAATATCTACGTTTAAGGTTCACAAGCCAGATCAGCCGTCGCGTTCCCCGTGGCCCGGGCACACGGCTAGTCGTACGGATGAACTTTCTCGCATGACAACGCTGACGAGCCTCTGTGTGCCTTCGCTGATTTCTGCTCAAATATGCCTGTGCCATCCGTCCATTCCGTCTCACGATTCCATCTCGACTATTGTCCAAATACCGAGCGATTTACATACGTAAATATCATTGAGGTCATTCAAGCTTAATTGCCATCGGTGAATGTTGGAAATTCGCCATTGATGTTCGTATTCGAGATTCAGAACGCGGATGTATAAGGAGAAGTATTGAGATAATCCTGATGAATTCGCGCTCTACTTCAAATTCTGGATCACACGATTTTCAAGACATCCTCATTTCATGCTATCCACGCTTCAGCTTTCCGCGTGCTTCCACATATATTGTATGAAAGCTGGTACAATCTAGACACCCCGTGTCTGAAACATTTGAACAGTAGCACGTACTTTTGTTACCCTGTGTGATGCCGTTCAAAAAAGCTCTGGGCAGCTCAACGAAGGAGATTTATAATCAGAAATGGTAGGTATTTGGGTATAAGCTAAGTCAAGTATGGAGTAGTGGTCGTAACATACCCACTGTCGTTCGTTGCGTCTTTCTCTATCCTCCCTCTCCCATCTCCCAACCTCCTTCCTCATACCTCATAGCACATAGCACTACTTGTATCCAAGAGGACAGGCAGGCGTATCCAACATCATTATCCAATCGTAATGCTGACCCAGTCAGACCATTGTCCACTCACTCTCTTATCCAAGTTCCTCCCTCCAAGGTCTAGTAGCGTCGACCTTCAACTCTTCGGCATCAAGATCAACGTCCTCCCATTCATCACTCGTGCCCCCCTCCTCTTCCATGCCAGAGTGGCCAAGGAGATCGTCTCCGATGGGACTCACGGTCAGGGGCACATCAACAAACTTGTCGCTCCATACGCCCCATGAATTAGACCTCTAGTCCTTGTGCTCAACAACATCTCTCTGCGCCTCGTCGTCATGCACTGCCATTGACCTGATCTTCTCCTCGTCTCCTAACTCATTCCTCTCCTTCAGGACAGTCTCGTGGCGCACATTGTGAGTCTTCCATGCCGGCGTGCCGATGTAGCGGATGGCACCGGGCTTGGTGTCATCAAAGATGTCGTCGACCTCCTCGAGCGCCTTGTTGGCCGTCTCGGGGAAGAAGAAGAAGACATGCCAGAACATGGCGAAACAGAACACTGCGAACAGCACATATGTCCTCCATGTGATGTTCTTGAACGAAGGCGGCACAAAGTACGCCAGCGCAAAGTTGAACGCCCAGTTGCCGCTGGTCGTCAGAGCCACGGCCTTACCTCGCAGGCGGAGCGGGAACAACTCCGGAGGGTACGTCCACGACACAGGGCCCCACGTGGGAGCGTACGACGCGACGAACAGGTACGTGCTCGCGATAACGGCCTTGGCTGCTGGACCTGAGATGGCCATTGACTCGGCGTCGGATGGGAACTCGCCTGGGCGCGCAGGCCGCGAGTACACGGCAAAGAGACCAGCATTGACACACAGCCAGAGGCACATGAAGAAAGCTCCGATGAGCAGGGGCTTGCGTCGGCCCCAGTGGTCGAGCCAGATGAGCGCCGGGATGGTCATGCAGACGTTGATCACATAGTTGATTCCCGACGACAACAGGTTGCCGTTTCCGATGCCAGCCATGGCGAAGATATACGTAATGTAATACATCATCACGTTCATTCCTGTGTTAACGGGCCCGTTAATATCTTGTACAGGCATGTGGATGACTTCAAGACAACTTACCAGTGAGTTGTGACCAGATCTGCATGAACAGGCCAATGATTGTCCGGTTAAGCATCTTGGGCTTGAACAGCTCGATGTAACTCACGTCACTGTTGGCACGCTCGAATTCGACCACCTCCCGGATCTCCGCCAGCTCGCGTGACACGAAGGGGCTGTTGGGGTCACCGTGGCCATGCACAAGCGTCAACACCTCGTGAGTCTCCTCCCAGCGGTCCTTCTTGGCAAGCCAACGTGGGGACTCGGGCAGGAAGAACAGCGCAATGCCCAGGAGGATAGCCGGAATCATCTGCAGGCCCCAGGGAAGCCGGAAAGAAGCGTCGCCCTTGATGTAGGAACAGCCATAGCAGATGAAATACATAATCAGGATGCCCCATGTGATGGCCCATTGTTGCAGCGAGACGACACGACCACGCTTGGATGGTGGCGCGATCTCGGAGATGTAGACGGGTACCTGAGCAGAACAGATTCCGACACAGAAACCGTTGACAATACGACCGACGATCAACATGGGAATGTTGACAGCGGCGCAGCTGAGGATAGAGCCAATTACCCTAAATTGGTCAAGGTGTCAGTTGGTGGTCAGGAAACAGTGGCAATCAAATTCCAAGGGTCAGTTGCATTTGGGCTCTCTTACCAGATAGCGCAACCAATCTGGATCGAGGTCTTTCGTCCAAGACTGTCCGAGAGGAAACCAGAAAAAAGAGCACCCAGCCAGGAGCCACCGGGCATAGCAGCCGTGATGCCTCCTTGCACGTCAGATGAAGGGCCTCGGCATTTGCCGTCCTCGTCAAAGCCGAGGGTGTTGAACTTGCAAAGGTAGGGGTCGGTAGAGATAATGGCGCTCATGGATGAAATGTCGAAACCGAAGAGACCACCGCCCACGACGGCGGTGGCCGCAATGAAGTAGATGTTGCCGACCTTGTACATGTTGTCCTATGCCGGTGTCGCACAGGGGCGACGAGATAGTTTCGGTGTGGTCTTCTTTATGTGGATTTTTGGACCGCTGAGCGGTGCAGTGTCTCGGAGGGAATGTTTGGTATTCCTCTCGAGAGTAGGTAAGTGTTGACGACCGCTTGCAATGCTGCAACAGGGTCGAAGGCCTGAATCAGGGATAAGGGAAGCAATGGACATCCGCTGGGATGGTCAGAGGAGGGTGAACTGGGTGGTTCTTGCCTTTTATACCCACGTGCACTGTACCGAAGACAGCCTCGTGTCGATCTGCATGCACATTACATGGGAAGGAAACCTTGACCGGACCAACCCAGGCACAACCCATGCTCCTTCATACATGCGAGGTGGGCTTGAGCCGCGCCGTTGTAGCTCCGCACAGTCTGATAATGTTACAGGGGGGGCAATGAATTGGGTAGGATTACCAAGGGCGCGGGCGAAACGCAGATGGGGGGTGACGTTGTATCCAGGCGAAGGAACGAGGTCACCACATGTCGAGTGTCCCCATCGCTGAGCCAGTAAAGATGGGAAGACAGACAGGTGGATAATCCATGTCATGTACGTGCAGAAACATGGAGAAAGCGGGTTGGCTGAAGCCCTGGAAGGGCCGACTGGGCTGTCTGAGGAAGAGACAGTGACCACAGAGGCATGGAAGAATGTTGTTTCTTGTCAGGGAACCAAGGCAAAAGAAGTCTGTTCGGCCGAGGTCAAGCGGGTGGATCGATGTGCCAGGGTTCCCGGTTGCCGGCTGCTCATCATGTCGAGCCCCCTGTGTAACGTGCCGCGGTACATCACTGGTGATGTTTCCTTCGGACACCGTAGGAAGTGCCTGGAAAATTGGTTGGAGCTGAAAAGAGCTGCCCCCGTGGCTCCTCGCTCCTCCTGTCTGTATAGCCGGCCTTGTTGGAGCTGGGTTTTTGCCCCAGCAGCCCATTGGACAGGCGACAATACGAAGACAGCCCATGTCGTACGCCCAAGAACAACGTTCGATGCCTAGAAAGCTTCACCGCACCCACACCTGACGGAAACCCGTGGGCCAAGCCGGGCTGGCGTTGCTTGACAGGCTTGGGGGCCGGGCGACATGCGACATGCGACATGCGACAGCAGAAGCACCAATCTAGCGTGCCGGGGGTGTCGGGCACTGTCTTTTGAGGAGCGCGAGGAAGAGAATCCTTCCGTCTAAACCCCCAGCGACTCAACAGCTGGGCCTTGCTAGTCGAGCCACACCGTTGGTCATCATGGACCAATGGGCAGGGGAAGGAGTGGGCGCTTTGATTGCCATCTGTCCCACGGGGCCTTCAGAACTTGCAGGAACCTAAAAGGTGTACCAGATACACAAGAGAAAGGAATAAACAAGACCTGTTTAGATACCATCTGAGCTACAATGTACAGATTATCCCACAAGATGCAGGAACATCCACAGGAGGTGAAATGGGAGTCATCCCATACAAGGCTATCCCGCTGGAGGGTACCCTACGGGAGGTTATCCCACAGGAGGATATTCCATAGGAGGTTATCCCATAGGAGGTTATCCCATAGGCATGCGTAAACAGTACTGATTTCGTCACGCATGAACTCCGGGTTGCGAGCGAGCTGTACGGCATGGTAGGCCGCGCCGCGACGGACCAGGGCGACAGCTACCGCACGGCGGCATCCATCGGGACCGAGCCATCCGCTAGACGTGGTCGACAGTTGTTTGTTCCTTTGAGGCGAAGCTTATGGCCGTGCCCTGTCACAAGATGCGCCTGGACGCAGAAGATAGCACGGGTAGGGACATGAATAACGTGTCGTTGAAGCCATGCACATGCCTGACACGTTCCCCATGGAGAGAGAAAACTGGAATCCGGAGATGGTGGGTTGTGGTATGACTGTAAGCATGCGTGTCTGGGGTCCTGGAGTCTCTCGAAATGAATGGACACTCGAGACTGGAGCATGTGGGTAGTCTCATCTCCATAAAACCGCCAGAATGCGGCCGATTGGGCAGCACTCGGGATGCTACCGACGATCATGACCGATTCTGGCTTCCAGTGGTAGGTGATCTTGGGGAGAAAAACGGAGAGACCAGATTCCTGGAGACCTGGAGCAAACTCCATCTCGTCAAGTCTACCTTGAGATTCTCGAACTTTTAGGACAGAGCTGCAGCACTCCTCGACCTTCGACCTGGTCGCCAGGCCGGCATCTCGAGGACATGAGTACCCAGTTACATGCATAGACATCGTCAGTGGCGTGACGGGAGCCATGGGCCTCCTCGGGAATTAGTGCCAAGCCGGCCAGTACCCTGGACGCTACTCACAAGTTCAACGATCGATGAAAAAGGCTACCCGCGGATCACAGGCGCTGGGCCAGGGGATGCTATCCGTTTGATTTTTGGAGCCCGGCCCGAATCCACTGTCAAACCTTGTTTGCCTGGTATAGAATAGAGGCGCACTGAAGACCGTGCAGCCCCATACTGTACCTTAACAACGCGGACACGGCTTTATTCCAGCAATGAGAGGCTTCCTCTTCAATCCTGGTTTGCCTCGGTTGGTGTTGTCCCGGGCGGCCGGATCTATCTTCACGAACAGCTTCACACCTCGTCTTGCCGTACCTTGATATGGCTCGTGCTCAGCACAACAATCACCCCAGGGCTCGCGAGCCAGCCTGCTGTCGGACGGAGCCGGTACTTCTCTAATGACCGGCTTGCCGCGCTACCGAGGAAATGGTGTCGCCGTACAGTTCGTTCCTGTGCCTGATTATGCATTGACCACGCGCAGACCCGGACAGCCAGAAAGAGTATTGTCAACTCACGCTTCTGGATGCAATATCTGATGCCACAGACGATTCCTGGCTGGCCTATTCCTACGGCTATCAATGACATCCTCACACCACCCACTGGCCTAGATTGTATACAATATGGAGACTAGTTAGTCATGTCATTTCAGCATCAAGCCAGCTGACGATCCAACACACCAATCAATCCTACGGGCCGATAAAGTCACAACGATCTCTTGACCTGCTACAGCTCACCACGCCAACATGTTCCCGTGATACACCACCCAACCAGTCAGAATCTCAATTTTACTTGCCGGGCTTATGTCCAAAGGACCAACAGCCACAAAGTCTGTCAGCATGCAGCAACGTTCAGCCCAGCCTAGAACAGGTTTTTGACGAGGTCTGAGACGTCTGGTTCGGACCACGGTGGGCTTTGGCCGTGCCCGTGTTATCCAGGTTGGTGTTCCTTCAGGGCTGCGAGGATACCCCTTTCCGGCAGCCAGAAGGCTCGCTTCCCATTCGCACTCACTCTGCAGCATCCATGCCAACATGCATGGCACGAATAAGAGAAAACCTTACCCTGACCTGCAGCCCAACGATCCTGGGGCCCCGCGATCGTCTCCCGACTCCCCGCAAACTTCCATGCCGTTATCCGCGCTGGTTGCTATTTCGGTCAGTGTCGTTGGTGACATCGGCAGAGAGGTGCTTCGCGGACCGACAGGCGATTCAAACTGCACAGTAAGCACTACTTACCCGCGCAGATTAGCTCCGCAAATATTCGGCATGCATGAGACCGGGTCTGGTAGATCGTAGACGAAGGGAAGATTGTCCAGGGCCAGTTGATCGCTTTCTCAAGATATTTTTCTATGCTTACCTACTAGTAGAGCATACAAGTCGTGAAGATGTTTCAGCTGTTCTATGAAGTCGTAAGCATCCCAGGTCAAACAAGAGCTATCAGATCTCGATCTCTTCCTTACGATATTGCTAGCTACGTAAGGCGTCTCAGCGCATGCCTCGCCAATGTTACGTGACTTCTCGCTCCTGCTAGGCAATGAAGCTGCCGGTGTAATCATAGCAACGTCCGTCATACGAATCTTACTTCTCACGTGTCTTGAAGCAAACAAGTAGCAAAAATTGATTAGATCCATGGAGCCCGTTCACGTGATTTGCACGGCCTAGCACACATCTAGGACCACAACAGCTGGTGATATGCACGTTGATTATAGCCTGTACTTCTAGCCTCATGGTATTAGTTAGCGTGGCCAGCGCGGCCTTGGAGGCACTGTAGATGCTCTGAAACGGGAAGTGGAAAGTCACTGTCCCCGAGGTGTGGTTGGCGACTATAGCCCCATTCGTGGACGCCAACAGCAGTGGCATAAATGCCTGCGCGACAGCAAGTGGTGCCCAGAAGTTCAGATCGAAAATTTGCTTGCCGGTCGTGATGTCGGCATCGACGGCGGGCATCATGTAGTTGGCGCCCGCGTTATAAATCAGGATGTCGAGCGAGTCCACCGGGAGCTGCGAGACGCACGCGGCGATGGACGGCGCCGACACTACATCGAGGGGGAGAGTGGTGACGCCCTTGTGGGCGAGCTGTGCCATCTTGGCTGGGTCGTGACTGGTTGCAAACATGCGTAGTCCGGCTTCATGGAAGGCTACGGTACCGCGAGGGCTGCGCCCATGCTGTCGTCCGACCAGCCGGTGATGAGCACGGATTTCTGGGGTGGCGTAGACATTTTCGAGTTCCACTGTGATGCTGTCCTACGATCGGAGATTTCAAGAGAATGGCTAGGCGCCCTGTGTCGTGGGGATTGCTCGCTTACGTGTGCTTTTTATTGCACAAGTCGCATACTTCCAACAGGTTGGGGGCCGGCTGCATGACAGGCATCCATGGTGACCCAAGTGGAAAGGTTGAACACCAACACGAGTTGGTCACTGCCTAAGCGAATGACAAGCCTGGGCACGTTCCTAACCCAAAATATAAGCTCGGGTCTGGACTCGTTAGGGCTTGCCACAGGTCATTCCAGCACGATCCTGGCTGAGCTATGGAAGTCGAAAGGAGCAAGTAAAGACAAGGTGGAAACTCGTACGAAATACCTACACTGCGCTTGTTTGGCCAAAAAGTCACAACTATTATATTCACTTTGAATAGCTCTTCCGAGGCACGCACGAATTCAAGTATTCACTCTACTGAGGGTTGAGGCTGCAAAGCACGACAGATCTATGCTAGTACAACTCTCATAAACCTCTCTGGCCCATCACAAAATTCATAAACAGAGGTTGTCTGCACTATACCCAACCCCCAAACTACCTTCTTCCAACAAATTCAATGTTTCACACGTAAAAGCTAACCCATCCGTTCGCTGGCAACATCTACCCTCATGTCCCTCTTGATAGAATTTTGCGGGATGTTGCCGTTCAAATCATGACCTGGGTACCGATCCGCCTCAGCATGTGACGTGACAGACAAGAGGTCAAACGTGTCGTTTTCAGTTATCTCCCACGCACCACGAGGTTTCTTATGTGCAGCGCTACGCCAGGGTCTCTCGGTCCTGTCACTGCCGCCCACCAACTCTTGAGTCTTGCGTCTGCTCCCGTTGGAGCCCAGGACCCCGATTCTACTGAGGAAACTTCGTATACCTGAATCATCCGCGAATAAAGTGCGTAACAACTTGGGGATTGGGGGTATACCGATGATCAGGAACCCGGCCGTGATCTCCCCTAGGGCGAAGCAACCCATAATGGGAACATAGTATGTGGCATCATCTGATTTCAGGATCTTGGTACACCAGATCATTCGACAGAGTCCCATGACAATGGCGCTACAGTGAGGTCAGCTTAACTTGGACATTCGTTCGTAGACCGCATATCTCTTGGCAAAATCGACCTTCACCACGAGGCACCTAGAAACCAAGGGAGGGGCAACTCACCCAATTCCAACCAGGAACAATATTGCCACGCTAGCTTTCTTAGCCCTCGTCATATTCAGCCTCCAGATGATTAATTGCGGAACGGCCAGTACAGCGAGGTCGGAGACAAGATTGAGCACAGATGAAACTACATTCAAAATCTTTACGTCGATGGGGCAGTAACCCCCTTGATAGAAGACGTCCCAAATTTTCCGTTGAGGCGTGCAGCGAAATGCCCACAGGAAGGTCGCACAAACGCAATAGATCACGTTTGCAGCCACTAGGATATGAATTGTCCAGAACATAGCGTCGCGGTTCCTCAAAGGATTGAAGAGGTGTAGCCAGTCGATCAGGATAGCCACCTTTAGCAGCACAAGGATAAGGCCATATAAGATCGAGTTCGTATTGACACGCTACCGAGTTCAGTAAGCAAGTGTTGTTTTGGAGCACCACGCAGGAGTTGGACTATAATATAAGCCGCTGACCCAATTGAAGTTGTTCATATCCCTTAGTCTTATGTTCCATTGATGAGCAAAGGTACCAGGGAACATTGCCACCTCATAGCACAAATAGACAAATCCACAGAAGGTTCCCTAGAAGACGGTATATCAGCTTCTGATATAGACATTATAGTTATCCATATAGTATGGAAGGAAGTGTTTACTGACCAGTGCACAAATGAGCAATGCTTCTTCAATACCAAACGATCGAGGCTTCATCATCAGACGTGACCAGACTCTCAACGAGGTCGAAAGTAACACAAGAGTACTGCAAATAATAATAGCGGCATATCCCATGGCGTGCTGGCCTCCATAGTTGTCAAAATTAGGAACTACCCCAGGAGGGGGCACCATTGCTGGGTAATCACCATGGGGGTCCATGACAAATTCCGAAAGCGGGAGTGAAACAGAATGCGAAATGCATATGGGCGCCTTGATGGCGGTGGTGGAGGAACGCAACACCTGCTGACGCAATGAAGAAAGACAAGATGGGATGGGGCGATGGAATGAATAACACAACGATCGGCGCCTGGAAGCAAAGAGTTACATCATCCATAAACATGGGGGATCAGCCCATCACCCCTCATCAGCCGTTGCACAACAAATGCTAATTCAAGACGTGCGTCCAGGTGAACTTCAGGCAATATTAATTGTAAGGACGAAAAAGACCGAGAGAGCCTCTCATGTGTGTCTGATTTACCCGCAGCCCTCAAAGCGCCCCGGAGGACTTCGCAAGCGTGCTGCCGCTGTCTGCCAAGTGTAGCACGTGCTTACGCCCCCATTGATGCACCTGGGACGAGGCAACGTCGGCCTACGCAGCTCTTTCTGTACAGTACTCCGCAGTCCAACGGGGGGTGCTGATCCTCGCCTGCCGTGTGACGGCTCCTGCCACCATGACAGCTTCTTCGGCCCCCGTGTTCGAACGACATTATTTGCAAATCTGCAGGCTGTGCCCTCAGGTTGCAGCGTACGTTGCCGTGCATCGGGAAGCACTGGAATGGCTTGAGACTATGAGGCGGCCCGCATCTCGACCTGCATCCATGAGTCCGGCTCTCATCGGACGTGGAGCTTTCATTTGGGCCAGGACCCTTCGGCCTCTGCGCACTTCCATTCTGCCCGGCGATGGGCATGTTGTACTCGCTATCTGCTGCAGCCTTATCCCACCACAGGCTTTAGCCAAGCTGTATTTTCAATTAAGGGTGTGCGAGCCGGTGACCTGGGCGTGCTCCAGGGCATGATTACTGGCTGATTCCACGAGTCTGGAAAAGCCGTCAGTACCTAGGCGTGGTCGCTGTACGCACCGCCGCAGGCAACATCTTGGTGCCTATTCAGAGCGCTACTAGTACCTTCATCCACTATCATATGTTGCTCTGAGTTGTCTGGGTCCTCACTATGGCTCCGTGGTGTCTAGTATGGGCTACTACGTCCCCCCGGAAACGTACGCTTATGAGTTCTTGCTGTGTGTTGGGGTCAGACTTGTCTATCTGCATTGGTACACGGATATCCAGGCAAGCACGCGTTACGGATGTGGGCAGCAGAGGTCCCGAGGTCTGGCAGTGAGCACGCTGGTGGTACTCCATCTTGTGGGCGGGCTGACAGAACTGTCTATCAGTTGCACCCCCTTTGCATCCGTACCCCAAAAGCCATAACGGCGCCGTTCCCGTCGGTGGAACCAATGGCCGTCGTGGGTGTGAAAGCCAGACGGTCGGGCTAATTCCTACTGGTGACTTCAACTGGGCGAGGTTGATGCGTATCAGAGGGCGTTCTGAGCTAGAACTTCAAATTGAGACTAGTAGAACTGTCCGGAAGAAGAAGGTCTAACTTAACCTAAATGAACTTTTTGCTAATATCAAGGCTATTCGGAGCCCTCATGACCAATTCGCAGAAGGATTAGATATGCTTATTACAAATTTTTATACCAAGGAGATCCGAGCAACCTGGTGAATACCGACTGGCTTTCACGAGTCCATGTCGTGGGGTTTACATCCTGTGTTGAAAACGGACCAGGATCGAAAGCTGCAATTTGAGTCTAGAGCAATACCAAGCTGCTCGGTCGCAAATATGTACAGCTTTAAGAGACCTCAAAGCTAGGTAGCTACTCAGTGCCTAAGTGTCATAGGATTTAAACGGGATGGGCGTGCCGAGCAGGAGACATGGACGAGCACAAGTGTCTTGATAAAAGATACAAAGACTCGTCCTGTGGGTTTGTTCCGCTGAAGAGTTTGCCGATTGAATTACAAAAGAATGCATGGAATTTTTGGGCGCGGTTTTAGGAAGTAGTCAGGTGTGATGCGCAAAATCCGAAGTACCTACCAGACAAATACAAGGACTGATTCTTGGGACTGCCTGGCATGGTTACAATTTTTGGACAACCTCTCACTGCATTCTCCGTTTCGTTGTTCATACCCTTTTGCGCAAACTAATGAGAATTCCGCAGAACAAGGGATACTATGCCATGTTCCGAGTTCGTCTCACATGATTTCGTGCAGATAGTATGTCTGAAGTTGTGGGTATCTGAGACATACTCAAGCCTGCAAGGCAATTGCTACACCAGCTTAGCATGAGTTACGTTCTGATTCCGATAGTTGAAGCAGAAGTTTAGAGTAAATCTCAAAGCGAAGAGTCAAAGCTTCACGGCATAGTGAGTGTTAGTCGAGTTTCTCCTGCGAACGAGGTGACTCATTGTGCGTACCTCAAGGCTCTTTACTGTGATGCTCAACCTTTTGGGTGGCCAATTGCACATCTGTTGGGTCACATGGTGACCCAACAGCATCGGCTTGCTTGGTGCTTCAAAGTAGTGAAATGATGCTTGACAGCAATTTGCATAGGCATACATCGGTGGAAGCACCTCCTACATTCGTCGCACCGCGTTAACGCAGCCCAAGGGTGACGAATCGTATGTACCGAATGTCATTCAATCAAACATGAATTCTTCCGAAAATTTGATGCAGGCCTCCAGCAACGTTCATAGGCTGGCTGCTCAGCTATATTGGACAACTCTGTAGGGTATTAATAGACAGAGATGTAGATCGTCCTGATACTTGAAACTAGTTGCGCAACGCCCATCATGGAGTTCTTCGCGCCTTTACAGCTTGCTTGCTCCCGAAATACCGCAATCACGTTCCTTGGGTTTGAATTGACTGGTTTCCTAGGATATATTGGGGGTTCGACATGATGCTCTCTGGCGTGTAAGTCGTGAGCCATCAGCTCCAAAGAAAGCTGTCTTGGCTGCAGGTCGAGGACGCCATCATGATAGTGCGAATAATGTCCTTGAATGAAGACATGCGTACACTTTCGCCCTCCAATCTTGAGCGCGACACGCATGGGTGAGTTTTCGGTGAGTATGATGTGAAAGCATGTGGGGTTATATGAATGCGTCGTCTGAGAGCTGTGATGCAGTCGATGAGGATCTCAGACATGAGAAGTGACCAATACCTTTTCACGACACTTGGGCATGGGTGACGTCGCAGCTCGCACACAGGAGCATAGGATGCACCTGCATGTAGACACTACGCCGTGATACCAGGGCACCGGTGGTCAGGACGTCGACAGTGTGTTTGATTAACGCAGCGTGAATAACTTTAGACCACCTGCACATCACTGCAGATGTGGTGGTCCAACTTCTCCGTGGGCAACTCGGTGTAGCTGGCCCAACGGAAAGAGACAAATTGAAAAGAAGCTTAATGTGCTGTGTTGCTCCCAACACTTCAAACCTACATATATCAACCTCCCACTTCCCGATTCACAGTTGTCACGTACTCGATTTAGACAAAACGTCCAGGTGCCTCAGCTGCGTGCACATGAATGGCCATCCGAGCCGCGAGTCACGAATCACAAGTCACCTTGCATGCAGGAGCGTGTGTTCTCATCTCGGTGGGCGATCAGGACTCTGCTGGGCATGACTGCCCCTGCAGTGGTCTGTATGTCAGAGCGTACGTGGCCGAGTAAAAAAACAACACAAGGTCTCGGGGATGCGAGGGTATGCGAGAAGATGTGTACGGTCTATGACGGGCTCGGCTGGTGCAACTCAATGCTTGTCTTGTTCGGGCCTGTTGAGTGGCTGACGGTCAGCATCTCGATGTGGCATTGTGGGACAACCCAAAAACCATGAGCAGAAGCTGGCAGCAGGAAGAAGAGGAGAGAAGGGAATATCAATGGCATGTCACCCAGTCTTGGGCCGTCCATAACACAAAACATATTGATCCTCGCTTGAGCAACCAACCAAGAGAGAAAACAGCTCAAGCCACACTCTCGTCCGTCCAGAAAGTCGACACTGCAGACAGGGCAGATCATCTACGAAACAAACACATAAACACCCAAGGAACTCGACTGTTTCAGTATGCTTCCAACCCCTCGGGCCGCACCTAAATTTAGCGGGCGAGGCAGGCCACCAGCTGCCTCGCGCTCATCCAGTCTGCCCACTGCCGCAGCGGGCCCAGGCGACCGGGTCTGGTGGCTGCTGGCCCAAGCTCAAGATTTTCAGGTCCCGCTAGCCAGCAACGCCCAGGCTCAGACCCAGACTGTGACCCGCCCGGCCGGCAGCAAAATCAGGCCCAAGACAGCTGATCTTGTCTCGCCTTCGTCTGGAAGCAAATAATCCTAGGCTCGATTTAGCCTGATAATTATTACAACTTTCCCTCCCTCACTCCCTCTCTCTCTCTCTCCTGACTGAACAGACCACCATGGCACCGACATCGACTTCATAATGCTGCAGCAAGATCTCCTAGACACCCTGTTCTTGAATCGAAAGGCTCTGGCGGACGTTGGAGGGACGGAGACTGGGGCAGCAACGAGCGCCACAGAGGGAGGCAACAACGCGGCGGTGGTGACGGCGACGACAGCTCTCACGATGAACAAGGACATTGGCGGCCCAGACGCCACCGGCGGGGAAAAGTGCCCCGTCGACCACCGGAGTAGAGAGGCTTGGATGGCACAGGCGAAAGCTGCACAGAAGGCACAGGAGATCCAGGACACACAGACACAACCTCAGACATCACCGACCTCGAAACCTACGAGTTCGACATGGCAGTGGCCACGGATACCATTCCTCTCCTCTAAGACATCATCAACAGACCAACAACTACCATCATCACCACAACAACCACATCAGCAACAGCCACAACGGCCAGGCGGCCCCCTCGGCACCGACCGCGTCGTCTCCACGATCCCGCGCTCCCACTCGGCCGGCGCCACAAGCAGCGCGTGCCCCGTGAACCACGAGACGGAGACGGGCGCCGACGCCAAGACGGGCAACTGGGTGTACCCGAGCGAGAAGATGTTCTTCGACGCCATGAAGCGCAAGGGCCACGACACGCGCGCCCAGGACATGAAGACGGTCGTGCCCATCCACAACGCCGTCAACGAGCGGGCCTGGAAGGAGATCCGCGAGTGGGAGCGGCCCTATGCGTCCTCCACGTACGTTTTTCTTTTTCTTTTTCTTCTTCTTTTCCCTCGCCCTGCTGTCTGTAGGATCAGCTACAAAGCAAGATGTGATTGTGTGTGTGTGTGTGCTGACTCTTCATGTTGAAAAATCTTAGTTGCCCCCAAGGACCCATGCTCTACTCCTTCACCGGCCTCAGCACGACAATGTCCCCCAAGGCCCGCCTCAACACCCTCCTCGGCTACACCGCCCCCTTCGACAGGCACGACTGGGTCGTCGACCGCTGCGGCACAAAGGTCGAGTACGTCATCGACTTCTACGCCGGCCGGCCTGATGCCGCGAGGGCCGGGGGCAAGCCGAGTTTCTACCTGGACGTGAGGCCGAAACTCAATACCTGGGAGGGCATCAAGATGAGGGCCAGTAGGGCCGTTGGGTTGTAGTGAAGGGTTTGAGACCCTAGAGCCCGAGGAGGGTGTTTGGTGAGACGGGCGGTGCAAGCAGAGTGCTGCGCTGGGCTTGAAGGGCGCTACTTTGTCTGCTCTGTCGAAATGCGCACGTCTTCTGCAGCATCGCAGGCAAGGCCTTATGTACGACTTGGCTATACGAGAACCACGACCAATATTGGACGGCGTCCGAGGTTTCAGCGGCTGCGATTGACCAAGACTGACATGGCACTTGGAGTGTATAATGAACAGACACTGGGGTATCAACGGTTTGTTTCGTGTATTCTCAAATCATCGTGTAGGTCCGAAGATGTCAGGCATCATGTACCTCTTCAACTAAATCTGTAAGGGGGAAAATCATATCTCCGCTTTGCTATAAGCAAACATCTAACAAGGCTATGCTTCTGCCATTGCTCGATCCCTAAGTCCCTTACCATTTTCTATGTCCTGCCGCCAACGCCTTGCAAGTTTGACACCACCCAAAAAGTCATGACGACAGTCAAGACATCAGCCAACTAGGCCAGAAAAGATACATCAGTCGTGTTTCGCCTGCCGTGAAGGTGGTCGGTGGATGAGCGGGCCATGATCCTTTTCGCTCGATATTGGTGGCACTGTGTTCATCGCACATCAGCAAGCTGCTCCTGACTGGTTAGGTGAGGTTCCGTGCAAGGGGAGAAGGGAAATGCGATTGCGAAACCCCGATTGCGAATGGCTTTATGCCTTGTGTTGCCTTTTGGCATCCACGTTCTGTTTGGCCGCACTTGTCGCCTAGAAACTTCCATGTCCCTGACCGTTGGGCAAACCAAATCCGCCTGCCGGCTTCCTGGCACAGTAGTCGAATGAGGCAAAATGAGGAGAAAGGGGAGCCGAAACACGAAAGCCAAAGGAAAGTCGAACGTATCCTACGTGCCCTTGAGACTCTTCTCGCTGCCACCGACCCTGACCCGTACGGGCGTCTTGGTCTCGACTGCCGCATTCTCCACCTCCCAGCCCTTGTCCCTCAGCGCGTTGAGCAACGCCAGCTTGGTCTCACGGTCCACTACACCCGAGCCGACCAGGTGGTCGTCAGGAACCTCATTCTCGTAATGGCCCATGCCGCCGAGCCCGTCCTTGAAGATGGCTGTGTCAAAGTAGTAGGCGTGCGCAACAGCGTCGAACCATGCCAACAGCGGGTCGTTGTCCGATCTCTTCCCTTCTTTGATGGCAATCCGGATGGTGAAGCTCGGCCCCCACTGCCAGATGCCCATGAAGTAGTCCTCGGTGTCGAAGACATATCTGTGATATCCCCACGGCCTGAAGTTCATGACATCTCCGTACCCGCCAAAGTCAGCCGTTCCCTTGTACTCAGCCGCCCTAGAGGTAATGTTGCCGTGGCTATTGAAGATGATGGACTCGCGCTTCGCAACCTCGGTGGGAGACAGCACGGTCTTCGTCTCGAGAAACTCGCGGAAGACGATGGTGGCGCGCTGACGGTTCAGGGTGCGCATCTTGACGCAGCGCACACCGCAGTAGTTGGTGATGAGGTGAATGCCCACCAGTACCACCATCCAACACCACACGGCTGTCTTGTCCTCGACCAGCTTGACGAGTAGAGTGCCCGCCAACATCCCCATAAGGCTGACGACGGTTTCCTGGCTCTGCTCCTTCGCATTGAGTTCGGCGAGGTTCCCATTTGTTGCGAAATGGGCGCTGAGGGTGGCTTTGGATGCGCCAGCAGCGACACCACACAATGATCGCAAAACGGAGGCGGTGACCATGACGGAGACCTTGGGCAGGAGAGGCAAGGCCGGTAGCAGGAGGTCGAGGAACTGACTGCAGTCGTTGAAGATATCAGCGAGAAAGCGGTAGTATTTGCACTCGGGCTCGATGGCCTGGCCCATGCGATGGGCAAACAGAATGGTGGCGAGACGGGAGAAGGTATCCTGGATGATCTGCAGGAGGAGGGCGGTGGTGGGCGTCTGGCTTGAGCTTCCCACGCCCAGGCCCTCGAGGATGGCGCGGTTGGCGAGGAGGTTCGTTATGGAGGAGGAGAAGGCTTGCAGTGAATCGAATGTTTGGTAGGCAAGGTAGTCATCGGTTACGGTATGGGGGAAGCCGGCGGGAAGGAAGGCATAGAGGATAGCCTTGGGGAGAGGAGTATGCGTTTTCTCCTACGTCCAGTCAGCCAGCGGTCAATATGCTGCAGAGATAGAGTGATGTAGAGCATGGCGACAGCTTTGAGACAGCTGTAACGTACCACCTTGAGGCCATCTTTCTCGTTGCCAGTATATGTCGCGAGGACATCGCCCGACTCGTCGATGTCGCAGATCTTGCTCATCTTGGCCAGCACATGGAGGATGGAAGGGGAGACGAGACAAGACACAGGAGGCTGACGGGAGGCTGACAGGAGCCAAGTTGCTCTTTGCTCGCCGAGGGAAAAGTTTTCTGGAGGGAAAGGACAGACTGGAGGTAGGATGGGTGGGCGGAAGGATGGACGCAGTCGGAAGAGGTTTACCCAAATGAAGGAGAGTCAGGGTACAGTAATTAATGGAGATTGGGGATCCAAGGACGAATTAAGCTTTCGTCATCCTCTTGAACAGATCGATAGTACGGGAGACTCGGAGCTTCAGAGCAAAGAGACACAGGTGCCAACCACGACAGCTGTAGACTGTGAGATACAAGGAGGACCTTGGGACTATTTGCATTCCAGGAATTGGACAGTCAGAATGATCACAGGTGGTTGCGACCAGCAACTGTTTACTTGCTGCGGGTGCATGAAGGGACCAGCAGTGACGTCGGCACAACAGGGTGAGAGCTGCGATAAGGTGCTGAGAAACGGCTGATAAGCCCCAATCCCCGGGCTGGAGAGATCAGCTTAAGGGATCAACAGCGCTACTCAGGTACCCAGGTACTGTAGCTTGTGGGGGAGCTTGGGCCCTCCAGGCCATGAGGACCCTGAACCTAGAGAGCAAGATAGAGAGGGTCTGAGATGATTTGTCACAACGCGAGACCAGACCAGAGCTTGGCAGATGTCCTGGGCAATGGCTTTTACAAGAGGCAGATAGATGCTTCGGAAAGGGACATGTGCCCATCAAGCACGAGAACCAAGGGTTCATGGCTGTTGCTGTAGGTATTAGGTATTTGATCTATCATGACAGATATGGCTTTTCACAAAACTCCAACAGTCCAAATTTTGAATAATGCGCCAGAAAACCGAAGGCGTCTCCTCCCACTTCCTTTTCTCTCTCTTGCTGTTCTGGTTATTTGGTCCAGGACGTGTCTCGGTCATTCCTCGTCGGCCCTTGCCCTTGCCTATCGCTTGACAGGCTCACCGGTCTCCGAAACCAGGTGCTCGTCCGTCTTGATGGGTCCTTCGCCAACGCCAGTCATGATAACCCTGGACACGCCCGTCTTGATTGCAGCGGCTACAGGCTCCTCGAGGGCCACCCCCGCAGTCTTCAGCCCGGCAGCGCCCTCCTTCCAGCCGCCGACCTCTGGCAGCAGCCCGTGGAAGGTGCTGACGACGGCAGCTTCGTCCTTCTCCAGGTAGTAGACGACGCAGTTGGGACCCGCGTCGAATGTGTAGGCTGCCACGGTGCGCCCGGCGGCCTCGTTGATCTTCTCGACCGCCCTGACAGCGGCACGGGACACGTCGTTCATGTAGAAGATGGGCGGGTACGTGTCGGCGCAGCTCGCGTGGAACGAGTTGCTGTCGCGCATCGTCACCTCGCCAAACAGCTCAAAGTCCCTGTCCTTGATGGCCTTCTCCATGAGATCCATGTTCTTGGGCACGACCGTGGCGATGCGCTGGGCGAAGAGCCCGGAGGTGGCGACCGTCTGCTGCATGCCGGAGCTGGAGCTGACTCCCTTCTTGGCCGCGGACACGACCAGGATCAGGGCGCGCATGTCGGGCCAGTGCGACGCCTCGGCGACCAGGTCGGCCCTGGAGTCGGTGCCGTCCTCCTTGGACCCCATGCGCCACGCGACATAGCCGCCGAACAGGGAGCGGCAGGCGGACCCGGAGCCCTGGCGCGCAATCAGGGACAGCTCGGACGGGCTCTCGGGCAGCTCGTACAGGTTGGCAACGGCCCTGACGAGGGCAGCGAAGCCAGCGGCCGACGAGGCCAGGCCGGCAGCGGTGGGGAAGTTGTTCTCGCTGACAAGCTTCAGGGGCAGCGGGCTGAGCTTGGGCAGCGAGGAGTCGGCATCTTCGAGGGCCTTGCGGCGGGCCCTGAGCTCACGGAAGCATGCCTGGGTTCGGGCGCCCGAGATGTCGGAGGGCTCGCCGTTGAGGAGGAGGGAATCGGGGCCGGATTGGTCGGAGGGGCTGCAGGAGGCGGTGGTCAGGGTGCGCAGGTCGGCCTGCGAGAGGGTGACGGAGAGGGACGAGTTGGTCGGGAGATTGAGCTTGGGGTCACGCTTTCCCCAGTACCTACAGCCCGGACAATTAGACGTGAGGTTAGCAAAAGCTCAGAGCGGGAGGGTAGAGAGCAGAGTGGGGGGAACGGGTGTGAGGTGGAGGGGGGAGGAGGTGAGGAGCAGGAAGATGGAGTCGCAGACTGACTTGACGACGGCGATGTTGACGGGAGCAGTGGTGCTGGCCCGGTAGACCTTGTTGTCGGCCATCTTGATTATGAACACAGTTGTTTGCCTTCCCTTAAGAGCCGTGGGCAGGAGGTGATGGGAGCAGGTAGCGGTCAACGCAGCTATCTATTATATCTCCAGCCGCCCATCGTCTTCCTGGTTGGCCATGGTGGGGCAGCATTGAAATTGGACCCTGCCACGCCTGCCCACGCCTGCCACGCCTGTGCTGCTGCCCCGCATTGCATTGGAAGTTATCTGTGAAGAAAGACTAGGCCTAGTTTGTCTTACTCGGTACCGCCTTCACCTACACGAATATGTACCTCGGGTACCTTTCTCATATACAGCTCCATCCACATCAATTCGCCCAGCCTCAAACCGGTCTCCGACCTCTCTCATTTCATCTAATTAACCAAACCTGTCTCTAGAGAGCATTTCTTTGCGAGAGAAGTCCAGATGAAAGTATCTGTCTCTTTTTACTGAAGACGATGCAGTGCTCACTGATATCCGAGCTCTTGGCAGACCAGGCCATTCTCTACTCAATCCCAGCAGATTATGAATGAAGCAATCCCGAGGAGAGCACGCCCGGACTCCGATGGGCCCAGAGAAGTCCGAGACAGTAAGCTTTCACTCCAACGTATAGGAGCACTTGTAGTGGGACAGCTACAGCTCCAGCAATGAGCTTGAGGGCCAATAACTGGACCAACAGAGGTACCAGTACACACGCACGAATACTCTGTGCAACATGGCATGACAGCTTCGAGAAGTGTCTGCGCTGTGGATGATTGCATTATCACTCATGGTATTGGGTCAGATCTGCCTCCGTATATTCTACCTAAACCTTGAGAGATGTTTCAAACTGCCCCACGGGAACTTCCCAATTCGACCTCGTCACAAGCCACTTCGTGATGGCCTCAATCTCTTCGCCGATCTTTCGCAGCCCATCCAGTTCGAACCCATCGCCACGGACCTGCACAATAACAGTCTGATTCTCGGGGCCTCCCAGCCCACAGTTCAGGCTGAGCCCCAGGTGCGGTCTGACCACCGCACTCAACACCTCGTGGTGGTGATGCGGGTTCGTGCCCCCGATGGCCCCCTGGAGGCCGGGGACCCAGTTGTAGACCTGCGCCCCAATCACCTCCGGCACCAGCTTCTCGCCATTGCTGAGGCCGGCCATGATCTCCCTCAGCGGTGCGGCCGCGTACTTGGTCAGGAGCGTCTGCTCGCCCTGCACCCTCTTGAAGAACTGCAGCACCGTCTCCCCGCTCGATCTGTTGACCTCGATCAGGTTGATGACGTTCTGGTACGTCGGCCCGCTCACGTCCGTCGCCTCGAACAGCTTCGGGCTCAGGTCTTCCATCGCCTTGGGGATGAAGGGGAAGTACGTCCGCGCCGCCTCGTGGTTGGTGAAGAGCGCGTGCGAGTGTCCCGTCCGATAGACGTTCATCAGCGCCACCGCGCTCTTGACTACCGCCTGTGCTGTGATGTCCGGGAACTCTTTACGAAGGGCGTGAATATCGGGAGTATCGAACAAGAACTGGATGCAGTCGTCACCCTCCACCAGTGCGGCATTGTACTTGTCGCGCGGTGTTATGAGGGTGGATGGGAACAGGGCGCCAGCCTCAGCGTGTTGTGGCAGTGAGGATAGACGCCTGAGATGCCACTTTGTCGCAGCACGAGCCTCGACGCCAGATCGCAGGTTGTAGTAAGAGTCTGCCCATGGCTTGTAATCCACGTGAGGGTGGAGCTTTGACAATATGTCCTCGGTCGAAACTGCACCTGAGGCGATGGCTCCGAGCGCCCGGTCCATGTCCTCCGACGTGATTTGGCCCATGGACGCGTCGATGACACAGTGGTGGACAGACGTTACCATTGCAGCAGAGCCAGTTTCCTTGATGTCGAACAGCATGGTGCGGTAGACTGGGCCGGGGAGTGTGGCATAGTCTGGGTGGGGGTGGTGCAACGAGACCTGCCTCAGGTCTTCGAGGGTGTCGAGAGAGCCGCCATCTTCTACAACGAAGTCAAAGAACTTTGGACTTCGCTTCACAATCACGTGGAGGGCGTCATTCGAATTGAGCTTATCAGAGTCCCAAACGAGAAAAGATGCGAGTATCCGGTTATTCATCACGACGGCTTCAAAAGCTCGACGGATTTGCTGGAGGCACTGTCAGTGCCGACTTGCGCATTGGAGATGGATAAGAATCGGGTGTGCATAGACTTACCTCTTTGTTGAGCTTCTGGCTTGGGTTTATAGCGAAGTTGAAATTCCAACTGTCATACAGCTTCGTCTGCGACATAATCGTGCCGAAGTCGTAGGCAGGGATGATGTCCTCGACGTCTTCCCAGCCCAAACCTAAGCTGGAAATCGTCTTGACCACAAGCTCCTTCGTTGGCTCCAGGAGCTCAGGGTCTTCGAGCAGATGGGCCATATCCTCCACCTCTGGTGTGCCCTGGCGAGTTGGTCTCTTGACGGCTACCTCCTGAGCCCCGTTTGCTTGGCCAGCTCCCATACTCTGCAGCAACTTAATCTGGCCCTCGATGGTCCCTGCCTCTGCCATGGCAGACAGCGACAGAGCCTTGCCGGTCGTGCGCTTGATCCTGTCTCTCACGCGCATCACCGTGATACTATCGGCAAATTCGCCAACGGGAGCGTCGAGCCGGATCCTCGAAGGCTCCAGGCCAACGGCTTTCGCCCAGATTAATCTCAGTTCCTCGGTGAGGCTAGCTTCATTCCTTATGGTGCTGTCCACGATTGCCTCGCTCTTGGAAAGGTGTTTCTTGACCAATGCGGCGAGTTTCGCCTTTTGGATTTTGCCAGAGGTCGTTCGTGGATAGTCCTCCAAGTTGAGTGCCTTGACGGAGATGACGTCTTCCGGGACATAGAGGGTTCCCATGTGTTGCACGATCTCGGACTGGATCAGCTCACGAATCTCTGGGTCAGCGGGCCCTTTGATAACGCAGACGGGCACCTCGCCGGCGATCTCGTCCTTTACGCCGACTATCTGCGGGACGAGTGCGCTCAGCCTCGGGTTCTTGCCCAGAATGCCCTCAATGGCTACAGGTGAGATATTCTCACCCCCACGGATGATCCTACCGAAAGTCTGTTAGTATATGCAAAAGTGCTGAAGAATTTCTTTGACCCACATCTCTTTATATCTCCCCGTGATGAATGTCCGGCCCTGTTCATCCATTCGACCAGCATCACCTGTTTTGTACCAGAGTTTTCCGTCCTTCTCATACCAATTCTCCTTGCCTACACCGCCAATATAAGGCCCGTCGATGCTAGGTCCGCAGCCAGCGAGCTCTCCGATAGTGTTTCGCGGAAGTGTCTCGCCCGTCTCAGGGTCGACTATCCGCGCGCCGAAGCCTGGCATTGGCCAACCAACCGACACCTCGTCCCCGTCTACGATCTTGCTGAAGTCGTTCGTACATTTGCTGGATAACAACACGCCTTCGGTGCAACCGAAGATGTTTTCTGCGCCGCCACCGCCAAGTTCTTGCGTGACGAGGCTCAGTGTTTCTGGAGTCAGGGTAGAGCCTCCAAAGCTGACATTCTTCAGGTCAGATAGTGGTCTGTCGGGATACTTTGCTGCCTTGACAGATGTCAATGCGTGTAGCATTGTCGGGACCATTATTACATGCGTGATTCTTTCGTTGTAAAGCGTCTCCAGCATAGTCTCGGGATTAAAGGCGGCCCCAGGGAATACAACTCCGCCGCCCAAGCTTAGTGAGTTGGTGAGGGTGATAAAACCTATGGCGTGGTTATTGGGAAGACTGCAACAGCTGCGTTCGCCCGGTAACATGGCCCCGTCGAGCATGTTCCGGCCCACAAATGCCAAACCCCAGGTCGAATGCGTGCGGAAGATGCCCTTGGGCAGGGATGTCGTGCCGGAGGTGAAGAGAACTGACCCGCCGCCGTCCGGGGTCGAAGGAGTCAGGGCGCCGTCCTCAGCACCCTGGACGGTCTGGTCCATGAAGCTCTGGAAGGTAGTCCAGTCTGCATATCTATTGGCGCCAAAGACGATCTTGTGTGGAGGCTCAGGGAAGAGCTTGGACTCGTCTACTTGGTAAGCCAAGTGTTCGTCTCCCGCGATGACGACCGGCTTCTCCCCGTTGCAGACGCTCAGGGCTGTCTTGACCATGTGTCTGACTTCTTCCTCATTCGTCAGGTTGCGAGGACTGATCGGGATGATAACGCAGCCGAGCTTGATTGCAGCGTAGCATGCCAGCACGTAATCGGCGCTGTTGTGACAAAAGGTCACCAACGGCGTGCCTGGCTTCACGCCTAGTGGCTTCCATGCCCTGACGAGTCGATCAATCCCCCGGCTGAGACTCCTGAAGGACCACCGGAGGTAAGGGTGCTCACGAAATGCATCGTGGTCCAGCGGCAGATTAGGGATGCCGAAGAGTCCTGGTTGTTGATGGACGCAAGCAATAGCAAGGGCGTCAGGAGTCGAGGAGACGAAGGACTGAAAGTCCCTCCACATGCACGGGGGTTCTTCTACTTGTGGCAGGGGAGGCCCATATTCCTCGCTCAGTGCCACCACGCTACCCATGACTGGCAGATCCTAGTATTCTTGTAGATGAGTGCCGCAAGCAAAGGGACAAGATTCAGAACCGGAACACAAGCACGAAGGTGACAAATCAAGTCCAAGCAATGTATGATGTGGAGTGCAAGAGTTTCATAGACTCGAGGTGCATTTTGAATATTCGCCAGACGCCCATCACGTTTATGTATGTTGGCTCGCACGCCAACACCATTTCGGAAGATCGGATCAACCAACACGACCGACGACGTATTGAGGGGTAGGGGTAGGTATATGTCAGCCCAATTCAGATAAGGAGTAGGGGGGTATCCATGAAAATCTGTTCTAAATGCGTGTGTACATGGAAAACCAAAGCATGCGGACACGCCCGCCGCCGTTGAACCCATCTCGAGAACCATAGATCCCACACAATGACCAGTGTGCAGATGAGGGGACCCTAGAGCCTCGATGGAGCAAGCTGCTCTAGATTCATTGGATGGTGTCCACGCGGCCCGCCCCTGTCATTGTAGTCTTGCATATGGAGTCCACCTTCGCGTCTTCGCTCTTTGACTAACGGCGCCGAAATTCATGTCGTGAGATCTGAAGCCAGAGCTTTATACGACTGCGGCAGTCGAACGAGACTCCGAGGGTAAAAGTGGAGGCCAATGAATCTGTCCGACGGAGGTTTGCCCGGACATTGCTGTGGTTCTGTCTGGGAAGCCCGCCAATGCTGTCTGTAACCGGGGTGTCATCGGCCGCGATCGTCGGGAGGTTATCCCAGACTAAACAAGCTTTCTGCCGCCTGCATTAGTCTGTGGGCACGCAAAAGTGGCGCCGGCCGTGGATTGTCACCAGTACCATTTCGGCCTGTCATCCTGTCGTCCCACCACCTGTCGTGAAGAAAGACGTTATTGCCGGGTGTTTTACTTTGTTACAAGTGCTTATGTGATCATTTGGTCTCATATTTTCACAGCGTGATAACCAATGCCAGCCCACGCCACAGCCGTGCGGCCACTCTGGTATACGTCGTAAGGTTTTAATGCTGGATCTCTTGCGGTGTCTCGGAGACTAGAACACCGTTTATTTCCGACGCACATTTCCGACGTGTGGAAGTACACAAAGAACTATCGATCAGAGGAATCCCCATGTCCTCGAATCAACCTTTCATTCAATGCAAAGAAGAAGGTTAGTCGTCTGGTGGATAAGTTGATTGGCGCTGTGTTGCGTCAAGGACAGCCGTGAACGTCACCATTGTACAGCTTCTATTCTAGCGCTGACTGTGTAGCTACTATACAACCTTATTATTCCTCCGGCAATCCGGACACAGCCGACGCCCTGGATGATGCGGAGCTGCCAACCATACTCATCTGACTGACAGTCGGTTATCGATGAACTATGGTGCCAAGTTCCTTCGACGACAAGGGCCCCGATTTCCTCTTCAATTGGAAACTCAGCTTCCCGCCTTGCTCGTGTGTCCAGTGGATCAGCTGGGCCTTGCTGTGCGCGGTCCACATCCCTTGGGGGGCATCCACCTCCACGTCCAATTCATCCTCTTCATCAGAACGTCTATAGTGCAACCAAGGAATGTACATCACAATATCCCCTCCACTGCCAGCATCAATCTCCAGATAGAAATTGCTAGTTTTCAAGTCGAAAGCCATCTTCAGCATCCTGGTCCCAGAGCTGAGAGACTGGACGTACGGTCGACACCAAGCGGCCGCAGCTCTAAAGCCTGATAGGTACTTGTGCCTTGAGAACGAGCCAGTCTCCGCGCAGTAGATGGATAGATCCTCGCCGTTCCATTGGTCACCCCACTCCTGCGTGTTGTTGGCGCTGTACGCCCATAGGGTGTAGTTTAGGAGATGATTATCACATCCACTCATTATTGCGTCCATTGCTGCGACGTGACTAGTATAGTCGCCGTCTTTGTACGCCTTCCCGCCGTCAAGGTTGAATGGGATGCCCGTTTCGCCAATCAGCGTGGGCACAGGATGGCTGTTCTCGTCTTCGGCGCCGCCGTTGACGTCGTTGGCGAGCTCGCCGAGCTGATCCGAGATGACTTTCCGCACCTTGGTGTTGCCAACACGCAAGGCCTTGAGTTTGTTGCTTATGTCTTGTGGGCCGCGGAGAAGAGCTAGAATATCTATGTTCCAGTACTTGTGCCAATGGCCTTTCATGATTGTTAGGGCGTCATAGAAGTGAGGGCTGTATGCCATGTGCATGTAGTCTCCATGGAGTGTAATATCCGACAGCAGGCTGTGTGGTGGAGGATCGAAGACCGACGTCTGGAAGAACATCATCGTATTTGGCGAGTGTTTTCGTATTTCCGCGTTCCATTTCTCGTAGAACGCTCTCCAGTATGTTGCTTTCCAGTCGAATGGCTTACCCACATTCCTGGCATCCTCATACGATCCAGGTGGAGGATGGTCGAAGTACTGCGGTTTCTTTAGCTGGCCGGTTTCGATATCCCAAACCCCGTGCTGTGCCCAGATACACTCTCCCAGCTTCCATTCGTCGGACCTGTCCCACTTCCACCTCAAGTCTTCATGTCGCAACCAACAGCGTCTGCCCGGCGTCACTGTCATTGTGCCGCTCTTGTGTGGCCCAGTCTTTCCTAATTTGAACTTGTCCACGGTCTGCTCAATGCCCATCCCCAACTTCATCGCTTGGATAGGGCTCGGCGTACTGCCTATCGTGGCACTCGCTTCCCTTTCCATCTTGTCCAAATCTCTCCACCCGATAAATCCGGGCTCTGGTTCATTCATACTATCCCACCCAAACTCCAGGCCTTTCAGAGCATCAGCGAGCCTGCCATATGCAGCAAAATAGTGGTTCTGCAGGTAGTCCTGTATATTGACGCCGTCGAGCTTACACCGCGGGGCGAAATCCCTACCCCCAAAGAACAGCGCGAACAAGGTCAGCGCGGCCAGGCGGGTGTGATTACTTGTCCACATCATGTCCGGGATCGCATGCGGGTCTTTGTCCTTCCCGCGGCCGCCGTAGGTCGTGTTGTCGCCGTCTGTCGGCCATTCCGCGTAGCGCACCGCGGCGTGCGTGTCTGCGAAGCAGTCCGGGTCGAGCCCGCAGGCGTGAAGAGTCCACAGGGGAGCGCCACTGCCGCCTGCGAAGCGCGACCACAGGTCTTGGTGGGGGTTGATGACCACGCGGAAGTTGTGATCGTTGCAGAGTCGCACGAGGGAGACTATGTGTGCGATGTACTCGTCATCGTAGACACCTGGCCCGGCGTGCTCGAGGGCCTCCCACACGACCGGTAGGCGTAGGACGTTGAATCCAAGGTACCGCAGGCGAGAGAGCTGTGCCGGTGCATTGTGAAGGCTGAGTGGGCTACCAAGATACGAGATCTTGGCATGCGTGTCGAGTGATGAGAGCTTGTAAGTGGGCTGGCCAGGGGGGTATTTCCCGTCGGCAAGGTTAACACCTCTTAGAACGATGGTCCGGCCTGACTCATCGTGGAAATGAGTTGGCATGGTGTGTAGTGATGCGCGGGACCGCAGTCCTGTGTTGAGTCCAAGGCAAGCTGATGGTTTTGATTTTCTACACCAGTAGGCAAGGATGATGACATTCGGGAGTGCACGGTGCAGAGTGACAAACGGTTTCTGAGGCGATGCTCAAGCTTCACGATAAGTCCAAGAGATGTTCGTCTTATGTTTTGCTCTCTCTAGGACCTCGGTGACGTCAGGGAGCGTTCCTTGACTTTTGCAAGCGAGTCTAACCAAGTTCATCACTGTGGCTGGATTCCTTTGACTACTCAACCCGGAGCTCGGCATACTGGACATAGTCTGATCGCGAGCGTCTAAGAATGGGCCGTTCGAGCATGGGGAAACAGGCCCCTCACATCTCCTGGAGTGTTTTCGCAAGTTCGTACAAAATTACGCAGGTCTCTTGAAATGTCTTTATTTACTTGTCGGGTTAAAAAAGACCCCAATATGCACCGCCACGTCAAGTCTTCCTTCTCCCACGTGGGCTTCAATGAACCAAGTAGTACCCCAGGCGCGAAGACAACGTGAGCGGCGAATACGTGACTATTAGCATGCAACGCTCACTGGTGCAAAATCTCAGAAAATCACTAGTTTTTAATATGCAGACATGCACATCGTCATTCCATTCTATGACTGTCTGGCTAAATAGGAAGTGCTTCTCTATAGTAGAACTCTATTCGTTCGACTAATCTCTGGGGTATTCATAACTCATGCCAAGCAGTCTAGCTCAGCACATCGTAATGCGCATGCAAAGAAATGCGACGCGCATATAAAACAAACAACGAGGGTATCAATACTATGCAAAGTGCACAACCTCAACTCAAAATCTGTCCTCCAATGTGTACCAGAAGAGCATGACGATCTTATGCCATCATAGCGTTCTGGTTGTCAACCGTGAGGTCGCCCTCTTTCTCAGAGTGACGAGGCTTGTTGTTGCCGGAGCTCTCATCGTCAGAGGAGTTGAAGCCATATCCGCGAGCCATTTCGGCAATCTCGGCCTCGCTGAGGTGCGGCAGCTGCTCCGCTGCTTTGACGAACCCGATCTTCTCGTCGTAGCCCTTGGCGAAGATAAGGTCAATTTCCTCAAGGGAGCGGCCAGACGTCTCAGGGTAGAAGAAGTACAAGACGGGAAGGAAGAGGGCGTTGAGAACAGCGAAGAAGCTAAAGGTCTTGTCAGCATGCATTCGGTCAAGAGCTGGTGAGTGGCTGTTGGTGTCGACTTACAGGTAGGTGCCCCAGCCAATCTTTGAGATGAGCACAGGGGTAATCATGACGATGAAGAAGTTCCACAGCCAGTTCTGGGTCGTGGAGAGGGCGTTGGCACGAGCGCGGGTCTTGAGCGGGTTGATCTCAGCCGGGTAGAGCCAAGGCAGCGGCAACCAGGTCGCACCGAAGAAGGCGATGTACGTGAAGAGACCGACACCGGCACCTGTCGCGGCCGTCGGGGTGCCAGGAATGAGGCAGGCGAAGACAAGGACCATGGACAACATCTGGCCGATTGTGCCGATGAAGAAGAGCTTGCGTCGCCCTACACGCTCAACGACCATGAACGAGGTCATGGCGAAGATGGCGTAGACGATCATGTTCACACCGCCAAGTAGCAGAGCCAAATTGGGGGACACATCGAGCGAGTCCTTGAAGAGGATAGGGAAATAGTAGATGACAGCGTTGCAACCAGACAGCTGCTGCATAAACTGACTGCCGGCGCCCAGAAGCATACGGTGGAAGTGCTGCGTCTTGCCGTTGGTGAAAACCTCCCTAATGGGGGTAACTCCACCCATCTGCCCGGTAGCCTTGATGGCCTCGGCGATGAAGGTCATCTGGCCCTGGACATCGTCGTGGTGGCGCGGCTGGTCAGCTAGGGCCGCCAGGACGGTAAGGGCCTCATCGGTTCGTCCGTGGGAGAGAAGCCAGCGGGGCGATTCGGGGAGACGGAGCATCATGACGAGAATGATGATAGCAAAGACACACTGGAAGGCGATGGGGAAGCGCCAGACGAAGGCGTGTGGGCCATATGTGCAACCGTAATCGATCCAGTAGGCAATCATGGATCCAACAGCGACGTTGCCACCCTCGATGCAGATGAGCTTTCCTCGGTTGTGTGCGGGGCAGCACTCAGCCTGATAAGTCGGTACAGTCGAGGTATTGATGCCATTCCCTATGCCAGTGATGAACCGCCCAATGATGAATTGAGCCGTAGCACCATGACTTGGAGGGACAGAGGCAATCTGGATGATGACACCGACAATCATGACGGATGCGCCCATGAAGATACACTTGCGGCGGCCAAGCTTGTCGCCCATCATCAGGATGAAGAAGGCACCGACGAAGCAGCCAACAGCGTAGATGGCAGTCACAAAGCCTTGCCAGTTGCTGTCACCGTCGACCTGGGGGAAATCGTGAACAAACGGATCGGAGTCGATGATACCGGCCATAACACCTTGCTGAAATTCATGTTAGAGACGGTATGAACATTAGTGTTGAGGATGGGCCAGCTGGACATACGTCGAAACCGAACAACAGGAAGTCGGTTGTTGCCAAAGCCGTGATGTACTTCTGCAGGGTGTGCCCGGATTTGCTCCAGTATGTGGGCACGCCATGCTCGTTGTCCTTGTGTCCCGTGTGGGACATACGTCTCACCATCTCTTTGACCATTGTGCCTGATTTGGGTGCGAGAACACTTGCTCAGACAATGTAGATGGGGGTATGAAGGAGGAGGCCGTGGAGGCTTGATGGTCCAGTACTGGAAAGTCCGGGGAGGGAAAGGGGGTTCATTCCTGGGGATTTTGTTTTATATATTCATGCGACGACCGCCATGAGCCTGGCCGTAGCATATACAGTGATTAGTACACTGGTACTGCTGCTGCTGTATATGCGGTATGTCATCATGTGGGAGCAGGATCCATTTCTCCAGAAAAGGATGGAGCCTTTCTCGGACAAACAACAAAAAGATTTCACCCATCAACGTCATGGGTGTCCACTATCCCGCGGAGGTGGGAGTGGGTTTGTACGTGCAAGAACGTGGAGAAGGGGACCCAGTTGTGCCAGTATAGCTGGAGCCGAACTGGAGAGGACGCGGAGTGATAAGATGAGAGGTGAGATGGAAGAGATTGGGTTCGAACCTTGGCTGTTTGCCCAACGGGACGTGCGTCCTCACCGCAGGGTCCGCGCAGGGTCCTTGGTCGTGGGGCTACCGTGTATCTAGGTACTGTACGTATATAGCAGCGGCACGGCGCCAGCAAGGCTGCAGCAGACAAGGCGCCGAGCAATCCGGACGGTGCCCGTGGGCGGGAGTAAGGTGGGTACAGAAAGGCGGGTCGGGTGGGTCCCATGAGTGTAGATCTTCCCGACGTCCAAGGTGAGGGAGCAGGCGAGTGACGGGAAGGGCCTGGTTTGGTGTTGTCAAGATCTTACCACTTGCCCGCCGAGCACTACGTCGCAGCACAACGCCCTGGTGATCAACAGTTAGCCTAGAAGCATGCCAGAATGCGCAGCGCTCGGAGCGGCACTGGGCAACTTTGATCGGCGCAAGAAGCCGGGGTGTGCGTGATGCAGCAAGGTGTCGAATTTAGGATGCTGGCCACCGAGTGTTAGAGGCAGATCGGTTTTGGCCGTGGCCTGCCAAGGACCCAAGCGCCTGTGTTCTGGGAAAGACGCGGAACGCCCTCGGTTGTTGCTCGGTGCTACTAGATATGGGGATACGATGCTGGGACCCCGGTGTTGGACGTTGAATATTGGCGACCCAGACAAAAGTGCAGCAGTATGGCTTGTAAGTGGTCAGAGGCAGAGGAGCAGGTCCGTTTTTTTGCTCCAGCAGGAATCTGTACAGTCAGACAGACAGTACGTGCGAACCGCAGCACGCAACGAAGGCGGTATGTACGATAATGCAGGCCCTTAACTTGATGCAGGGCAGTCCGTCGGTACGTTAGTGTTACAGTAGCAGCTGAGAGATTTCGGACAGTGACGTCGAGGCCCACAGTTTGCAAGGGGGTTTGGCTTTGGATTTTCTGCCAACGCGTGCCAACGTCGTAACTCCTCTAAGATGAGGGTGTCGTGCCTGATTCATGTGAAGATGCGCCGTGGAACTGAAGAGGCAAAGGCAGAGGCGAACTATTCACTAGCAGAGATTTGCCCGCTAATCAATATTCCGTCCAGTCTTGTCCTGGCCGGCCTGCGAGAGTAGATTTACAGTAGGAATACCGAGTTGATTGTCGTTTCCAAGCCGGTAATGGCCAGCAAAAAACTCAGTCAGTTAGCCAGTCAGCCAGCCGTGGTGTCGTTGAAATGTTCGCTTAGTCTGTGTCGATCCCTGCTGTTTGAGAAGTCTGCCAATCCCACGTGAGCGGGAGAGGGAGTCTTGGTATGCGGCTCTCTGCCCTGGGAGTCTGGCGTCTGGGCAGCCTGGCATTAGACCAGGTAATGATGCATTTGCCTGCTTTAGTCATGGTGCGGTTTGGGTTGTGGGAAGAAGGATGTGAGGGAATGTTGTTTTTCCCTCGATGGTAAGCGGCCTGCAGGATTTGATTTGAGGTTCAAGCGTTGGGAGCCGCAGTTGCGTCATTCCCGCTGCTCGGCGCCCAGCCCTGGCTCTGGCACATGCAAGGAGCAGTTTGTCGGCCCAGTTTGTGTGTGTCGGGTTGGTCGGCGTGGTCTATGATGTATCCACTCTGCCGCCTCTGCCCGCCTGTTGCCCAGAACCTGCAGGGTCGGGCAGGGCTTATCCCGGCCTGGGCATTCCTCCCGTTGAATTAAAGTCCACATTCTGCTTGAGGTTCAGCGACCCTGGCTCGCCTGGCCAACTGAGCGAGAGTGCTTGTCAGCCCGGCATACCCTTTTCGTCAAGCCGGCTGCCGGCTGGCTGATAGAGATCTTCACCTTGTCCTTCTTGGCCGGATGCTGGCTAGATAATAACACGGCTGTTGGCAGGCATTCTCTTCTGTCCTTTGTGTCTGTCTCGTCTCTCTACCGGCCTGCCGGCCTAGCTGCTGGGTCACTGGATGTGTCCACGATGGCTGAATGGTTGCTTGGATGAACCCAGAGCGATGGTTGCGTCCCTGTCTGGGATAGACATCCCGACATGATCTGTTGCAACCGCCCCTGTTGATCAAGTCGATGGGTTTTGCCCTCTGGCCCTTCACATGCCGCTTCGACCCAGAATGGCAATTCTGCCTCTAGTCATTCAAACGATTAGTCAGGGCTGATCAGTGGAGTATCTCGGTCTTCCTGATGGGGACCGTTGGAAGTCGTGGAGTAGAAGCACGTGTGCAAGTGAGCTGACTTTGGAGTTCGCTGTTGCGTACACAGTGGGCAAAGGCCAACGCACTTGGCTTGTCTCGTGAGGTCGTCCAGATACCAGGAGCCTCTCCGTGCACCTCAGCAGTGCTTTGGCACCTCCTTATTGGCTATGCTTATCTGCCCGCGAGCTCCTGCTGTCGGGCTTTCTCCGAGAATTTCCCCCCAACCGTGCTCACTTTCTCCAGAGTCCAGGCTCTGGCTCTGGCGGCCCTGGAAAAGGCGGGCGCCGTTTAATCACGGTGAGGAAGTACTGTACAGAATGGACTGGGCTCGGAGCAGGATACTACCACGTGGTTCATCTGTTGCTCCAAGTATCACTGGCGAACTCCTGCAATAGGTTCCGGGCGTACAAGCCATCGCAATTGCTGGGGCAGTGCCATAGCATCCCCGGACATACCTGCGTGGAACACCAGATACCCAACGGCAAGTCGTTGCCGCGCTTACCAACGGGACCAGTTATGGGATCCACACATCGACCCAGGGAAAAGAGCGGCCCTGGAATTGTCTGACGACGGGATGCCTCAGACGGTGGAGTAGACTCCTGCGGTCGCCGTCTTGGCGCGCCGAACGCCCAGCCTGAGGGCAGGATTGACGGCGTGCAGGCTTGACGAGGAACCGGATGATGACCGCTGCCCGCGTGTTTTGGCCGGTTGATGCAGGGGACAAACGCTTTCGCAGGAGGGGATCATGCCGGAAGCACACCATTCTTTACTAAGACCAAGAGACTTACATCTTCTGCGAGTACTGCAAATATACGTAAGTCGGACTACGTAATGTCGGCTTGCAGATCTTATTGAAAGGCGGTGACACATGAAAAACAGGCCGGCCCGGGAAAGAAAGCCGAGATAGAAATATGAGGCCGCGCGCCGCTTCCACAAATCTCGGCAGGACGAGGATGTCGGCGGGCCGGCGATCCGTTCACGTCGAAGCCAGGAAATGCCCAGGACACAGTTATGCAAGAATATTATTGGTCGAGTACAATTTACCAAGTAGCTTAAATCACTTTTAAACTCCTTACCCTCCTCCCACTTTGCGCCTTGCTCCTTTCCTCATCCAAACCTAGGCCCTGATGAATTTTGGCTGATGGCTCAACTGGAAATCAGTCGTGGTCAGCTCTCCAACTCCAACCTCCATCCAAACCTTCTCCTCGAGACTCTGTCTTACCTCGCTCCAATTGGCCATGCTATATGGCATGGCATGACCTGCCTTCCAGTGAGGTGCTAACGGTGGAATATCTGCCGACGACATATCGAAGTCCCCTTCCTCTCCTTCTTCCTGCACGGCACTTGCGTCTTGACAACTGTCAAGCCTCTTCCTCAGGCTCTCAAAATCAGGGAGCTTGGTGAGTCCTCTGCCCACTATCGCATCTTCATGCCTTACAAGCCCATAACCCCAAAGGCCCGACTTGATGTCTGGCGAGTCATAGAACTCGTATGCGATGCCACCGGAGAACACGCGCGTCATTGCAGGTGAGTATATGGCCGAAGTCTCTTGGAAGATGCGTTTGCCGCACGCGCCCAGATTGCATCCGTACTGGGAGAAGAAGACGGGAATATGTGCATCGTCAAAGGTCTTGAGCTCCTGCTTGTAGCCAGAGATGTGAAGTGTTGATTGGCCGCACCAGTTGAAGTTTGCATACTGCCATGGTGTTAGCCACTTCGATATGTTGCGATATCTCAAAAGGAAGGTGAGGACGTACACAGAAGAAGTCAACCGTCTCATCTTCTATCCCAGCCGTAAAGTAATCAAAAGCCGTCCTAAGGATCAGTCTGCTTGTTGAAGCGCTGTATCCAATGGGAAGCTGTCGCTGCCCAGTTATCTCATTGGCTGTGGCCATGTACTTTTTGACATCCCTAATGACCGTCTTGATCATAGGTGCTAAAGCAGTCTGATAAATTGTGCTCATTGCACCATTGGCCACAATGATTCCTAGTGTGTTTGGGTACTGAGACATAGAGTCTATCGTGGCAAAACAGTCTTCGAGCAATTGTGAATTGTAAGGACGGAAAGTTGTCGTCGTCCCTGAGTCATCGCTTGTGCATGATGATGTTGGCAGGCTCTTTGATATTTGGTTAACCTCCTATCTGATTGTTGAGAGCCCCATGGGGCAGGGATACTTACAATTAGCACATATATGCCAGCATCTGCTAGGAGCTGCATGGCGGCATTGTGGTTTCTTGAGCTGTCAATGTGGTCTACGACCCGCATTAGGACTTGCCATACAGTCAACAGGATACGGAGTCCGGAGACTGCTTACATATGAACAGAGTGTTCAGCCCCAATTGCTTGAATAGAGTGATATCTCGGTGAAGGTCTTCCAAACGCTCATCCACGAGTGGGTCAAGAGGTCCCTGGCCGTGAAGGCGGTAGACCACGCCTTTGATGAGGAACTGGAGAACCGGGTTAGAAAATCAACAGGCTGATAATGCCATTGATGGGCACTCACTCGCTGGTCTCCCTTGAAGAAGTATCGCCCCTTGGAGTGGATGGGAGTGATGATATCACTCTGCCCTTGGATGACACCCATGGTTGATGATGTGTTGATGTGTTGATGAGACCAAGATCTAAGGAAGTGTGCTCAGTATTGTGTTATCTCTGATCCACGATAGGAGTCGCTGAAGCTGCCCATTGTGAGAGGAGCACATGGCGCGGCCATTATATATCATTTTGGTTGGCGGTGGCACCAGGGAACCCGCGATGCCGTGTTTGTTTCATCAGAGCGCAGCGCACTTCGACAACATCAGCAATGAAGCACGCCAGATCCAGATCCAGTGCATAACAGACGACGATTTACGTAAATGAGCCTCTTTTTTTGGCCAGTCCGTTGCAAGTTCTGGCAACGTGACGGAGTGAGGTGAAGCATTGACGACAAGGGTGAATTCATGTGACACGGTGAGGTTCTCCAAACGCTCCCGGCTTGGGACAATGGCACAATTCCAATTACGTTATAGCCGTTTGGCCTGGTTTCTCTGGGGTAATATTGGGGTAATTCTGGGGTAATGGATCCAAATGACTCCAATCTTGCGTGTCATTCGTAATTTTGTGCATGCTTTCTACAATGTTCGAGACTCAGGGGCCCTCAGGCCCGATGCAAGCCATCGACAAAGCTTCCACTCCTGTATCGACACGCGGGTGACAGTCTGCCGTATCTCGACCTCAACGTGTGTCGGTACGGCCCGCATTGTACCTTTTCGCGGCCATCTCGTCCGTCCTTGCTCCCCCTTTCAACCCTCATTCCATTTGACGCTATTGCCATCTCCTGCCACCTGGGCAGCCTGCACTCCGCGCCCAGGACTTAAGTACAACTTGGCGCAGTTGCGAGCACCGTCGTGATACGCAGAAGGATAGTAAGCGTCCTGTTGTGAGACTCTGTCACGAGCCCCACGTCAATATGCGCAATCCTTCGACTTGGCCCACAAAACCGGTGTGCTGTTCAGCGCCGCATGTCCCTCTCTAATGACCAACTCGAAGAGCGAGCGTACTTGTACAACAGCTCGTGTGGTTTACGTGGCTCATCAGCTTGATGCTATGCCCCTTAAACTTTGCAATTGACCACATGCCCAAGAGCACTGTTCAGAGGTAAGTCAATCCACAACCCCGTATTTCGTCAAGCCGCATGACTCGGCATTTCGGTATTTGACAAGGGCGGTTGGATACGGCTAACCCCTGAGACACTGCATCTGTGCTGCATAGGACTCCCAACATGTACACTAGGGTGGCGGGTTACCCGAACCACTCTCTTGGGTTGGTACCATGTTCTGCTGCCTTGACTTGCATCTTGCGGGAAAACCTTCCAATATTAGATCAACTTTCCGCCAGCATAGCTTGTAGGCCTGACCGTCTAAGGGCTTACGAAGAAAATGGATTCAATATGACCTCGTCATGCTCCGCCGAGAACAATGCCGGCAGACAAATAAACTCTGTCCTGTGACGCGACAGACCTGCTTGACGAAGTTGCTACAGCACCTGAGATGATCTACTAATTGCGACACCTTCGTCCGCCCGTCGAGAGCCATCCACTTGCAACCAAAGAAGGCAGTTGGATCGAGGAACCCACTGGCCACCTCGAGATTATACAGACATCACAACTTCAGCTGATGATGAGGCGATGTCCGCGTGTAAATAAGCGTCTCATGGGATGGAGACAAATGGTCACAAGTCCTAAGGCAAAATTTTGTCTGCCCTTCCTTCTATGCTTCCTCCTTTCTTCGTCATTCCGAGACAAATTTGCCACGGCCTCCTCCATGATATTCTGGGTTGTTTTTGGTTGAAGTTCAGTTCTAGCTCATGGCTGAGAGCGCCGGTGGTTGGACCAAACTTTGCGCAAAGAACGTCAGTTTTAGTCATGGCTGTCGCATAAATGCTACCTAGGTGCCTAGCTGACCTGGAAGGAATGTCTAGTCTAATTGCTACGTGTGTTTGTGTGCATTCCACAGCATGATGAAATATGCCATGTGGTCGAGGAGTGTGCATTGCTATAGACAAAATTTGTGTGCCTGTGGAGAATGTCTTCCCAAATATGATCACCTTGTCCGTCAAGCGGATGCAAAGTGGGCAAGTCAATCCGACCGTCAACCCGACCTTCGAGATCTAGCTCACCTCTTCATCTGACAGCTCCATATCCAAAGTCTCGAGGTCCTGATCCATACGTTCTCACTTCCGCTTAGTAAAAATGGAAATCACATCCTAGTTGAGATACGACCTAACTAAGATCGCACTCTTGTCCACGCTGTGTCTTGCCGCGGTTTCTGCCAGAGCCTTATCCAGTGGAACCCCTTGGCATGTGTAAGAGCAACCAGGCTGAAGAAGCTCTGGACAGCTTCCTTGCTCCTGAAGCCACGGTGCATAGCCTCCCGCCCGTTGCAGGTATGTGTGGAACTCGATTTGGTTGACGACGGCTTTAATCTCCGACGAGGCAAGGATGGTCTCCGTATGGGGACGGAGGAAAGTCGAGGCCCCTGCGCCTTTAGCCTTGCAAGATCACTGAACTTTCTCCATTTCCTTCCAGCCCATTTGTAAGTCTTCTTCTAGTTTGGCACAGTATGCACTACAGATGATATACCTGATTGCAAGTCGGCGCGCTCTTTTCGGAAACAAGCGTTTGTCTAACAAGTCAACGTCTATAGGCAGTCAAGCTCAAGACTTTTGAGGCTTGTGTTGATTGCACGAGGAATGTGCTCGATTGTATCCAACACCTTCGTCGAGACGCGGAGGCGGTCACGAGACACTTCACTCTCAGATTCATTTCCGTATATTTCAGCACGATCCAGGTGATGGTAGCCAACCGCGATGGCCTTCTTGGCCATGTCGGCGAGCTCAGACTCGAATGGACCTAGGGGTCGTCTTTGAACCATACGTCTCCGGTGCCGAAACGAATCTGAGAGGCACTTTGAGTTAATTGCAGGCGAGATGGAGATTGCGTGAGTGAAAGGAAGGGAGGCAGATGATCATGCTCATTCCTTGTGACACTCGCTGCCATCTTGCAACTTTCTGGTTGGAATGGTCGGGAACATTGTCGGGATATACTCGGAGAGCTCACTTCGATCAAAACGAAAGGTCTGCGATTGTCATATTTGCCAAAAATGATGCAAAGTGTGGACAAATGGTAAGCCCTGACAAACGACACCTCAGGTGAACTGAAACGTACTGCCCGTTGCATTTTAGTAAAATTTAAGCGTGGAGAATCCAGACCGTCCGAGAATCCAGATTATCCGCCTGCATTTTGAGATATTTTTGTCGCGATGTGCTGGACTACATCAGATTACAAACTTGCTGCTCTAGCCTCCACATGTTCGGCACCCAGTTGCTGGGAGCTCCATGGAGAACCATATGGGTTGAGAACCGATATGCACACTACTCACTAGCTAGGCCGAGATCGCAATCGGATCGGGGGAGCAGAGAAACGAGGGGCCGGAAACGGTCATTATGACATCGATTCCTGCATGCTAATCAAGATTAATGAGATTTCTGATTAGCTGTTCGTATATCTATCTGCTTTTTATCAAATGTATCCAGGTCAGTGTACTTGACAACGAAAAGAAAGCATCACAACATCATGAGCACTGCGACGGTTCAACCCGAGAAGCCCATCTTCCTTAACGACGAGGCCTTGAAACGGCCACCATCTTTCTTTGCCGAGTCCGACAAAGGAAACACCACATGGCACACGCTTCTCTCCGCACCTGCGACTCCAAGCACATCTCTCAGCGCCGGAATTGCTATCTGTCCCGCCCAGGGATCGCTGGCCCTGCATAGACACGAACAGGCCGAGATATACTACATTCTATCCGGTACTGGAGAGGTTGAGGTTGATGGCAAGCGACAGCGAGTAGGCAAGGACATGACCGTGTGGATTCCTGGCAATGCTGAACATGGTGTGTTCTGTGGGGACGGCGAAGAGTTGAGGTGGCTTTACGTATTTCCGGAGGGTAGCTTCGAGGACGTGGTGTATCACTTCAGCGGCCCAGCCCAGCAGGACTGAAGGAAGACCATTGAACATCTGTGGAGATGTCTTTGCGTTGATTGATATGGGCTGGGACCACTGCAGGGAAGTAGATAAGCCCAGTCATTTTGATGTCAATATGGCACTGTTTGGATGCGTTTTAAAATCACGCAGTCGCTTGTCAGAGCGATTTGACGATAATTGTTGCCTTGCATGCATAATAAGAAGGATGGTCGAGAATGATATCAAGCAAGAAGAAGAAAGCGCAAGACCTGGCGGATTTGCGAGTGTAAGAGTGTTGCCGGTCTGCTTGACCAATCATAGCCACCCTTTGCTCATCTCCACCGCCCTCTGCCACCGGCTGAACCGTGTGTCACTTTCTTGCTTCTTGAGCTTTGGCTTGAAGATTGTTTTGCCTTCAGTGTTGACCTTGGCAAGGTCGTCAAAGCTCTGCCACACCCCAACAGCAAGCCCGGCTGCTATTGCTGCGCCCAAAGCTGTTGTCTCGCGCATGGCTGGCCTATTGACAGGGATGCCAATGAGATCTGCCTGGGTCTGTGCCTGGTCAGTCCCTTTTTTCATTTCTTATTGTGGTGCGAAAACGTGGCAACACACCTGCATCGTGATATCCGAATCACACATTCCTCCATCGACAGCCAGCTCTGTTAAAGCGTGTCCACTGTCCTTCTCCATGGCTTCCAGGATTGCCTTGGTCTGGAAGCAGGTCGCCTCAAGTGTGGCCCGAGCGATGTGACCCTGTTTCGTGTAGGAAGTAATCCCAAACAACGTCCCACGAGCATCATCATACCAATATGGCGCATACAGCCCGCTGAAAGCGGTGACGAAGGTGCAGCCGCCATTGTCCGGCACCGACTCGGCTAGCTCTGAGATCTTCCTGCTCGTATCGGCAAATTTGAGATTGTCAACCAGAAATTTGACGCTGGAGCCCGCCACGGCGATACTGCCCTCGAGCGCATACATGCGCGAACTCGGACCAAAGTCGAAAGCTACTGTTGTCAGGAGACCGTGGGTGGAGATGACGGGCTCAGATCCAACGTTGTAGAGAAGGAAACAACCAGTTCCATACGTGTTCTTGGCAAGACCTGGAGTGAAGCCTTTCTGCCCCCTACGATCCTTGGAGTCAGTCATCGAAGAATGGTTGCACAAGCTTCATGTAAACAAATGGAACGAAATAGATGATGCCAATGATGATCTCACGGAACTTCGCTGAACAAAAAGACTTTCAAAAGCTTGGTATAGAGAAAAGAAAGGGTTCCGTGAGTGTAACTTACACCAGGGCTGCGGACTGGTCTCCCAAGCTTCCTGTGATAGGTGTTCCCTTGAGTGAGGTCGACGAGAGGGCCCCGTATGCAGATGGGTCGGAAGAGCGCACAATCCTGGGAAGACAGATCTTCTCACGGTCCAGGCCGAAGAAATCGAGCAGACTATCATCGTATTCGAGTGTTCTCAGGTTCATGAACATCGTCCGCGAGGCATTCGTTGCATCCGTCACGAACAAGTTCTTGGCTGTCCCGCCGTTCAGCTTGAACATGAGCCAGGTGTCCACCGTGCCGAATGCGAGGTTCCCAGAATCGTACGCTTCTTTGACTTTTGGGACATGATCCAGCATCCAGAGTAGTTTAGCCACTGATGGATACGTCGACAATGGCAGCCCACAAAGAGCCGTCAGCTCATCAGAGCCCGGACGGCGCTTCAACTCCCTTACAAGCTCAGCGGCGCGAGTGTCAGTCCAAACTATCGCGTTATACAGAGGCTCGCCTGTATGCTTATCCCAGACCACAGTGGTCTCACGCTGGTTGGTAATGCCGACAGCTTTGATGTCTGCAGCTGAGTGGCCAAGGCCCTCAAAGGTCTGCACAGCGCCATTGATGCACTCCTCAACAGAGGTGACTATCTCTTGCGGATCATGCTCATGCCATCTGTGAGCCCATTAGTGAGCTCCTTAAAGGGGTGACGGATGCAGTAGTGAAGACTCACCCAGGCTCAGGGTAGATCTGCGAAAACTCGATTTGTTGCGTCACTACGACCTCGCCACGTTGATTAAATATCAGAAACCGAGAGCTTGTCGTGCCTTGGTCTATGGCCCCAATAAATGCTTTGGTGGCAACCCCATTTATTCCGTTCGTGCCATTTGTGCCATTTATGCCACTCGTACCGTTTGGACCATGGGTGCCGTTGACACCGTTTGCTCCATTCATAGTGATATTCAGAGATGATTGACAAGTCTGTTTCGCAGTGTTGATATGGTGCTTCCAAGGCTTGTTTGTGGGAGGACGTGCGTCAAGCGATGCGGATATTGAAGATGAGTCGCATTTGACAGATGGGAAGCATCCAACTCTGGATAAGCTACTGGTTGCGAGCCGGCCACGGGCCCTTGGAATAAAACTACGCATATAGCGCGCGTCATGGGCGTTAGACGAGTGAAGAAACTCGGCGTTGCCCCGCCTTGTTCGCAGTTGGGATGTTTAGCAAGGGAGGAGGAATTGCGACCTGGCCAAGAATGAAGCGCGATGCCAAACCCATTGACCCCTGGTTCGCATACCCCATGGGGAACGTCGCATTGTCTAGGGTGGAATCTGGGGAACCCTGTAAGATCGGACTAAAACTGCTAGATCGCATGGCAATTGGACTATAGCGTGGTTCGTGTTTGAGAAGAGGGGCCGCCAGGGCGAGGCCATCCCAACTTTCCATCTGACTGCCTCTCCGAATCCCGATCTCTTACCTCACCTGACCTGGACAAGGCCATACAAGATCGTGATATTACTTCAATTCAAGAATCCATGTCCAGACAGAGGCCCCTGATCTTCACGAAGAACTCTGGCGCAACTTCGGCTCTTGGAGAGCTTATACTTTCATTAGTCCTATCGTCTCGCCACCAATGGGTAAACTTTCTAGGATTGGCAGCCTCATCCGGCGCGGCACTGTTACATGATCATTGCATAACTTTCCAGACCGTTGGCTACGCCCGTCCCCTCGATCTACCGGACCTCTCTACAACTTGCCCCTCATTCCTTCTTTGCCCACGCGATACAGGAGCCGCGAATAGAGATACCGAGGTGAAGTGCCAACCAAACTTGCACAGCCCTCGGATCTTGGTAGCGCCTTGGAGGTCTTGGGGCCACTGAGGTTGAAGAACCGCTTTTGCCGTGCAATCCGGATTCTAGACGGTGGAAGACATCTCGAGGTTCTCTGGTGTAGTCAAGATGGGAATCGGACCTTGCCCGGGCATCGACGGTCTCGCTGGGGCAGGAACGATCTGATCATTTTCAACATCATCATCCAACCCGAGTAAGTCCCTAAGGAGGACTGGCCCATTGTAGCGCTTTCTCATGTTCGCAAGGTTGGAGCCGGGTCGTCCGTCAGCTTCGTAGACTCGGCCTAGGTGGCGCATTGACGTCGTGACATCTGGCAAACCGAGCTGACTGCCGTCGCCTCTTCGCGATGGACCTGCCTTGTCCCCTCCATCCTGGCCCATCATCCTACCTCCCTGAGCCTTTAATAGGTTGACCACGCAGCTGCCGCGCAAGTGCATGGGACCAGCCTCTAGAACTTGAAACCTTCTACGGCAATGAACGACATCCTTGGAACCAAGGTGTCCCTAAGAACAGTACAGCGTCGTACCAAGACCTCTGATGCCATCTTTAGTCAAGGCCAACGGATGACGGGAAGCGGACTTCGTATGCCCTGGCCATTATATTCACGGCAGTTCGTCTTTGCCGCAAGACGACATCTCTGACTCTTGAGCCAGTCGGATACCTCTTTGAATCCATTGTTTTACTCTGATAGACTTGCTTCAAGGACACCTTCTTTGTGACCTATAAACTCATCAAAGATATTATCCATATTCATCAATGTCGGCGCAGACAGATACCCAGATCGTAGAGGTCAAGGATGGTATGCTGCCATCCTTCGACAAGACCCCAGACCTGCGCTTTACCAGCCTGAGCTCAAGCAGCCAGATGGTTGAGCACAGGGAGCACCTCACACCACCAGAAACACCTCTCGACTTCATTCAAGAAAACGAATTGCTATGGTCCAAGGTCAGGCGACATTTACAGGAGCCGTTCTCAGAGTTCTTTGGTACAATGGTTATGATCTTGTTCGGTGATGGTGTCGTGGCACAAGTCGTTCTCAGTAATGGAACGAAAGGTGACTACCAAAGTATATCATGGGGCTGGGGGCAAGTATATTCAATTCTTTGATCAGGAGGCAGAAACGTGGCTTCCGTATCCTATCCAAACACATTGGCTGGAATCAATCTAATCATGCTCCAACAGGCTCGCCGTTATGATTGGCGTCTATGTCGGAAAAAAGAGCGGCGGCCACCTCAATCCCGCCGTTACGCTGTCAAACTGTATCTTCCGCGGTTTCCCCTGGCGCAAGTTTCCTGCCTACTTCATCGCGCAGCTTCTCGGCGCCATGGCTGGTGCATTCATAGTCTACTTCAACTATAGGCTAGCCATCGATAACTTCGAAGGAGGCCCTGGAATCCGCACTGTTGGCGGCAATACGTCCAGCGCTGGCGTTTTCTGCACATACCCAGCACCTTTCATGACGAGGAGCGGTATGTTTCTGAGCGAATTCCTCTCCAGCTCTCTCCTTATGTTCAACATCTTCGCATTTGTCGACGCCGGTGCCGGGGATCTGATTCCGCTTTGTTTATTCTTCCTCATCTTTGGTATCGGAGCCTGCTTTGGTTGGCAGACAGGCTATGCTATTAACTTAGCAAGGGATTTTGGGCCTAGGCTTGTATCGTACATTCTTGGGTACGGCAACGACGTTTGGTCAGCTGGTGGCTATTACTTCTGGGTAAGGTTGTCCCATAGTAACCTCCATCGTACATTAGCGCCCCCCCCCCCCTGGTCAAAAGAAACCCTTGAATAACGCGCTCATTACATGCTGATCACTATCAGATTCCTATGGTGGCACCGTTCCTTGGGTGTCCTTTTGGGGGCTTGCTGTATGACGTTTTCTTGTGCAAGGGAGACACGCCTATCAATACTCCTTGGATGGGCCTTCGACGTCTTACGAAGCCAAAACCCAATAGTTTTGGTGGAAATGTTTAATCAATGTACAATATGAGGGACTGTCAAAAGCGGTGGCTTTGGGCGAAGAATGTTGTGTACTCATTACTAACGGCTTGCACTATCTATCACATGACCACCTTCTGGGTCCACGTAGCAAATCACTGTGTCTCAATGGCTGGACTCGGGTGTGAATGATAACTTAGGATACGGGATTACTGTATGCAGACTGTAGAGTTGCTTTCAATTTCATTAAATATGCATCACGGGCTGCAAGGGAACCTAGAGCTCAACTTGAAAAGAGAAAACAAAAGGCTTAATTCTAGTCTCGTGCAAAACTTGTGATGATCTTCGAGGTGGGGTGAGTAATGGTACACATGCATGTGCAGTATCATGTCTCCAACTTCTCTCGGGGGCGCGATGGTCAATATGAACAAGAGAATTGTGCGTGTGGTTTTATCCCTACTTAACATGCAAAATGAGTGCTATGAGCAGCACAGTTGATGCTGCAGACGCGTGATACCGCAGTGCGTACCGTAACTACTTTCTTATGGTGGTCCACATTTACCTAAGAGACAGGAGGTGCACGAAATGAAGAGCTTAGTGCTTCAAATGATCCCAGAATTCAAGCTGCCTTGTTGAGCCTGGCTTCGCGAACCAAGCGCCACAAAAGTAAGACCAATCAACAACTAAATCGGACAATGCCCGCAAAAAGCTGATGAGATATGAGACTTGAATCAAGACTTGAAGTACAGTATTAGCATTCAAATCACTTACTCGGACCACGGTGATCATGCATAGGGGGGGGGGGGGCTTTTCAAAGTTCAGAGCTGGATACTTCTATGCGGAGACACGTGTGGCAGGGGTATTTCTGACGAACCCCGAACTAACTTGGTTTGTTCGCAAAGTACTTTCGAAATACACTTAGACTACGGGCCGCAGTTCTTGCATCAACAGACTTATATTTCGCTGCTTATACGACACAGGTAAGGAGCTAATTTGAACCATTTTCCAGATTACGGAGGCTGCTGGAACATGAACATCCGCAGACCTTGAAGCAAAGCCCATCGCACGCTCTTTGCCGCTCTAGTTGAACCACCCCCTGAAGCCATGATTCTCCCAAATATCTCTTGAGGTGATGTTGCTGGCTTACGAGTCGGTACAGATAGGGATATTGATGACCTGTCCGATTTCCAAGGCGCCCGCATCCACATCTGGGTTGGCAGCGACCAATGAATCCAAAGTTATACCCAACCTCGACGAGATGAGGAAGAAAGTATCACCACTGACAATAGTGTAGGTGTCTGACACTCCCGCACTCGCAGAGACACATGTGGCTGTACCGGCTGCTGTTCGGCAACTCGTATTGTCGACCTCGGCCTCGCATACCTCCGTCGGGACAATCAGAACCTGACCGGCGAGAATGAAATCAGGGTTGCTGAGTCCATTGGCTGCGGCAATGTTGCAGACTCCTGAATCGAACTGGAGTGCAATCTTCTCGAGTGTGTCCCCGGACACGACGGTGTAGTTTGTCGATGGGCCGTCCACACACGTGGTATTGGCATCTCGGCGGAGTGTTGGCGAGGAATCACTACCTCGGTTCGTGACGTCTGTAGTGCAAGAATCCAAAGTGCCGATGCTGGTGTCATTAAAGTGGAATTCGACTTTGCTTGTTGTTTCGCAGCTTGATCGTTTGGCAGCGAGAAAGTTAAGGCCTGAGCCGGACGGGAAGGCTGCAGCCAGGGAGGCCACGGAGAGGATGGAGGAAATCGCGAAACGCATGGTGTCAGTGGGTCGGCCGATATCGTGAGATGATAAATGTATGCGTGTCGAAAGCGGTGCGAATAAAGTGTTGTTCGTAACTTGTTCAAAGAGAGACCAAAAGAGAGTGAGTGTATGCAAAATGTGCAAGAAAGAATGACTTGGTTGCAATCACAAAACTCATCTCTAGGGACGAAGCCGCCCTTGGGGCTTTATATACAATTTTTCAATGATGTCTCTCTGAACATGTCGCTGTCGACTCATGAACACGAATGTGTCTCGGCCTCGAGAAAAGGAGGCATTGCTGGGCCGGAAGCAACGAATCGTACGTTTTTCCGTGAGCCCGGAGCAGCCCCTTTTGCCAACAGTATCTAATTGACTTTCTGCTGGGTGCGCTCGTTTCAGTGGAAAGTTAATGCTGCGGAATCCCGCCAAGTTGTGCATGACACTTGGTCGTGGCTGATGCGGTGGCCGCCAAAACCGTCGAGCGCCCCGAAACCCCGAGACTGCCGGATAACCTCAATTCGGTGAGGCCGGGCTGGTAAAAATATATGCGCAGTTGCAGAGTTTCAGAATTGCTATATAAGCAACTTCCCACAGAGCAGAGTCATGAGTGAGGGTCCTCTACGCCCGTATAAAACCCAGGATCTTCTCTCGTGCGGTTCTGCCTGCGTGTAAAGTGCAAGTATGAACTAAACTGTTGTCTCTTCACAATGCCGCATCAAGAAGATGGCAAACCCACGCGCTGTCGACGTGTTCGGGGGGTTTTCTTTTCTTCTTTTTCTTTTCCCTTCCACACAACCATGTTTTGATATCTTCACTCCTTCACCCCAATCAATTCCAGGTTAGTCTTATGTTGGTCTTCTTATGTTAGTCTTGGGGTCGGTGGTACACAAATGCATTCTTATTTTGCGACATACTTGGCTGCAATAAGGGCACCAGGAGACCAGCCCAATTGCGATGGCACTCAAGTGATTCCTTCCAATTACTTTGATATGTTTATTTCTTGTCATCTCAATCTTTCTGAGCAGTCGCTCAATGGCACAGGTTAACCTAATCCTCGCATAAATTTGGCGAAATGTAAATTCTTTGGAAGTCCATTGAACCAGGTCATTTACCCCCGCTTGGCTATTCCAACGGCTCGTTGAATATGTACACTGAGCCTGGTATATTTATGTTCGAAAGGAATGTACAGTTATAGCAACAAATGCGGTGGCCCGCTGAAAAAGGAACGTTTCCACGAGTTCTTCTATCCCATGGAAGTTATTCGAGGATAGAGTGTCGGTAATATCAAATTTGCTTATTGGATTCATATACTTTGATCTTTATTTCTTTGGCAGCGCAATATCGATTGTCCCTCACTGAGCTTATTGAATTGTCCAGTGTTGCGGCTCTTGGCCGTCTTAAAGTCTGCGCAAATTCAAGCATGACAGCATCTATCTCAGACATCGGGACCACTATTGCGGTGCTCCGCCGCCCTGTATGAAAAAATGCGTCCTACGCCCGTTGGAAATACTGCAAAAAATTTACATATAGGTTCTTCGATACACCGAGGCCAAAATCGCGAAGCGGTAACACAACAGACGGCAGCAAAGGGTGAATCAATCTGCTGATTTCTAGTCTTTGGTGAATTTCGACGGCAGCTCACAGCCTGAGGCTCATCGATGAAGGGCCTCATGTGGACGAATGACTTTTTTTGCCTACCGCACCGGCATGTATAGACAGGAGACGGGAGCCCTGTGGATAAGAACGTATGACACAACACACCGCTGCCGACTTCCGGCAGCTTACACAATACGCCCCGAGGAATGACTGCATCCGAATTCCCGTCACGAACGATACTGTGCCTTTCCTAGGGCGCCAGTAGCAATTCAGAAAACGGGTCTAATAACAGTTTGAGCTGTTTGTACTTGACTTTCCTGGCAATTCTTGAAACAATTCGAATCACGAGCAGCGGCATCTTTTGCTTCCAATACACGATGGATAGTCTTGATCTCGGGGAGGATGCCAATGTGCACGAAGAGGAAATGAGAATGTTGGGCGAAAGTCTTGTTAATATTCGATGTAGGATCGGAGATCCTGGATTACTAAACCAGGCCTGTACTGTACGACTACAGTGCTGATTTGCGGAAAGGTCATGTAGTGGGGAGACAACCTCGGGAGGACGATGCTCGATTTGAATTGCGGAAGGCCTTGAACCTGTCACCATCTGGAAGGGAGAAACCCAGAATAAAAGTAAGATATTCCGGCATGCAGTGTAGGGGGTTAGCGATGCATATATGAATTATCTTTTTTCCAAGTGACCTTGTCACATGATTTGATTCCAACTGCTTTGCAATCTGGGTGTGGACCTGAAACGTCGGTTCTGATGAATGAGCGGTGGCGGTGAGGCCGACTGAAAAGGAGGGGTCCTTTATCCAGGAGGTTCAGGGTTTGTTTATCCCTATTCTTGTTCATTAGGTCTGGAAAGGCATCTAGAAGTTCTAATCGAACGTTTCTTCCAAGTTATTGTAGCGATGATGTGGAAAGTACGTGATCTCGGTTGGGCGTCCTCTTACAAGCATTAACGGGCGACGAGGTTTCCCCGGGCAATGGAAGGGCCACAAACCGGTCTTTGTTGGCCAGTTACCCCTGAGGCCAACCCACTGTCGAAATTGACAACCTCGCCGCAGCATCTGAATCAGGGATGCAGCTGTAAGCCACAGAACCGTGCCGAGCAAGTTTCCAAGAATCAAAGGGCTCAGAATCAGCAACATCCGAGATACAAAACCGATCTTCAAGACATCTGAGATGGTAAACCATTGAATTCAATATGACATTGTCACGACAAAAAGAGTGTTACCTGACATCACTCTTTGGCCCTTTTGGGCGACATATCCCTGAACTTACGGGGGTTTACGTGGCCCTCACAGCCCTCCGGGCAACCGGGTGTGGGCCCGGGACCCGGAGATTTTCACAGAAATAGCAATGCCCGACCCACCGCAATCAAAGGCCCCCAGAGGTCCAGGAGGTCTCGACTTGGTCAATCACGGCAGTGGTCCACTCATCACCACTCATTGCGGATCGCAACGCCAGATACGAGATCACTCGGCGCCGGGAGATCAACAGATGCCCTGTTTTCGATCACCAAACGGATGGCCTTTAAACACGGTCGATCCAGCCCTCTCCTGGGCCGAGAAAGAGTTCACCTTCTTTTTCTCACCCACCTTTGGATCATCACTCGCTCAAGATTCACGGTGTCACTCTTTTCACTCCCCATAATCAAGGCAACACTAGTATTTAATAATTCCCTGCCATTCCCTCCTTGCCTGTCTGCTCCTCGCGCCGTCTTGCACGAAATAGTAATCCCCAGACCAATCAACCAGCCGTCAAAATGGTTTGCTCCAAGAAGTCAAGTGCCGTAGCCGCCGTGGCCACCGCCGCGAGCTCTTTCTACAACGGCTTCAACGCCACAGCTCCCACAGCAACACCGGTCCCATCTGCATCTGGGTCCTTCGCCCAACCCGCAGTCGCCGCAGTCGCCTCGGACAGCAGCTCATCTACAGCCAGCGTGAGTGCCGCCAACTCGGGCATCAAGGGTTTCAACTACGGCGCCTTCTTCCTCGACTACACGGGAAAGACCCAGAACGACTTCGAGTATGAGTTCACCAAGGCACAAAACCTGGCCAACACAACCGGATGGAACAGCGCTCGCCTGTATACCATGGGTGAGTACATATCTCGCAGCCCCTCACCCCCACCTTGTCTCTCGCGATGTCGATCTCCCGCGTGAAGATGTCGATCTCATGACACGTCAATGAGGCTCAACATATGATGCTAACCGGCTCCTGCAGTCCAATACGGAAGCGCCAGTGATCCCATCTCTGCTATCCCTGCCGCCATCGCAACTAAGACCACCCTTCTCCTCGGCATGTGGGTGTCGGGCAGCACGGCGGCGATCGACAACGAGATCACGGCCCTGAAGTCAGCCATCTCCACCTACGGTTCCGCGTTCACGGACCTCGTGGTGGGCATCTCCGTCGGATCCGAGGACCTGTACCGAGCGTCCCAGGGCGACTCGTCCAGCCCCGGCGTGGAGGTCGACACACTCATCAGCTACATCAGCAAGGTGCGCGAGGCCATCTCCGGCACCGCGCTGTCGAGCGTCCCCGTCGGCCACGTCGACACGTACGACAGCTTCGAGAACGCCACCAACTCGAAGGTCGTCGACGAGATCGACTGGATCGGCTTCGACGGCTACCCGTACTGGGAGAAGGCGAACGGCAACTCGATCGAGGCCGCCTCGGACCTGTTCTACTCCGGCCTGAACAAGACCAACGCCATCGCCAAGGGCAAGCCGGTGTACGTGACCGAGACCGGTTGGCCCATCTCGGGCGACGACTTCGGTCAGGCCGTCGCCGGTTCTGTCAACGCGCGCACTTACTGGAAGGACATTGCCTGCACGCTGGTGGAGAACAACATCAACCTCTGGTGGTACAACCTGCAGGAGTCCCAGAACGGCCAAGCGAACCCCGACTTTGGTATCTTCGGCGCTGGTGACCTCAACCAGGTGCCCCAGAGCTACGATCTTTCTTGCTAAGCAAGTCAGGCTCAGGGAAACTAAATAAATAGACATAAAAAAAGACCTGTGCATGATGTTGTATGAGGCTGCCCAGAGGACTGAGCTTTGCCGTTTCGTACATCATTACAAGATGTTGGATATTGAAATAGGAACTTGTACCATATCTGGAACAACCAATACAATTTCATTCACTTGTTATGACTAGAGTTTCTAAACGTTAAATGGTTTTTGGGCGTAGATGCTTGCAATGACCGATTGAGTGTACACTTTTGTATGACTATGCCTGTAATTATGGGCACATCAACTCGAGAAGCGCTCAGTTCGTTCCACCGAGCGTCTCGAGCAAACTTCGCAGTCCTTCGAGGACGTGGGTGGTTAGGATCATGTCGGCACACATGCATGAAAAGCTGACCAGTATATAGATGAGAAAAAGACCAAAGGGCACTATCAGCGGTCGGTCTGAGCGTATGGACCGTCGATTTGACGAGTCTACAATATTATAACGGTCTCCTATCATTCAAGAGTAGGTTGCAAGTGATAGCTAGCAAAAATACCACTCAAACATTCGAGATCCCGGCTTCTCTATCTATAGAGTCAACAGGCAGATTGAAGTCTAGATACCTACGAAGTTTGGGATCTGCCACTGTGGCTTAAGAAGCAGACATATAAGCCCAAGCATGCGTCTGCCACTCAGTTACATTCAACATGAGTAAGTAGCCTACGTGACTGTGACGAAGCTGATAATTGCAGGCGCCTCTGCATGTGTTCCTGCATTTGGATACATGCCATGCATGCAGGTAGGTGTATCTGAACCGTACAATATTTGAACACTTTACAACAGTTAAAGGGTATACCGTCGTCCAAAAGACTTCAATTGATAGCCATCGCATGTGAGATGCCTTTGGAACTTGTTTGCCACGACAATATACGGACGCAGCACCTGTTGTGTAGACTGGTCAACCGTCGACCATTGGGAGTCTCCGAATTGTGATTCCAACCAGGTTGCACGGACTAGTGGGCCTGGCAGGCGTGCCAAAAGGCCTGACTGCAAGTGGTTAACCTCGGCAAGCGGCGGCAGAATTCCACTAGAACGCCACAGCCGTCTTGGGCTAGCAGGCTAGCCGGCACAGTAGGGCCACATTCCAACATTCCGCCATGGTGATGGTGGCGTACGGTCCTGACAGTGAATGTACGTACTGATACCCTGATAATTGGGTAGCGAGCTACAGTACTGAGGTCCATTCTGAATCCTAGACTGTTGCATGGCTGATTTCTTCGTATTTGGTGGTCACTCTGGCACAGTAAAAATGCACCTTCAGGCGCATTTGTGGAAAGACGCGTATCACCTGGCGTTCGGTACTTGTATGCACAGTCGTGGGTATCATCAGGCCATCATGAGCAGTCAGATGATGCTGTTGACGAATACAGCACAAGCAATCGGAAGCACGATGGCATGTTTTCGCAGTTGGTTGACAGGCTCTGGGAAACCAAGTACTGTACAACCTATCCGGTTTTGGGAGTAGAACGAACGTCGAAGGAACCTGAATGGGAGCTCGGCACGGACACAACCACACCGAGGGAATAAATGTCTGCACTGACTGTCTGTCTGCCAGTCTGCCCGTCAGCCCAGTGTCTTGTTTGGCTGAGTCCAGCTGAGTCAACTGCGTGGGCAGGTGGAGTGCCGCATGCAGGTTGGTGGAGAAGGATTCCCTTGGCCTACGTCACTGCCAGGGCATCGGTACTGGGCCCCAGTCGACACGAATTGGTGGCCAGCAGCAAACTGGGGGAGAGAGACTTTTCTGCAGAATGACCCGAAGGCTTGGTGGCACAGAGAACCCGAGCAGCCACAATGATATTGCGAACATGCAGATAGCCAGCCCGACAGCCTGAAACTTTGAAGATACGGGAATAAAGAGGGAGAGACGAGGCAGACCGGGAGGGAGGCCTCGACTCCCAAGCGAAGGCATCAGACAGAGGCTGGCTTACTAGGGACAGCCTGGATCAGCGAGAAGCGGCATCCATTTAGCTTCACCCTCGCCGTCTCGACGCTTATGGCCATCCATGAATCTCCCGAGGTCCGCCCGTAATGCATTTCAGGCACCTCTCTGTATGTAGCGATAAGCATCTTGCGAAGCTTTTCGTGGGAGGGCGGGCCATGGCTCTCGGCTTTATGTAGGCAAATGGATGCTCTGGTGCTATGTATATGAAGTAGGAGGACTGAAGGACTGAAGGATCGTAGGACGAAAGGGTCCAAGGGCCCAAGGGCTGGGGAGGAATATGATGTACTGAGGACTGTATCACCGCCACACATGCCTGACGCGCAGATGCGGATGACACTGTGGTACATGCAGATGCCCTCTCTTCTGGCTCTCTACCCCGTGGCTCCTCCGTACTTGTTCAACCCCACCCTCAATTTCCCCGTGGATACACCCGCAAGGGACTCGACTCACGTGCCACTATGCCTCTGTCAGACAGGGAAGGGGGGAGTAGACTGTTGCGTAAGAGCTTGGGTATGGGTAAGTGGCGTGGGAGAAAAAATCCTTTCACTCGGTCAACAGACCAACAAACCCAGGCCATACATGCGCGATGCGCAGCGTACCACACAGTAAATGGATGGCGAGGTCCAGATAGACAAGCTAATCCAGGCTTGACCCAAGACGGGCACTCAAGTGTTAGCCCGTCTAACTGGTTCCGTCTCGACGCCCCACGCGACTGCGAGACCATCCGCTATTGGGATCCCGCCGGCTCAGCGCCAGGCCTGCGCCGAGTCTGCGCCAGGATGGCTGGACGGCCCCAAGAGACCAGTCGACACAAGCGAACAGGGGACTCTGCCCCAGGGTCTCGATTAGCTGTGATAAGCCTGCATTCCTGCCCCATCCTCGACCCTGCACGCGGCCTTGGCCCCGTCTTCTGCCCAATGACAGCCCTTCGCAAAACCTCCGTCTCATCGACAAACGACAGGGATGGACATGGGGTTGGGTCCTGAGCCTGCTGCTGCTCGTGCTGCCCATGCTTGATATCCATGCCGGTGCAGTGCCCGGGCAAGTGGTACACAACAGAGAGCAGGCAGAGAGAGAGGGAGAGAGAGGGAGAGGCGACTGTGCGGAACTTAATTCACTTTGCTGGATGGATCCAGCTAGTCGGTATAAGACGTGACCCTGTCCCCAAACGTCCACACCGTTCGTTTTCTCGGTCCTCACCTCTCTCATCCCGAGTCACTCGATCCGAGCTTTCTCGCGGTCGCCCCTCTGTTCCTCTTTAATCTGACTGTGACTGAGCTATCTTGACCCGGCCTGGCCTACAACTCACCGGCCAGATAGTCACATAAGCCCGCCCTCAACCTCGACTTCGAACTCGACCTTGACCTCGGCCCAAACCTTCGCTCTCTGTATCTTCTCGTGCGGGCACACGGTTAGTGTGGCTCAGCAATTCGCGCGCCGCAACCATGAGTTCCTCCGACCACGAAAAGACAAAGTATGACGACGTCGAGGCCACGCCGTGGCGCGTGTCCGACGTCGACTCGGGCGAGATCGTCAATGGCAACATCGACGGCCTGCACAGGCGTCTCGCAAACCGCCAGATCCAGCTGATCGCGATCGGAGGCTCCGTCGGCACGGCCCTCTTCGTCAGCATCGGCTCCGGCCTCTACAAAGGCGGTCCCGGCTCCCTGTTCATCGCGTACCTCCTCTACAGCTGCTCGCTCGGCCTGGTGAATAACTGCATGGCCGAGATGGCCACCCTGCACCCCGTGTCCGGTGGTTTTATCCGCATGGCCGGCAAATGGGTCGACGACGCCCTCGGCTTCACTATCGGCTGGAACTTCTTCCTCTACGAGGCCCTGCTCATCCCCTTCGAGATCACGGCTCTGAATCTGGTTCTGTCCTTTTGGCGAGATGACATTCCTGCCGCGGCCGTCATCGCCGCTTGCATTGTCCTCTATGCGTGAGACTCTCCTCCTCCCATCCCCTCCCTGCCTGGGGCGCTGTGAACACCGTTCGCTGGCTATCATGCGAGTGATCAAGTTTGCGCGAAGAGTGACTGTGCCTGTTTGACTTGCCCGTTTGCCGGAAGTGGCCCCCCTTGTTGATCGAATGCCCTTGGTCGGAGTCGCAGCCTCACTCCTCCTCCTCCCCTCCCCTTGCGCCGAGCCCCTAGGCCTTGAGATGTGTGAAGCTAAATGTTCTCGTGTGCTAGTCTTATCAATGTCCTTGCAGTTGGAGGCTACGGAGAGGCCGAATTCTGGCTCTCCGGCGGCAAGGTCATCCTCATCTTCATGCTATTCTCATTCACGCTTGTGACAATGTGTGGCGGTAATCCGAAGCACGATGCCTACGGCTTCCGCTACTGGGACGATCCCGGGTCCTTCAAGGAGTGGCACACGACAGGCAACCTCGGTCGCTTCGAGGGCTTCCTTGCTGCTCTCTGGTCAGCCTCCTTTACGATCGTCGGACCCGAGTATATTGCTATGGTGGCCGCTGAGGCCAAGCGACCGCGGACGTACATCAAGACTGCCTTCAGGACTGTGTACTGGCGTTTTGGTCTTTTCTTCATCCTCGGCGCCCTGTGCGTTGGCATCGTCATTCCCTACAACGACCCGACCTTGACGGGCATCGAAGAGGGCGAGAAGGCTGCTGCTGGCGCCGCTGCTTCTCCCTATGTCATTGCCATGTAGGTTTCCCCTCGTCCGGTCTCGTCTCGCCCCGTCCCCAGCTTTCCTTGGCGGGGCTCCAGGTCTACCTCCACTTCAGCCCAGCTGTCAACTCCGCTAATACGTAATTTCCTCCAGGAACAACATGGGCGTCACCGTCCTGCCCCACATCACTAATGCGCTGATGGTCACGTCCATCTTCTCCGCCGGCAACACATACACGTACGCCGCCGTTCGCAACCTGTACGGCATGTCCCTCGAGGGCCGCGCGCCTCGCTTCCTCCGCAAGATGACAAACAAGGGTGTGCCCATCTACTGCTTCATCGTGGTGATGTGCTTCCCGTTCCTGGCCTTCCTGCAGCTTTCGTCCGGCTCCAACGTCGTCCTGACCTGGCTCGTCAACCTGATCACGGCCGGCGGCATCATCGACTACATCGTGATGACCATCACATACCTCTTCTTCTACCGCGCATGCGTTACCCAGGGCGTTGACCGCAAGTCGTTCCCGTACTACGGCTACTTCCAGCCGTACGGCGCTTGGATCGCCCTGATCTTCGAGACCCTCGTGGTCATTTTCTACGGCTACAGCAGCTTCACGCCCTGGGACGTGTCGACGTTCTTCACCTACTACACGATGGTGATCCTCGCGCCCATTCTGTTCATTGGCTGGAAGTTGGTTCACAGGACCAAGGTTGTCAGCCCCTACGATGCGGATCTCGTCTGGGAGAGGCCCATCGTCGATGCCTACGAGGCGAAGTTCAGGAACCCTCCGTTGGGCTTCTGGACAGAGATGGGTCAACTCGTTGGCTACAAGAGGCATCTCAAGGATGAGTAAAATGACGGGCGAGACTAGACCAGTCGCTATTTCGCGTAGATATATTACAATACCCCGAGTCGGTCAACTCATGACAGCAATTTGCTGAAACACCACTTTTGGTCCTCTTTGCGCTCCAGAGTGACATAAACTTACCCTGTCTGTTCAAGTCCCGTGTCCTGCGTGCTTCATGCTCGATCGCAGTCTTTGCTAGCCGGCTACAACTCAGTCTCTGGCGGCCGAAAATGCATCCGGATAAGCTCCATGTCGCCGAACAAGAAATGACCACCACAGCCATATCGGTCAATTGTTGGCGTTCAGCCATAACAAGGAACAAGCTAGACGTCTTGGAGATAAAGCCGACCGAACAAGGCCAGGCGCCCGCCGCCTGCACGTCGTCAGCATTGAATCCGACGCTGACTAGAAAGTATGCCGGGATCATGGCGGCTCTTGCTCTTGGACAACCTGGGATAGTTGCCTCTCCAAAATGAGTCGGCCCAGTTCTCTTTCGTGTTGTACGACTGCGTGATCAAAGGTGCGTCAGCTTCCGGGTGATAAATATATCGGTGATTACCTATGTCTATGTCCAAGAGAGAGGACGCGGAGCCAAATCTCGATCATTGTCGTGCCCAGTCCCAGCGCCAGACTCCACACATCTTTCAGACTCGACGCGCTGGTCCTCCTCCCACAGATGAAGGTCGGCGCCCTCCTCCGGCTCGAGTTTGCTGATGTCTCTCGGTCCCGTCGCCGGCTGTTTCCCTCAGTACACAACACGGCACGCCGTGCCTAGGACTCGTGAGATGCTCAGTCGCCGGTTTTCAGCTGTCGTAAGGTACAATGTCGCAGTTCCTCTAGTCAATCCGTATTGTTGTATAAACTCGCAAGGCTAGTCGATATTCAGGTTGACCTTGTGAAAAGGCTGATCGCGGGCTGCCTTGAACAAGAGCAGCAGGTGTTCTCCACCCACAGTGTTGTGGCAATTGATGCTGATACTGTAATCCATTGTATGAGAACGTGATTTTCACCTCAACGACACGGACATGGGTGCCCCTGCGAGGTTGGCGAAGGCGAGGACTGACCAACATGAACATAGAGCTCGGGCATGGAGAGGAGGCAAATGCCTAGAACATCGTGAATTTGAACGAAGACATATTGGCATTAGAAGTCATTATCAATGCGCTGTGGCTCTCGATGGTGGCAGTGGACGTTGGAAGGGAAAAAGAAAAGAAAAGAAATTCAAATCAATAAACGAATGGGGCAAATCCCTGCTATCCGGTTGAGAACACCAGCCAGCGCAGCTGCAAAGCTTATCTTTATCTCACGGCATACATTGAGCACCGTCCTTCGTCTGGCGGATCACGGAGGACCGGCAAGATGAAATTGAACCCGGACGGTCCGGAACGTCGAGGTGAGCTTCATCTTGCCATCGAGAGACAACTCATACATTGTTGCCCCACACCGTTGCTCCACACTGCTGCTCCACATAGTCTTGTGTCATTGGTACGGTCTATCTGTTGGTTGAGCCGCGGATTTCGGAGCTGAGGCGGGAGAGGAAGTCAAAACCACCAAGGCCATGCCCCGGTGTCACGGCACTGATGTCCGACGCCGTGACAACGCTTTCTTGCTGGCCACCTAGAGTGACGAGACTGGTCGTCTTATTCCACGAACTTGAAATCTGATTCCCTGCCCAGTGACATTTCTTACGCACCAGTGTCATTTGACTGCATTCTCTCCACAATGGCGTCCCATTCCAGAATACTACGTGATCCTTTCCTCGACCCCTCCTCCACCCTGATTCTTGTCACTGGGTCCTCTGGTCACATCGCCTCGAACATTGTCCGAGAGGCTCTCGACCTTGGTTACCGTGTCCGCGGGACAGCACGTACTAGCGAGAAATGCGAGAGCACAGTCGCAGAGCATCACAACCACCCAAACTACACCACCGCTGTAGTCTCGGACTTTGCTCACCCGTCGGACGAGATCAATGCCGCTGTCAAAGGAGTCGACAGCATTATACACGTCGCCTCAGACACAACGTTCTCTGAGGACGCAGACCATGTGATCAACACCGTCGTCGCTGGGACGGAGAATTTTCTACGTGCCGCAGCCAGAGAGCCCAGAGTCAAGCGTTTCACGCTGACGAGCTCGTCGACCGCGGCGTTGCTATCTAAACCGGGCGTTGAGGGTATTGTTGCGACGGCCGACACGTGGGATGACGAGGCCGTGGAAGCGGTCAAGACGAAGGGGACGATCATTGGGCCCAATTTTTATGCATTCCTGGTGTACGCGGCTAGCAAGACCCAGGGCGAGAGAGCACTATGGAACTTTATGAAGAATGAGAAACCCTCGTTCGTTGCCAATGCCATTCTGCCCGGTTATAACATTGGCCGACTGGTCGGCTCTGCCGGTGCCACAGGGGACTTTGCCATTCGGCTATTCAAGGAGGGAACCGCGGCCGTGATTCCTCGTATGTCTGGACCCGAGTGGGCATATGCCAATAGCAGGACTAACAATGATCACAGAATACTTTGTCGATATCGTCGACAACGCAAGGCTGCACCTCTGTGCCGCGGTGCTGGATGAGTCTGTCAAGAACGAGCGCATCTTTGCATGTGCGGAGCCAGTCAACGTCAAGGACGCAGTTGCGGCCATTAATAAGGTGAGGCCTGATGCGGACGAGTCCAAGATGAAAATCGACCCGAACGAACAGCGTGATCTCAGCAAGGTACCAAATGAAGTTGGTGCGAGACTTTTGAAACAATGGTATGGCCAAGATGGATACAAATCCCTTCAGCAGAGTATCAAAGAAAATCTTGAAGGTATCTAGAGGTTTCGCAGTTAGAGCATACGCGGTTCAATTAAAGACCCTCAGTTCTTAATTTCATATTGGAAGCTTGGTCCACATGAAATGAACCGTGCCAAAATTCGACAAATGCATGCGTACTTTGAAAATTTGTGGGCGTGGCCTAGAGCATGTACATGACCAACATTGACAGCGCTGCAATGACGGCAGCTCCAAGGGACCTCTTCTCGGTGTTGGCCGATTCATTTACCACGACAGTTGTGGGTACAGCACTCGTCTGCGCACTTCTTGAAGCAGACGAGGAGATCGCAGATGGAACTACGGCGCTCGAGGAACCGGTTGTGATAGGTGCAGTTGACGAGGTGCGAGATGAGGCGCGGGCCGTGATAGAGTCTGCCACAGACGTCGTCTGAGTTCCTCCGTCGTCACTTGGGTAGCCGATGATTGTAGTTACCCCAGGTGGCCCCCCTGGAAGCGGCACACCAGGTATCGGTGGTGCGCCAGGCTGCTCTGGAGTTCCCCCCGCGGCCAGCTGAGCGACAACGTCGTCAACGACATCGTCCGGGACCTCAACGACACACGGGTCAGCCTCCACTCCGGTGGTACCCAGACTCGGGCAGCCGTTCAAATTCGCCTGCACGCCTACCACACCTCCAGACACCGGGCACTCTTCGAGTTGTCTTCGAATATCGGGACTGGCACCCGGTACAACACTGAAGGTACTGCTGCCTGTAAGCTGTGTTCGCCCTCCTTCGGACTGTAGGATGCCGCCGTCATCCGAGCAATTTCTGAGAAAGCCAAAGTCCCATTCTAAACTATAAGCCCCCTCGAAGCCACCAGCTGCAACACCCAGCCCCCAATTCCCACTCAACGCGGTCGATTCATCCCGGTATAAATAATAGTCATCGTCCCCAAAAGATACACTGCCAAATTCGCCTTGATCGACCGATAAGCGTCCACTGTCGACGACACCGCATTCGCCTTGACACCCTTCAGCGCGCCGGATGCGCCACTCAAAGAAGAAACCAAATGTCCACGCCGCACTAGCACCCTGCAGAGCGAAGACGACGGGGAAAGTATCTGCCGGGTTGTAAGTGTCGTTGCGGGGGAAAACGAGATCGATCGCGATGTTGGCTGGAAGAGTCACAGTTTGCCCCTGCGAAGGATCGATGAGAGACAATAGTGCAACCAGACCTACACCGAATGAAAGGAACTTGCTGATAGGAATCATGGCGCTGAAGCCGGAGTTTATAGAGTAGCTCACAGACGTTTGTGAGGATAATAAATTTCCTGGGGAAGAGCCAGCTTTATATAGCTCACTCGCTATGGCGAAGCATGTTTGGTTTCGAGCGCTGGCTTAACTGACTCGAAGCTGAGGGCTCGTGGCGACACCTTGCCTTCTATTAGTGCAGCAAAAGCATGTGTGGTGTACACTTCGGAGCAACCTGCCAAGTTGGCCATAACACCCTGTGATCACATTCGTCTCCTACCAAGGACGTTGACGATGTATTGCAGACGACGACCTGGGTGGGTCCTAGTTAGCCTCAGACATCTACCCAACCGAAGACCACCGTGTTGGGTAGGTTCTAATATTGTCCTTTTAGTCTAGATCTTGGCCCGATCCGACGATTCTGGGCCCCGCCGATGATGCTTGGCGCAATGCGCGTCTAGGTGCCCGGGCGTGCATCTTGTCACGTCGGTGCCGACGACGTACAGGGATCCTAGAACTTCATAAGTTCGGCTGCTCATACAGCTTAATGAAATGCGAATTCGAGAGCAGAAAGTTGCCACAAATATATAATGAACGATAAGGACCTAGCAGAATTGGCACAAAAGTACGCCCACGTGTCATCGTATCATTGAATCGATGGCAAACTGAAGAAAGTCTCCGGGATGGGCTCTTCACTTTGTTGAGCCCTGCCATTGGACGCCTTTGGCTTGGGGTTCTAGAACCAGAGAGTTCGGAATCATCCCAGAATTCACTATCAAGCTGGAAATCGGGGCAGCTTCGCACAGAACGCACAAGACCTTGGCACGGGGATACGTGATAGTATTACACGGCTTGTCGGACTGGAGATGGCAGTAGGTACGCACTGCAGTCTTAATTTCCTATCCGTTTATGCCCCTTGTCCTACTCCTGTTCCCAGGACGCCTACCATGTTTCTTATCTCTCAAATTTTGACAAGGCTGGGCGCTGCTCTCTCCAATAGCACCTTTAATCCAGGGGGTGCCTTCACAATACCGTTTATGACAGACATGAGAGCTGCATTGCGCTTATTGAACCATCAAGCGTGATAGCAATTGTTGGCAGGCACAGGAGTAGGTGCCGGCGTAAATGTCAGGACAGCCCAGAGTGGTCATTGGGGGGTTCGTGCTTAAAGCGATGAGTTGAAATTACCATTTCTCCAGAGATTTGCCACGAGAAAGATCTAATGAACCTGTTCAACATAGAAAAGAGAAAATAGAAAAGAGATACCATCCTAGAACATTCTCCTGACCTGTACAATAATAACCAATTCACTGTCCCCACTGTCAAAGCTCGACCTTGCTCAACTTCACAAAACACTGGGTCGGCTCGGTTGTGAGCGTCATCTTGTGTCCGTAACTGGACAACTGATCCGGGCACCTTGACAGTTTAAAGTTCCACACTATAAGCGTGACCAACATCCGCATCTGGAGATATGCAAGCCTCTTCCCGAAACAGCCTCTTGTGCCCAATGAAAACGCCAATTGTGGTCCAGAGGCAGCATCGAAGTCCTTGCCATCGTTCACCAGCCATCGTTCGGGCTTGAAGGCCCCGATATCCATAGGGTCCCAGTCTGGCCGCGCCTTGCCTGACTTTTTGGCATCCTGGCTGCTGCTATGGCGACTGGCCTCGTCGATGTCGAATCCAGGCGATCGCAGACTAGCACCACCAGAAGGCATCATGACAAGAGTGCCTTTGGGGACCTTATGACCAAGGATCACTGTGTCCACTACTGCTTCTCTGTCCACGCTTTGAACAGTAGGTGCGCAGCGAAGTATCTCTTCCTCAGTAGCCTCTAAGTAGGGAATACGAGCAGAGATAATTTCCTCCACGGTGGGTGCACGCTTCTCGGACTTCGCCAATGAGAAGTGCGCTTGTAAGGCTGATCGAAGGCGCGTTTGGACCTTAGGGTTGTCTGCTAGGAACTTCACGCCCCAGGAGAATGTTGTTGACGTAGTATCGTGGCCAGCGATGACGAAGCCGAAAATCTATCGAAGCCATCGTTTTAGTGTTATTTCACAAATGTCAGGTACATACAGTTCATGTAGCAAGAAAAAGACGCTTTCAGTGTGGACTTACCTCATCAAACATAATAGTAGAAAAGAAATCAGATGCCCGGCCTTCTTTCTCGGCCAATACTGTTTCTCTATAGACCATGTTGTCCACTGCGGAGCGCACTATGCTGCCATCTGGACGATTCTGACTTCTTTTAACTGCCTTTTCAATCTCCTTGCGGATACACTCATCTCTGATCTCTTTGGCCTTCACCAGCTTGGGCATCCTCATCAGGACAGGCCATTTCAGACCTGCGATAGGGCTACCCATGACCTCTGCGAATGTCGAAGTTATAGTGATCACGGACTTAATGAGTTCATCCGTCTCCTGAATGGGAAACTCGATGGGCTCGTCGATGCCGCCCTTGGATCTGAGCTCTTCGGTGGTCTTAGGCTCTAGACGCTCATAAAATTCGAGGGTCTGCTTGATAGCATGGTGCTCGAAACCCTTGCCGTACGCAAAGCCATGGACAGCGTCAAGTGCCGTGTTGTAGATATCGCCGGAGGCTGTAAAGGGCCTGCCCCGTGCAACGTCGGTCTTGATTTCCCAAAGTCGGACGAGATTCGATACGTGGTGGTAGATAACTGGCGCGGCCACACCCTCCAAGAAGCCTGGGCTCATCAGATCCTGCAGAAGGCGTCTGTGGCCTTTCCAAGTGGCGTTTGTTTTCTGCACAATGTGGTGGTTCGGCACAATTCCCTTAAATATATCAATTGCGATGAATGACCTGTCGAACTCCTTCCCCCGCCGCATCAGAATGTCCTGCGACTCTCGGAAGTCATTCACCACCACTATAGGCCGCCCTAGAGGCCGCGTGAAAATCTGGAAAATCGGCGAATCGAGCTCTTTGGCTTGTAATGTGAGCCAGTCAAAGAATGTGACATCACCCGATGCGATGTATTTGCCTAGGGTCATAAAATCACCGAGGATGGAGCTGATGGCGTCTGCGCGATGTGGGATGCCAGGGATGGGTTTTGGGAGAGCCCATTGTCGTAATATGTATATCGCGAGAGTGAGTGTAGCGAAGAGAAAGCCGAGAGACTTAAGACCCCCTGAGTAGGTTTGGAAAATGTGCTGTATCTCAGGCGAGATATCTGCGGTAGACATCGCTAACGTTGTATTTTGTTGCATTTTGTTGGCAACTAGGGGGCTATGATGCAGACGAAGGAATGGGATTCAAAGACTTGTGACTGATATCTCAAAAAAATTCCCAAGCAAAATCCATTGTAGATTCCAAATTATATATCCAGGTGTCCTACCGGCGAAGCCTTGAAGTTCGATTTTTCGGCCGAGGCAATGAGCTTAGATCTCGGCACTCATTGCGCCATCAAATATGCATCTCCACCCACACGCACCTCTGCCGGGCCATTATCTGGTTAGTGACACCGTCGGTCCGTCCCGACGGGAGGCTATGAAAATGTCCACCGGGTTTTTAAGCCTCTCAGGGTCGTATTATGGTGGATCTTGCCAATCGGCATCGCGGGATGAGGTAGCTAGTCAGTCATGCCCTGCACTCGTGCCTGGATAAGAACTTACTCGTCGGAACTCTATTGGACTCCGCAATCCGAAACCCGAATCTCGAGCGCTTTTTAGGGCACCGTACGCTCAACCGAAGGACGAGATCCTCGGGTTTCGGTTCTCACACTTGGTTGTCCCTCCCGTATACCCAACCAGGTAAGACGTAATGCGCTCAAGCCGATATGGCAGACCAGGGACTTTCTGGGCTGTCAACGAGATTGTCGAGGACATGTAATTTGTGCAAAGAGAGAAAAGTCCGATGCATAGGTAAAACACCGGAAGGCGGGATCGTTTGCTTGCGACTTTGCTGACTGGACCCAGTTCCGGCTGGTTCATCTTCCTGTGCAAGCTGTGCTGTAAGTTAGCAAAGGACGATGAGCAGGCTGCCAGTATGAGCTGTATTTTTGGACTTACTGTATTGGTAGAAACGAAAAGTACCATGCCATTTCGCAAGAACAAGACGAGCGCTCAGACAGCCGCAGCAAATCCAGTCCACGGCATCAACCCAGTCGGGTGTCGAGGATGCACATCTCAGTGAGAAACAGCTCTGTCATCAATCTCGCGGCCACTATGCGCGTTACTAATGTAGCAAGGTGTCTCATTGGACGACCACGTCAAGTTCATTTCATCATCCGACTTATTCATCGACCGGATATTGCAGAATCCGTCGCTCGCAGGTGTGCACCCAGTGAAAGATGCTCAGAGCATATTTAAGGTATGGAAGAGCCTCAATCGAGAAGTCGAAATGTAATGGAACCTACGCTGACAAAGACCTGGAGGTTCATGACCATCATCGTAAGCACCCAGTCAAGCGGCCGACATCAAAGGCCGTTTCTTCGCTTTCTGGTCAAAGGTCTGGTAACTAACCGAGATATCAGGGACAAGCTCCAACCTGGCCTACTTCTCTGAAACCTATGTCCGCCGCATTTCCCAGCGTCTAGGACATGACAAACTACTTGAATTGATTAGGACGATGTCGAACATAGTCAATGCAAAGCTCAGTCGGGCCAAACAGGACAGTACTCCCTTATTCGGACCTGCGCGTTCGGCTTCCTCGGGAATTGAGATTTCAGGGGCCAAGCTTAGGTCCTATGTTGAAGCTTACTTTGAGCATGTGCACCCTCTGTACCCTTTTCTGGACAGGCCCAAATTCGAGGCCAGTGTAATGGATGTTCAGACAAGGGACAAAAGCTCAGCATTCCGTGCGCTTTATCATTCTGTTCTGGCACTAGGCTGCCAATATGTGGTTGCGGACTGCTCTTTCACGCCAGGCAAAGGCGAAGCTTGGAGTTATTTCAATGTTGCATTAAGCCTGCTTCCAGACGTCTTGTTACCCCCCGGGGCCCTGGTCAACCTACAGGTATGTCTCTGTATCCAAACATTGACCGAAGTTACTCATCTGACACCTCATCCTCCGGAAGGCAATCACTGCTATGGTAGGTCTTCGTCGTATATGAAACATGTGCTTAAGTGAAACAAGGAGCTAAACTAACTGGCAACGTGTTTTAGGCAATTTTCGGTTCCAATGCAGCATCAATGTCAATAAGCGAGTTTCTGACGATGGAAGCTGCAAGAATGGCTCAGGCATTGGGCTATCACCGTCCCGTCATGAACTCGAAAGAGGATGAGACAACCTGCTACAGAGTATTTTGGGTGGTATACATCCTCGAGAAGTGTGCCACATTCATGACCGGCAAAAGTTCTGTCAGTCATCTCTTTCTGCTCCTTTTTCTCAAAATAGGTCGCCATCTACAAATGCTGACGCACGAGGGGTCTTAGACAATTGCCGACCACGAAGTTGGTTGTCCCATCATCCCAACGGTGGAGGAGCATCTAACAGTCGACTTCGAGATGTTCATCTCCCTTCTGCGGCTGGGCCGGTTGCTCTCACGGGTTCACGAAAGACTGTTTTCTGTTTCCGCAACTTTGAACTCGGTTGAACAGTATCAGACCAACATTGACAGCCTGAAGTCAGAACTCGAGGCATGGAGATGCTCCATGCCAGTGGGCTTGAGGCCCGGCCTGCCGATCAGTAGTACGACGATGTCTGAAGGCTGTCTAAGATTGCACTATGCCTACCATACTTTGTCAATAGCCTTAGGCAGGCTGGACTTATATATAGGCAGGAATGGCAGCAAGAGTGATGCGCATGAAGCCAGGATGAGAAACGCAGAGAAGGAGCTGATGGAGAGCGCGAGAACAGTTGTCCGTCTCACTATCTGCATTGACATACGTCCATACACGCCGATATGGTGAGTGATTCAAATGAGTAGTGGTCGTTGTAAGGTTGCAGGGCAAATATGCTAATGGAACAAATAGGATATTGGCCTCTCTGCCGCTTTCGGCAATGTTTGTTCTCTTCGACATGGTCATTCACAGACCTTCTCACCAAGAGACGGAGACCAACCTCGCCTTACTAGATACCGTGGCTGGATATTTCAGTCGGTTTGACTACGCTACAACGAGCTCAGTGCCTTGCAGTCTTTTCTCCGGCTTTGCTCACATCGCCAATCAGTTTGTGCGCGAGCAGTGGCATAATACCGCTCCGGCAGCACTTGATGCCGAAGTGCAGAACAGAACATCGGGGTCGCAAAGCAGATACTTCGCTTACGGAGGTACGTACATTGTGGATTGGTTTATCTTGTGCAACACACTTGAGAAGGCTGTCATGGACGTCCTGCTGACTTCTAGGTCGTCTGTAATCAGCTGAAGATACAGAAAGTGGCGAGGAACTGTTCTCACAGGGACCCGAAGCTACAACTGAAACACCCTCGTACTCGCTGCTAGGCGATGATGCAACATTTGATGCCCAGCTTTTTGCTGGTTTCGACTTCACAAATGTATTCGAAGTCAATATACCTGGCTTTGGAAGATTCTAAAGGTCATGGGGGAAACCGAGGGTTCACACACACAAAATCAAGCTTCTCTATTGACCCCCTTGGTGTTACAGTGAACGCTGCTAATAGTAGCCCAGCCAGCGCTGGCTTGTTGTTCTGTCACTCAGTAATTGGGGACATCTTAATTGGTGGCAAACCCCGTCACACCAGTGGTAACGTGCATGATGAGGTGAACTTGCGAGTCTAACAGGGTGAATGACGACTAGCTCTTTCGATACGAGAGAAGGTAGAGGGAATGGGTGAAACGGAGACGGCAAGACTCGTGTGAAATCCTTTTCGACTCGAAAGCTCCTCGCCGTTTGAGCAACATCAAATGTGTAATTAACATAACTAGTACTTGCTGGGATCTAGGAAGTGAGTTTTCATGATTTCACTAACAATAAATGGCTGACTAGTTCCCAAAACATCTGTTTCTGATGTTGCTATGCTAGAGAAGGTGCTTTGGTGTGGTGTATCTCCTTTCTGCTGCCTACCTCACTTCTTGACCAAGACTGTCTGAGCATTGCACCATCCTTTGAGCCCGTCCACACCCGATTCGACACCAATACCGCTTTGTTTGTGACCTCCAAAAGACACGAGTGGGCCAACATCGAAATGAGTGTTTACCCAGACGGTACCAGCCTCCAATCGCCGCGTCAGACGCTCGGCTCGCTCGAGGTCACTGCTCCAGACCGAACCACCCAAGCCCATCAAGGACGCATTGGCGCGGCGGAGGACATCCTCTTCATCAGACCACTTGAGAAGCGGCACAATGGGTCCAAACTGTTCCTCAACAACAATACGCGAGTCTTCCGGGGGATTGTCTAGCACCGTGGTCGGGAGAAAGAAACCGTTGCCCGTCTTGGACGCTGAAGAGCCACCACCAAGAGCGACTTTCCATCCTTCCTTGGAGACGTGTCCGTACAGGTCCTGCAGTTTGGCATACTGCATGCTATTCTGGGACGGTCCGAGCACGGCCTCAGCATCCGTGGGACCACCGCTCTTCATAGTCTTGACGAACTCGACGAAGGCTGCAAGGAAAGCATCGTAGATATCTTCGTGCACGTACACACGCTTGATGCAGAAACAAACCTGACCAGTGTTGATAAGAGCTAGAGTTGCAATCTGTCCAACAACAAAATATTAGCCAGGAACAGTAATGCTCCCTCTTCTGGAAGATTTTCATACCTTGGGCACAACTGATGCAATGTCGACGTCTGCGCATACAATGGCAGCGTCGTTACCCCCCAATTCGAGAGTGACACGCTTTAACGTGGGTGCACACGCCTGCATGACCTTTTTTCCAGAGGCCACCGACCCTGTGAAGCTGATTTTTCCAACATCTGGGTGTGCTGTAAACATCGGTCCCAGATCCTCTTCGCCGCTGAGCACGTTGAAGACTCCCTGCGGAAATATCTTGGCTCCCACCTCTCCCAATTTGAGTGCGGTGTAGGGGCTATACGGTGAAGGCTTCCAAATGAAGGTATTCCCGGCGACCAAGGCGGAGACGAGCTTGACCATACCGAGCAGCATTGGAAAGTTCCATGGGACTATGCCAACACCCACACCAATTGGAACGTAACGTAGGACAATGCTCCGCTGTGAGGCCAATGGATTCAGAAATTAGTCAACGCCATGGAGAAAGTAAGGTGTATGACCTCAAGATCATACCTCGTCGGAATCTTCGATTTTCTCTTCAGTCAACCTATGCTTGAGCATCCCACGAATCTGGTGACCGAGCAAGAATAGTTCCATGCCAGCGGTCTGCGGGGGCTTGCCGGTCTCTTTCCCCAGCAGAGGTGCAAAACCTTCCTGGTTGGCCTCAATTGCATCCACAAATTTGAACATGTACGCCGCTCGATCATCCTGAGAAAGGTCGCTCCACGCCGGAAAAGCCGTCTTGGCCGCCGCAACAGCACGGTCAACATCTTCCTGTGTCGAGACCGGCACCTCGCCAAGATTCTCTCCAGTGCTTGGATCGACCGCTCGACGAGTCCTCGCCGTGGATGTGAGCTTGTTATCAATCACATTGTGAAACACCTAGCGCGGGAGTTGGAATCAGGGCCGCGTACACAGATCGGGCAGACGTACCTCGAAATCGTTGAGCTTATAGTCTGTTGTTTGCGCCATTGTGATGTATCATGGGGCCAATGAATTGAATGAGTAGCCGAACGGTCGAAGAGGTGCTTGATTGCAGCGAAGAAGTAGGAATGAAGGTGATGACGGGACTCCAGCGGATGTAACATGAGTGGATCTGGACCTCAACAACCCCCTGTGCCAACATCCAACGAGCCAACTTCCAACGAGCCAACCTGCATGAAACACTGGGTCTCCTGCATTACACCAGCACATTTCAGGCAGGCAAAGGATGACAGCGAGCTTAGGGTGACAGATCCTACCGTATTCTTTTGTCGGAGAGGAGTAAGTAAAGGTTTCAGAACCCTTGGCAATAGTGCCACTTTTTCGGGCTTAGATGCAACCGTTCGCAAAAACAGCCGCCTTTCTGATAGCAAAAAGGTCAACTTTCTATTGCATGTGTCTGTGAGGTTCCCAGCCCTTGCATATGCATGAGACCCCGAGCAGGCGCTCAACACCTGGCGCTTTGCACTCATATCTGGGTACATATATATCTGGGGTGGATGCGCAGTGTGTAGAGGTCACGTGGCTCACACAAAAATATCATATTTATCCCGAATGCTACTTTGCGCCTGTAATTTTGCTTTTGTGTGAGAGGCAAAGAAAGTCGGTCCAACGTCTCTTCTGTCCACGCACGAGCTTGAGGTCGATTGGCCGCGAAACGGCCAGTAATTCAAAGGAAACAGGGGAAATATAGGATAACCTCCCGCAGGATCATCTCTTGTGAGACAACCTCTTGTGAGATAATCTTCTTTAATATAACCTTCTAGAGGTTGATCTCTGGGATAATCTACTGTAGGATGCTGTCCCGCAGGATGGATCTATATGGGGATGTAAGCCATAGGGGGCCTCGCAATGACATGTTGTCATTTTCACGAATGCGGCGGTGATGTTCCAATAGTATATGTGACAGTTAAGGTATGTGGTCCTGACTCACAAGGTGCTGGTTGTCTGATAAAGTCCAATTAATCAAGAACGAGTTATCATACTCGGACACTTAATACAGAGCTCTTGGATAATTTTGACTTTAGCGTATGTAAGATGCAAGATGAATACCGCAAGTATATCAGGCATCGTGGAGAATTAAAATGGGTATCCCTGAAATTCTCGATATTGCAGTAGGATGAAGAAGGTAGTACAATATTGACCGCACGTCCGAACGCTCAACAGGGGGGTGACTGTTTTATTTCTCTCACCCATCATTGTATCGTATACTGGGACCCGAAGAATCCATGTTCTGAGCCTCAAATCCCTGACAACATCAGATGGCACTGTTGGGGACATAAGTAAATATCGATATTGACGAAGGTGTGATATCGCATCGTTGTATTATCATTTGGATCTCAACTACATAATTTCATCAATGCTGCTAGTCTGAGTGGTTCCGGCTCTATTTACTTTGAACAGCGTGTTTAATACGGAACTCGTTACGTTTTCAACTTTTTTGTTGCACTATAACGCTACGAGGAATAGAAGAAGCCTGTCAATTTTTCAAGGTTTCTGAATAAACCTTGCTGGCGACTTGCGTGACGACGACGAGATTAGTCGGAGTTTCCTGCATGCGCTCTAGAAGAAGACATCCGCCACTTTCGTCCCTAGCGCTGAACTCAGCCCTGGGATATTACCACTACCAAGACACCGATCTAGGATCATTCTGACCACACAAGGCATGGATGACAAGCATTCATTCAAAGTTGCGTGTTGTTATCGGTCCATTCATGGCTCGTCCTGAACGGATATCTAATGGTGCAATACCTTGACCCCAGTTTCCAAAAGTACCCCGCGTGACGGCCGGTGACTCACCGGTCTCTTTTTAATAAGCACACAGGACAACACCACCGACCCAAAATTCTTTATTACATTTCTCAATTAGACCGTAATGGCAGATGAAAACTCACTCGTGCAGAAGCTCTTGAAAGAGCTATCGCAGACACAGTATGCCTGCTCCGAGCTTACGAAGCTGAGCGGTGGGACTGCAAACTATCTTTACCGCGGCACCCTAATTCAGCCTCTCGACTCGCAGATTGACGTGCCGGAAGCAGTCACCAAGACGGTGGTAATTAAGCATTCAGAGGACCATGTGCCAGGCAATCGAGACTTCTTGCTCGACATTAAGCGCTGTGTAATGATGACCCCTACATTCACCCGTCGTCATGCGGTCTGAGTGTGTCCTGATCTCTTCTATCTTCTGCTAGGTATTTGAAGAGTCCATGCTCCATGGACTTGTCAGCTTCTCAAAAGACATCACGACTACAGACACAGTGGTGAGGTCGCCACGCCTTCACTTGTTTGATCGAGAGACGAATACGCAGGTCTTGGAGGATTGCTCCAATACCACAGACCTGAAGACACTATTAGTCTCCCCGAAAGTCAAAGCAACTCTACCAGGAACCAGCGCTGAATCCATCGGCCGCGATTTAGGGCTCTGGCTTCGCTCGTTCCATCAATAGACGTCAGAACCTGGGCAGGCTTCGCTCCGAGCAACCATCAGCCAGAATAAAGAGGCGCGCAAGTTGAAGTGCAAGATTACTTACGATAGCTTCCTCAAAGTGCTTGAGATCTATCCAGATCTTGCACAAGACCACATGGAGACGTTGAAAGCCGTAAAGGATGCGATCACCGCAGAGTTCTCGCTCAACGAGCCACCGTTAGGTGAGGACGGAAGCTGGGGACTCATACATGGGGATTTCTGGACGGGCAAGTAAGTCACAAAAATCGATTGAATCAGTTTTTGACGATTCCTAATTTATTGACTGAGCCAGTGTGCTACTTGCAGATGCCCCATGGCAAGAAGCTCGAAGTCCTGACCGAGCTCCTAACAAGCTTTTCATAATTGATTGGGAGCTGGCTCAGTTCGGCCACCGGGCTATTGATGTTGGCGCAATGATGGCCGACCTTTACGAGCGAAAGCACTTCAAGGATGTTGATACTGTTATACCAGCGATGAAAGGATTCGCCGACGGATACGGACGAATCAGTGATGAGATGGCTTTTCGCACTGCTATTCACGCAGGCGTCCACTTGATATGCTGGCACATTAGGGGCAACCCAAACCTTCCGCTCTCAGCTCCTATGGACAAAGTCCTGTCCGCACTGGCACTCGGAAGGGACTTTATTCTCAAAGGATGGGAAAAAGACAGACAATGGTTTGAGAGCAGTGTTCTGGCACCATTATTTACGACACGCTAGCACCTGAGATAAATAAACTTTTCATAGACGTCACCACAATGTTGTTAACGTAGGCTGAGTTGGAGACAATATATAGACTCCTATGGAACAAGTCTATGTTTCTTATATGCAACCTCGATTGGCATTTTGAAATACTATATACAAAATGAATCACTTCGCCCCAGCTCGTGGACTCGGCGAAGTTGTAACAACGTCAAACCCACTCTTAAACCATCTTGGGGACAACAATCTCCGCGATGGTCCAGACCTTGCCATTCTGGCTGCTTGCCAGGCCAGAGTAGGTAGCCTTCTGGGCGGTGGCGATGGTCTTGCCGAAGCCAGTATCGGCCCCGGCGAGGGTGATCTCGGTGTTGATGTAACGCTGTTCGGCAATGGTAGGGCTGCAGTTGTCATTGCACTCGGTACCGGTGCCGTAACCCCTCATGAATGGGCCCGACTTGTGCTCGAACGTACTGAGCTCCTTGCCGGTATCGGCATCGGTGACGGTCTGGCGCCAGGTGTCGTTGTCCGAAAGCAGCTCGTACACGATCTTGACCTTTTGGTCTGCGGATACGGGGCTTGCGGTGCCGTCAAGCTGGCCGAAGGAACCGAAGAGCGAGGCGCGCACGCACCACTGACCCTTAACGGCGCCGCACCACGAGTTGTCGGCCCAGGATTCGAGGGTCGTCTGGACAAGATCGCCGGTGCCGTTTGACATACCGGGCCACAGGAACAGGACGCCGTTCTGCGTAGAAGGCGCCGCGCCGGGGATGAGGGTTGTGACGGCTTTGACAATAGTTGAAGTTGTTGGGCCAAGGGAGACGGAGCCGCCCCAGCTGTCTGCGAGAGATGTGCCAATCATGGCAGCGGCAACAGCCGTCTGGAAGAGCCCTGAGCAATGCATAGTGATCGTAGATGAACGAGAGACTTTTTAAGGAGTGAAGACGGTTGTTGTCTTGACCTGGGATGAATGATGAAGGATGATGAAAGCAAATATAAGCATACCTGGGGACTTCCAGGCATTTTATCATCTTGGGCATCTGCCCTCGGAAGACAATGTCTACGATCGTGGCCCCACAAACGAGAGTCCTCGTTCTGGAAGGCCAAGATGGTGGCTTTCCCCTGATGAGGAGCTTTCTCCATGTCCACCAATGAGAAATTGTGCCGAATTGTCAACTTCTGGCGACGGACAGCATCCGCTGCCATCGCTTCCCTGCGCCTACTGCTTTTCTGCCAATGATGGTCGTGTTCGGCTGTCGGCAGTGCCCCTGGGCTTGTTCAGAGGAGAAAAAGTCGTTTGAAACTGACGCCCATTTAAAGTTAAGGAGTAGACTTAAGGCCCATTGAGTGGGGACGGCTGTTTGAAACATCCACCAAGGTGTCCACTATCGTTCGCTCGAATGCAATGGACCTTGAGAATAATCCGGCCTAGTCCGGAGCTAGTTGGGCATGGCAGTATGTCTTGCATGCTCTAAATCAAGTGCCATTGAATTGCTAGCTCCGGGACTTCTCACACAAGACGTACCTATCTGGCGCATGTGTACGTTTGGAACCTGGAGAGCTCTAGTCCACAGAGGCAAATCTGACAACGCTTCTTCTGGTCAACGCGCCCGTGCAATTTGAACCGGATGTTCCCTTTTCCACTCTTGGCTTCGCCTCCGTGACGGACATTTGGCGCCCGTAGACATCCAAAAGGGGACAACGTAGTCCGATGTGGGTCGAAAATTAACTGGGGGTCCCCAGTTTGACACAGGGGGCTCTTACTCTAGCGATGGCTTATTGATTCATTGACGGGCTGGACCATCATCTACAACAACCCACTAGCCATAAAATCAGAGCCACTTCAGCTAGACTCTTTTCGTTACTCCTCTCCGAAAGCTCCGTAATGTGAATGCAAGCTCAGTCTGATCAAGCAAGCTATCACCAGAGTCAATTCCGCTTATTAATGGTTATTAGGAAAAGGGGTTTATCAAAATATGCGATGGCAGCGCTTTTGAGGCGATTGTGGCTCACTTGACATAAGAGACGACCCGAATTCAGATTTGTGTAAGGTCTAGTGAGCAAAGAACAACAGGTTGATACCTAGCCGCCCAAGCGTCTTTGTGCAAATCGATGCCGAAGAACAGAGGTCCTAGTGCGCACCATTGAGACATATCGAAACACGCAACGTATTGTGCACGGAAAACACAGGTACCATGAGAGAAAGTCATAGGCTGAAATGTACCACTCGTAGAAGAAAATGAGATTTCAATTTAAGACGTTGCGCTGCATTTGAGAGCACAGAGTACCTGTTTTGCATCCCAATAAGTCGAGCGGTGGCACAATGCAGACAGTGGAGGCAACACAGATAGAGAATCTGTTGATTTCGCAAAGCGCGCTTCTCTAGAAGATGTTTCCTTACGTGAAACGAGCGTCAGAAGACTCAAGCGCAAAAAGAGTTCCACCATCCCTGTGTAGGATGTCATGGAGTGTTGTTCTTGAGGGTGAGAAGGTCAGTCCAAGACCAGGTTGGCGGACAGGACCCGGTGACATGAAGTCGCAGAATTATGACTCTGAAACTGCTGGCAATCTCAGCGATATATCATGATAACCAATCTTGTGTCGGCAGTGTAGTTCTCTTTGTCTTCGATCTCCTCGAAAAGGAAGAAAGAGCACCACGTCTGAAGCTCAAGAGACTGGAGAAGTCAAGAAGACGTCTGAGCCGAATCCAAAGCCCCGTTAGCGACAAGGTCCTTTCTGCCTTCGATGTAATGAGAATGCGAACAGATAGATGAAAGCTGTGCCCTCAAAGCTCAGGGGATGTTCGAGCTCGGCGGTAGATTTCGGGAGCTTGTGAGCTCGGCTCGGGCTACCCTGTAGCTTGCCGGTAAGGACGACACGTAAGTAGTGTCCTCTGGTGCCTGTTACGAAAGAATTGTAATGCAGGGCTAGGCTGGTGGCAGCAAGTGCAATGATTAGAGAGGAGTCGAGCATTGGTGAGTAGCAAATTGGCATTGAAGGGAAATACAAGGTTGAAAGGTGGTGCGGAAATAGATAAGCACTGCAGGCAGTATAGACAAGGTAGACCATCACCATCCGGTGCCGGTCCTCACTGCCCTGAGACTACTCGGGTGGTGGCGGTGAAGTATCAGAATGGTTGCCCCAGCGGGTAGCAACATGTTCGAGGTCTATGAACCATGTCATCTGGTCATCGATATGGCTTCGTCGAGATGAGTCAGTGAACAAATCACCGGCCGGCTTGTTGATATGGCGGTGCTAAATGATTGCCATGGACACGGACCTTTACGGCACCACCCACTGCTATCGGCTGCACTTGAGGAAGATCGCTCTTAAGCGAAAGAATTGGTGCGAACGCCGTCTAAAATCCGCTGATGGCGGGCTCAAAGCCTGCAATACCTCAATGCTAAAACTAAGAATGAGTCCAAGTCGATATGTTGGCTATGGGAAGTCACCCTCGCAGATTGTTGTTTCTTTCACCTTGAGGTTCTCGACCGTCACATTACATACTTCAGATCGTTATCACGACATTCATTTTTATTTTTTTGGCGGCAACCAAACCCCATATCCAGGGATTGTTGACACGGATTTCACATTCGCGATACTACTTTGCGAGCATGGACGACCTGGGACGATCGCAACCCGACTCTCGCCGGGGTGGTCATTGGAGCAGCCACGCAGAAGTTCAAGCAGGACGCGAAAAGCCTCCGGCTGTTGTTATATTCCTGTCCAGAAAGCTACTGTGGACAACCTTTGCCATGTAAGGCCTGACAGTTCTGACGTGTGATAAAAGTTCAATGCCAAAGCTTAAGAAACTAATCAATCACACAGGATTTACATTGCCCACTTCGTTCATCTTCTTGTCGGAACCATGGTGATCAACCTGGAACCATATGTCATGTTGGATTTCTCCAGTCATAGAGCTTTTTCCGTCTTGCCTATGGTAGTACGTATAACGAGCAGTGTGCTCAGGCTTCCTATAGCCAAGTTCATTGACGAATTCGGTCGAGCTCACGGCTTCCTCATGGTAACCGCCCTCGCGGTTTTGGGTCTTTTCATCCAGGCTGTAGCCCGAAACCTAGCGACAATCGTTCTCGCTCAGCTTTCTCAAGGTATTGGGTTCAACTCTGTGGATTACGTCTTGACTATCATTTTAGCGGACATGACATCACTCAGAAACCGAGGTACGCTTCCCGTCTCCCAGCGCTCTGTCAAGATTCGATTGAAATGTAGTTTCTAGTCTCAAATATTGCATTTGAGAACCATAGGACGTCTTTGAGACACCGTTTAACATTATACTCTAGCTCATTTGTGGTTGAGACTTTGCTGATTGGACAATTGGACAGCTCTGATTTACGGCATCTATGTGACGCCCATCGTCGTCACAATGTTCCTAGCGCCACAAATCGCTGAGTCTATGCAGGCTCATTTTGGCTGGCGCTCCGCATCTGGAGTTTCCGCCAGCATCATGACCCTCATTTCACTTCCCATTTCTGTTGTCCTTTTTGGTGCTCAGCGCCATTCCAGTATCGCAGATCGCCCGAGAGACTACAATTACACTACGCCAAGTTCCCGTGGACGTTGGAGCCGCTTCATTGTCGAAATCGATTGTCCGGGTGTTGCTCTTGCAATACTTGGACTCTGCTTGACCTTATCCTCCTTTCCTTACGCATCTACAGCCCCGAGTGATCGGAAAAGCGACGCAATATCCATGCTCGTTTTTGGACTTACTAGCTTGGTTGGATTTGTTGTATGGGAAAAACGCTTGGCTCCTGTCACTTGCCTCCCTTGGCCTTTCATGAAAAGCCGAAGCATCCTTGGCGGCTGTCTGACGGCAGTATTTTCAATGGCATCCGTGCAGTGCTGGAGTTCCTACTACAGCTCGTATCTTCAGGTGGTTAATTGCCAGACAAGCGCTTCTGCTGGCTACATTGCCAGCGTACGTCCATTCGCCTTCGCGGTGGCTGCCCCATTCATTGGACTGTAAGTCGCAGCCCTCAGCCTTGTTCCTACGTGTTTGTATTTTGTACAAGAGGTAACCATCGAATAGGCTCATTCGGACCACTGGGAATTACAGATTTCCGGCTCTCTTCGCTGTTATCGTCCTGGGGATTCCCACCGGGCTTCTTCTGGGGTACCGCGGCCCCGAGTTCTCAGTTCACGTCCTGTCCAGATACCAAGCCATGATAGGATTTTGTGAGACATATCTCATGTCTTGCAGTCAAATGGCAGTCATGGCAAACATCCACCACAACGATATTGCTCTTGGTGTGGGAATTTGGGGCATGTCTCTGTCAGTAGCATTTGCCATCGTTTCTTGCTTCTCCCAGGCAATATGGACGGGCGTTGTGCCCAAAGTCTTGGAAGATGCTCTCCCAGCCGACAGCAAGAACCTTACCACGCAGATATATGGCTCTTTAGATAAACAAATGGAGTATCCATGGGGGAGTTTGATACGCAATGCTGTTGTAGCAGCGTACTTGGCAGCCCAAAAACAAATGGTCATTGCGGGTATATGCTGCGTACCGGTGGCTTTCGCGTGCCTATTCATGTGGAAGGATACCAATGTGAGGAATCGCAACGATCGCGAGTACCTTGGGGAAAGAGATGTAATATATTAGTCGCAAATAGAATTGCTTGATTAAGTCTTGCACTACAACGAGATACCCAGTCCTGGGGCGAGCCGATGGTGCGGTAGGCACACATATCACTGAAAGCTTCTGCATTTCATGAATCTCTCAATTTCAATTTCAAGCACGATTCCCATGTACGATAATGATTGAAACCGCTTCCAAGCCCACTAAGTCAGTCTAGATCCTCTGTGCGAAAGTTATCTGAAATATCTAGCCTGCTTTGTTTTCAGGTGATTTGCTGCTTGTCCCCATCAACCCATGAGAAAAACCTCAGCACTGGTAGCTAACTATCTAGTCCCATTGAGACTTCAGACCATTCACCCCTTCAGGCACCTCAGCCAGAGTCGTAATACGGAACCCTTGACGCAGACCTTCGCCTTCGTCGCTCACATCATAGTCAGAGATGGCGGTGTGTGCCGTAACGCGATTGTCCCACAGAGCAACCGTCTTATCGTCCCACTTGACGCGCGCCTGAATGTCTTGGCTCTGCGAAATATGCTATGATACAACTGTATTAGCAAATTGCGTCGATTTGATACACATTTTTCCGGACACACCTTGAACAGCAGTTGCAAGATCGCATCCGATTCCTCGTCCTTCAGGCCAACAATGCGACGAGTGAATCCCGGGTTAACAAAGAGGACCTTCTGCTTTGTGACGGGATGAACTCGGACAATCGGATGGTAACTCTTGACCGGCTCACGCCTGACGAAGTGGCCGTCTCTGCGGGCGTTCTCCGCCTGCTGGAAACCACTGTGCTCGGCTCTAAGCCCCTCCAGAAAGACTTTGAGAGGCTCCGAGAGTCGATCATAGGCTGCTGCTTGTGAGGTCCAGCCAGTGTCGCCGCCAGTCTCTGGGACCTCGAGGAGAGTGAGCAGCGTGATTCCTGGGGTCTGATGTTCATATGAGACATCCGAGTGGTAACCCGTAGTGGTGAGTTTACTCGTGCTGCGACCCAGACGATACAGATTATCCTTCCCAAGGTAAATTGAGTGGAACTCAATGTGGTCCTTGACATGCGCACCAGTAGGCTGCAGGTGGTAAGCAAGCGCAAACTCCCGAAGTGAAAAGACGAGAACATACGTGTACATGAAGACGACCAAAGTATTGGCCGAACTCCTTCTGCTTCTCGGGTCCAATATCCTTGAAGTCTTGATTTCGAAACACCACAACGCCACGTTCGGCTATCAACAAGGCAAGTTCATTCTTCTGAGCGTCCGTCAACTGGGACAGCTGAAGACCTGTGATTTCAGTGCCGACGCGAGGTGTCAGCTTTGAGACCTTCAAGTTAGAGTCATCCTTGCGCAGGAGACTCGGTTTTGCAGGATCCGCGTCCAATCCGCGGTCTTTGAAGTCAAACAGCTCGGTATATGGGAACTTGGTGGTTGTGTCATAGACTGGCAGGTAGGCGGCATATTTGGACTATCTTGAACATCAGAACGACATAAAGTAACCAAAAGGCAGTGATTTGTAGGAGACTTACTGCATTATGGACTTTGTCATCGTATGCCACAGCAAGCTTGATGGGCTTGCCCTCAGCGTTGGCGGATTCTACGGTTTGAGTCACTGTGGCCATCTTTTCAATATGTCTCTGGTGCAATTCTGGGTCGAGGCATCATTGACTTCATGTCGTATGCATGCTAATTTATATCTCGACTTCCAAATGCCAGTCGCCGTCATCATTTGTATGGGCGGCTATGTGATTGCACATGCGAACTCTTGAAGCACGACATTGCGCCCCCGCATTGCAAGCAACTTTAGAACCTCTTGGACGAAGACGCAATGCCGGACGGCCACTATCATTAGCCAGATGAGAGATCCTAAATCGGGTTTCCGTAATCGGTGTTATATAGATTTCAGCAATCGGATCAATCGGCCGTTAATCTGCGTGGGGTGCAAATGGGAGGCTAGTTGCCGGTACGGACTCAGCGTGAGAAGATCTCACCCGAACTTGGCATGGAAGGAAGCGAAGCGAAACACTTTGGTATCATCACTAATTGGTGTTCACTTAGCTCTTATTTGCTAGGAAATGAGTTAAGTCTTCCCGGCAACAGTACTTCGGCCAGTACACGTCGTGCAACAAGACACATCATCTCGCCGTTAAAAGAGGATATAGGAACAAGCACCGGTGATTGTGAAATGCATAGTCTAGTATTGTGAATGTGACATGTTCTGGAATGTGCATACTTGCATTTCGAAAATGTGATGTATTTGGGGATAAACCAGAACTCCTATACTGCTCAGAGACAACGTTGATCCAAACTCCTTGGCATCCTTTTCCAAACTACTGTATCACATCTCACTTTGATATCGCATCCTGTTTGACGAGGGGCCAAGCTGGGGAGACCACCAGTGCTGTCAAACTTCAATCAGCCATACTCACAACAGAGTTCAAAGATCAGAACGCCGTGCCACAACAGCAGCATCCCCCTTGAAATTTCTTCTCTTGGCGCGAGCTTGCGTGCCCTTGTAGCCGGTTTGCAACGCCTTGACATGCGCGTAATCATAACTGTCCTCACCGAAACTCCAAGCCATGATGCCACCAAGTTGCAACCCAGCTACCACGTCCGTAAATTTCCTGCCAATGTGCGACGGAGTATCCCACGTCCAGAAAGTGTTGGTTCTTTTATCAATATACCACTGCCCCCCATTTGTGTCATCGCTCTGGCCACTTTGATAGACGCGCTGGAAAGTCTCAGTTGTGACTGGTGCCGTGCAAAGCCCATAACCAGACAGACAGCCGCTTCCGCAGTATTCCTTTCCGGTGCCACTGGTAATTGAAGTCATCAGCATTCATTTTCAAGAGAAAAGCATAATGAACTAGACCAAAAATGGACACGTAACCGTACCAGTACATTGAAGAACTGCAGCAATTCGCGTCAGGACATTTCAAGTGTATCCCATCTACACTTCCACATCGTCCATTGATCGAGGTAGAAACGGAACTCGGTGGCCTGCCAAGGTTGAAGTTTTCAAAAGTGAAGATGCCCGATAAGCCATTGTCCGATCCATCGGCGTTCTCGAAGCCCTCGACGCTACAGCCGATGGGGTTCTCGCATTTAGCATCGGCCTGAAGCGTGAACCATTTGGCATAGAAGGGGAATCCGACATTCAGTTTGGCAGCTGGTATGCCATTTTTGATATACACACTCATGCTCTGTTTACAACCAGTGACGGAAGCGTGATGCTGCGTCTTGCTTGAGCGACGATTCATCAAGTCGTACGACATGACCTGCCACTCTTGTTAGATAGCTTGGCCAAGTGAAACAAGATTTATACGTTGGGAGACGAGTGCACTCACATTCACGAAGTCAATGTTCGGCACGATAGCCTGACAGACAGCTGGCGTGAAGGCGCCCATGTCTGCTTCAAGGCCTGGTACTGCGATGGAGAGCTCCTTCCCATTCCCAACTGCACCTTTGATAGCTCCCAAGAATGAAGGATAGTTCTTGATCTGTTCCTCGCTTGAGCTCGCGGCATTTCCGAGTTTGTAATCAGCGCCGCCGCCACCAGGATATTCCCAGTCGATATCTGCCAAAGAACATGTCAGCAGAGCTCTGCAAACCAGATGACTCAATTGGAGTCATGATTGGCACATTTTCATACCGACGCAGTCAAACCCAAGTCGTTGAACAACACTAGCGATGTTATTCGCATAGCTCGCTTGGTTTGCAGGAATAGAGCCCTTCTCAAATCCAGTGTTGCTCCCCCAGCCCCCAATGCTTAAACAAATTTTCGCTTTGGAGGAGAATCGTGTTTTGACACTCTGGACCGTCTCGAAAGGCTGCCAGCTTGATGAGTTTGCGTTGTCGAGGAAAGTGTCGCAGGGGGCAAATGCCACGACGGCGTGGGTGACCTCCGACACAATAGATGGGTCAGGAAGGGACAGATTGTGGTATCTATTCGCCATCAGAGTTTCGTTCTCCGATCACAGAACAGAATGGATATGGCCTACTGATCGTAATACATTACGTATCGCAGCGCCGACGCCACTGTGGCAGCGTCGGCCAGCAAAGCCAACAGTGGAAATCTCATATCGAGTCCCTTTCTTTCTTTCTTTTCTTTTTTGGATGACTTTCTCGGAAGCTTGTGATGTCAAATTTTCAAATTCAAGTGCAGTGACTTCAATCTTCTGTTGCAAGGCGGGCCTATTCCTCCTCGAGTATGTCAACGGCACAAGAGATGCCTCAGCGCGCCAGGGGCGGAGTCCCGGATGGCTACTTCAGATTGACTTGAGTATCTGGTCAGCCGCGGCGTCGAACAAGAAAGCGACATAGCTTTGGTGACATTGAATCTCGTAGAGTTCCTCGGCGACTACGGGCCGAGATGTGTCTTTGTGCAATTCGGGAGATGATGTCAGTGATCCGAAACCGTCCAAAACCGTACACTAATTTTTCGATTTTACGTGCTTGGAGGTTACAGAGTCACTCTCAATAATCTACAGGCCGGTAGAAGTCTTTCATCTTATTTTCAAAGCATATCCAGATTTGTTGACCTCTCATCGTGCTGCGAAGCCCAAGAGCCAGCCACCGGTCCTGCACAACGGTACAGGAGCATCGGTCCAAGGGACCGTTGAAAACTTGGCCTAAGCACTGTCGTATTGTTGATAATTGCTGTGATTTTTGAAGAGTTTTTAGATCAGGATGTTGAGAATCATTCAGCTGGGTGCAGATTCTTTCAACAATTTAGTGTCGTCCACTGAAATTAGAGTGCAAGGTTGTATCGCGGCCGCTGTTGGAAATATTTAGATTTGAGGATTAACCCGTCAAAGAGAGCATGGAAGTTGTTGAATCTCTCGTCGAGAAGGGAGCAATCTCAACGCCAGATTTGGCCATTGGACAGCTCCCGACGACCGCCACAAACCGATAGATACTTTCCTTCTCGAGCGCGGAGTAATTATCGATGTCTCAGAACAGACGACGGTAGAAAGGGCCTTGGTCCTTGTAGCAGTGATTGAAGATTGGGAGATGCTAGATCTCCTCGTCAATAGAGAATAGGGAACCAACATTATATTGGAGCGGATAATTCAAGACCGGTTCTTAATGCCTATATCGCAAAGGGCAGCTTCAAGATAGTAAATTATCTTGTTAGTTGAAGCATCTATGTATGCACGCCGCTAACTGCGTCGGCGGAGTAGATCTGTGCGCTGGCTACCTAAATGAAGGCGTTCCGTGCCCGGGGCACACCTGGTTGCCGTGGAGAGTCCAAAGAGACACCAGCCAAAATCGTACGAGCCTCGTACGAAAACAATTCATCAACGGGTTGAGGTAATGAACATAAAATTGCCGCCCCAGGCGGCCCAATCTCGAGGAACCCCTTAGTCGTTGGATGCCGGTCAAGTTGTACCTAATTTTTGAACGCAGAGATGTTCACTTTCACGGCGAACTCTGGTTCACGCCGCCTCACCAGAACTTATGTTCGTCATCTGATATTCGTCTCGCATATACTTGAGTCGCTCCCACGACTCTTGTGATATTTCCGAAGGAACGCGTCTCTCCTCGTCCGAGTGGCGGCTTCTTCGCGAGGAGAGCATTGTTCGGAGAGACGTCAGCAAGGGCTGTACCGAGAATTTGTCGAGGAAGCGAGCGCTGGGTGGGAGGCATGACACCACGAAGCCCACACCGATCTCGATGTAGGTCCAAAAGAGCAAGATCGAGATGATGCCTGCAGGTGGAAGTCAGGAGACTGAAATGAGGTATGTACATCTTGCCGGTGATTTTGTGAGACTCACCAACTTGGTCAACAGTCGTCATATCAGTGCCGAGGATCCTGGTAGTAGAGTGCACGGTGTCTTCCACGCGGATTTGAAGCATGATGATCATCCTCAATAGCCCTGCGACGACGGCACTGAAGAGCTAGTTAGCGATTGTGTAAAGAAATTGCGCAAAAAGGTGCCCACATCTGACTTACAAGGCACTGAAAAGGAAAAGGAAGGATGCTTGTATCTTCCTCTTCCTACCCATATTGAGCTTTCCAATCTAACCTCGTGTGAGCAAATTCCTAGCTCTTAGGCCTGCAACATCTTTCGCCCGATGGCGTTTTGGGCACTCACCACCAAAAGTGGCTCCACCAGGATAGCCACGTCCAAGACCCAACTGATCACTCCACAGGCCAACATCATGGAGAACGTATCCATGCATTCATGACGCAGCGCAGAGAGGCTCCTCCAGGCCGCGGACGGGTCGTCGCCGCACGCGAGGACTTCCGTGAGAAAAAAGATCACCGTCCAGAGAGCAGTCAGAGTGATGAGAGTCCAGTTGGCGTAGTCAAAGGGTGTTCTCTTCGTATGTCCTAACACGGCACACAACGAGTCAGCGTTTTACTTTCTACACGGGGGAGCAGCAGCCCTTGGGTGGAGATTTGGGGGTTGGGGGGTGACGGTGAGACGACGAACCTTTGAAGATGCGACGGAAGAAGAACAAAATGGACAATTTGATCAGGCCCATAGCCCAGACGTGAACAGGCCAGAACGCATACTCAAACTGCAAAGAAAGGCATGAGACGCTTTCTTCTGCGAGGAAGGGATGCCTCGGTACCTACTTTCGCGATTTTGGAATCGGCCTCTGCAGTCAGTGAATGCCCTCCAAGAACATGTATTTGCGCTCCTGAACCATGAGTGTTAGATTCCTCAATATGGTATTTGTAATGATGGACACACTAACCCACGGTCACTGCAATACCGGCTCCAATGGTCAGAAGCTGAGGATGTTGGTCAGCATCAGCGCTGATGTGCTGCAATGCTTTTTGTTTGAGGACTCCACTTACACCAGCAGGAATGGCAAGAATCCCATCGATCTCAATGCCCTTAGCATAGAAGCGCTGAGCTTGTACCCGCACTGCGAACGCTATCACCGCCAGGCAGGGGAAAAGAATGCCAATGGCGGTGATAGTGCCTTCAGTCACGTAGGTCATCAGGAAAGGCTGGGCGACGCGGAAAATCTCGGATAGAGCTGCCCGCTAGAAAAATAATAATAATTACACAGTTCTGACTGTGATGGGTGAGAGATTTCGAAAGATTACATTTAGCAAAGGGGATAGGAATCAGCATGACATTTGATTTTGCTCTATGCTTAATGAATTCAAAGTGGGGCAAGTTGGGAAAGTCCGCTGTGCTGCCCAAGTGCTTCTTTTCATTGCTACCCTCCGGTAGCGCTGAATGATTGATTGACCGTCAACCTCCGAGTGGGTGGTCGATGGACTACTTACACTCGGGTTATGAGACGATGCTACCCTGATCACGGACTGATATGTGATTGGATTGAGCGCATTACCAATAAGCTGACAGCTGAAATGGGTAGCAGTCTCACTAGGTACTAAAATCGGACGACTTACGAGTTTGGACAGTGTGGACTTCTGCATGGTACTGTATTCCGAAGGCTGGTCCCAGTGGTAATCGATCCAGGCATCGCTCAACCCTCTTGGTCTTCCTGCTCACCCAGATATTGCACAGCCTAGACGGGGAATCTCGAAGATTTTGCCCGTCACAAATAATCACTTGAAACCTCCTGAGTATTTCCCGGGCTTCTATTACTTATGCTTACCTTCTTTGCACTTCCTTCGAGACATCATGGCCAACACTGGCACATCCGCACATCCCGAGACGAAGCCTTTTCTGCAACTGGAAGAGGACACTGAAGCAAGAAGGTCAGACATATGGAACGATGAAGAAGACCTTTCGCGCAGACATGGAGGCAGCCGGCCGTCAAGATTACAAAGAACACCATTATGGCTGCATCTAATACTCCTCCTTCTGAATGTGATCTTGGCTGTGTGGAACGGCAGGGCAGCGACCAAAACCTTAGGGATCACTCATGATGCAAATATTGAGGCTGGGGAAGGGTTCATTCTGTGTATGTCTTCCATCCTGCGGTCTGAAACTCCACAGCTAAGGAGACCTAGCACCCGCAGAAATGATTATTCACGACTTTGTGGAGGATTATGTTCCCAGCTCGCCTATGAGCAGCCCATTCACCGGCGAATGGCGGCCAGAAGTTGACGAAGCGTGGTCTAAATTGCTTCAGCGTGAGTTTCCTGGCCCCAAATTTGCCTTTGCTGATAGAGGTATAATGACCGGAAATTGTGTTTAGCATCCACCATTCGGCTGTCGGAAGAGGAGATGAGAGCGATGAACAAGACCTCGGTGGTCTTGAAAGACGGATCTGGCTATGTCGGATACCTCGAGACGTTCCATATGCTCCACTGTGTTGTGAGTGGCCCACAAAATCGTTCGCGACCCGACAAGCCAAGCACTGTTTGCTCATGCATCACATCCCCTCAGAAACGATTTTATCAGTTCGGAAACAGGGAAAACTACCCCGATGTCCAAGCGATGGACGGCTTTAACCCTGCCCACATAGGTGAGACCAGTAGTAGCAGAAGGCCTTGTCTTACCATGTTCTGACAAACTACAGATCATTGTCTGGAGATTTTACGAGAAGGTATTATGTGTAATGCAGAAGCTAAAGTCAACACGTGGGCATGGCAAACTCCTGATGCACTCACAGGTCTGAGAGGCGGGCCACGGAAATGTACTAACTGGGAATCTTTCTTCTCGTGGGCAAGCAGCCGAGCTGTAACATACAGTAGCTTACAGGAGTTTCATTCCATGCTGATACCGCAGGAATAGTCAGAGCGCCTTAGTCGAATTTGAATATAGACTATCAAGATTAGATGGCGAATAGGCAATTACCTGTAAATCTCCTATCTACTGTGCTTATATGAATTATCTGTTTCCTCTTGTCTCTATGGGCACTGCCCAGGCTGATTAATCATCTTCTCTCTCCCCATTCCGATGATGAATCGGCTACACAAAATGAATGGGAATTGACGTCTTAATAAGACACGATGGTTGTAGAGCAGAGGCATCACTGAGCTAAATACTTCCCAAGAAGTATGCTATTGTGTCCAGAACATGACCATGGCCCTCGTTCAATATACGTATTGTGGCTATTCTTATATATCGGGGCCCATTAACATATCAGTGCTTGTGGATCTACCTCTCATCCACGCATGCAAACTATCCCAGTTTACACATTTCTGCGGACCTGGAGCGTGGTGAGCAGGGATTTCCTGCTGGCTTGCTTCCCAATAGAGGGTGTACAATGTATAATCCACTTGACACATGACACTCTGCCGCAGATAATCCAAGCAGTGGTCTGTGGTCTTGTCAGACAAACGAAGGAACAAATTCTGGAGTTTGCACCGACCTGCGTGTATCTGGGTATGAAGAAATGCGTCGCTGAAGAGACTCAGGTCAGGGTAAGACTGCTCACGGTAGATGAACTTTTTAATCAAGCGCTGTCCACCAAATTCCGTTAGGTATGTGCTTTGCCAAGGGTGTGAGGACTGGGTATTAACATACCACGCAATGTAGGCTATGTGCCACCCCGAGGCCAGCAGCGTATCCGCCGTCTTTGAGCGGTATGGAATCGGAGCCATGCATCATGAGTTCATCTTCAGAGATGCGTATCAGAGTCCCTGAGAATCACAAAGCATTAGAGTGCCCAGAGGGTTCCAAATCGGATCACAGTGGAGACTGACCAGACATTATCGACTCCATTAGGGCGTCCCATTCGGGTCGAGGCGGGCCCAGGAACCGGCTGTCGTTGAATATTTGTCTGTATTCGTATTCGATGGCATCGTTGGCAGGTGCTAGAAAGAGGTGGTGAGTTTACATGGCTGGACATCGCCACGGGCCAGGCCCGGAAGAACCAGTCATCAAGCAGGCGGGAGCGAGGTGAGCTTACAGTATGTGTCTGCGATTTGGCTCTGGCAGTTCGACGCGCGACCTGAAGGCGAGGCCCATAAAATGTGAAAACTGAGCAAGACGCATGTGCATAGGAGGGCGGCGTTAGAAAGCCAGAGTGTCGTAAAACAGTACTCAGTGCACTTCCTAGAATGTGCTTGGCCGCCGCGACTTCCGAGAATTTCATTGTCTGTCCTGCCTAGAAACAGGCTTGTCTCCTCAACTGAATGGGTATCGTGCTCATACATTGTCATGGTAGAATCGGGGCACAAAACAGTGCTATCGAAATCCCATCCTGATCAGCGGGAAGGAGGCCAATGCGGATATGACAAGAAAGACGAATCTGCCTACGGTGTCACACAGGACGCAGAATTCCTGCAAATACCGGATTTCCGCACTGTACGCAGCTGAACAACCACGGTGAAGCCGATCGGCCCTTGACGCCCTTCCACAGCGATGTAACCGGCGGCCGGGGTGAAACAACCATACCTTCGCCTCCAGCTGAGATGCTACCGAATGACGATATGAGGCCTACCTAGGCAGACATCTAAGGCGGCTGTAACACAGTATATACGCGACTTTAATGCTCAAAGACGCCAGGAGCAAGCCCTGTTGTATCGGACGTAGTATGGATGTGATAGGACGCCAGAAGTGATAGCGGCTATCCGGCAAGAATACCTTGTCAATCATCTGAGGGATATCCGGAGCGCTTTCCAAAACGTTATATTCTCTTAGCCAGATTATGGACCGATAAGATCGCAGAGCCACAAAGCTTTCTGATCCTTTGCGGCTGAAAGTTCGTAATGCGACCCTGATCAAGCTGTTGCCTACCAACGGTTACATCGCAATGTATGCCGCGATAATGATTTGATTGTCATTCACACAACCTCTTCCAAGATCTACATCAGACGACGTCGGCAAGGTCCGCTGAAAAGAATCACGGAGGCATTGTATCGACGATCAAGTCAGATTATTATGGAGCCAACAAAGTCGAGCCCCTGTATCAGAGTCTGGTTGGTTCGGAGCGCACGAGGGGTGGTCCGATGAACGTTCAATGGGTGTGAAGCTTGAGTTGGAAGGTGTTTGAGGGCTCATTGGGATGGATGCAACCAAGCAGCCCTGGAGATCGTGCTACTCTGGCTCCCGGTAGGACTTGTTGTTTCCTCGGGCGGTTCTGGTTCGGACCATTGTCTTTCGTTGCCCGGTTATATAACGAGGCATGAATCCTTCACCAAGAACAGTGACAACAGCTTCACAACCTAAAGTCACCTCCTTGCTTCTGGCTTTTCCTATACAAACTCGTCAAACATCCGCCGTGAACGGTGGCCTCTATTGAGCGCCACACCAAACCCCCAGAATGAAGACTACCTTTATTTTTCTTGTCATGGCGGCGGCATCGGCAGCGGCCCTTCCGGTAGCTTCCGGTAAGTATACATGCACCGAATGTCAACCATTTAGAAAATAAGCTCACACACAGTGTGATGCACATAGTCGTCTCCGAGCAGTCCGACTCACTTGTTCTTCGCGACGGTACGACGGCTTTTGATCCTGACTTGGAGTTCAAAGCCAAGCGTGATGGTACGACAGCATTTGATCCAGATCTGGAGTTCAAGTGAAGCATGGGACTGGGAAACTGTTCTGCAGCTCGCGACCCGGCGCGTCCCGGGGGATCGTGATCGTTGAGAGATATATCATATAATGTTCCTGCAAAGGATCGAATCGTTGAATTCAGGCTCGCTACACAGTTTTTAGGAAAGGCACAGAATGTACTTTCGTAACAGATTGCGCCATGTCTTCGTATTGATACTTGGTCCCTAAACTTTGTTCACAGCCGCACAGCCGAAGTCCTCTGTGATTTGACTGTTTACTGACAATGTTACACTATAAGCGCCGTAAGCCGGAGTTCTTAACTAGGCAAGTACACTACTTCTAAGCTCCAACTTTATTCAGCCTTAGGGCTTATTACGGGAGCGAAGTAGCGCCGGCAGTAGATTGTTAGTTAGAGGGGACAAGCACTAGGGGCCAAACGTAAGGCTCGCATGAATGCTGCGCCGCTGCGATGCGTCTTGGACTTAGGTCACGATCGACAGGCTGCAGCGTCGCAATCACATGCAGCAGGAGTGCGGAAAAGGCCAACGAAAGTCAACGGGCCCGCGGCGGCTAGTGTTCAAGGGTATTTTCTGGATTTCCCGCAGAGGCTGTGACTCCACGCTGCCGCCGTCTCAACACTCGTGCGCATCTGGAGACAATTATTCGAAGCCCCCATCTCAACTACTGGTTGTATAGTGGACACGGCTGGAAAGGTTTGTCGACCATCTTAGACTTGGAGCATGCAACATAAGCACCGCTATGTCTCATAGACCTATCCGTATCGCCATCTCCGGAGGTGGTCTCGCTGGCGCTACCCTTGTCCACGCACTCATTCAATATGCGCACCTGGACGTCCATATCTTCGAGTCAGCCGAAGCCTTCAAGGAAGCCGGCGCGGCCGTAGGCATCGCCCGAAATGCTCTCTCGGCCCTGGACCTCATCGGCCCCTCGGCGACTGCAAGCCTCCAGCGGGCGGGCGCTGTGCCTCAGAAGGGCGTGCGCTTCATGCTGGCTCAAGGCCCCGACGCCGGGGACGAGGGCGTCATGATCGACGAGATCGATGCCGAGGTCCACCAAAAACAGGTCGTGAGCATCGTGCACCGCGCCGCGTTCCTGAAGGAGCTCCTCGCGGACGTGCCGCCGGGCCGGATGCACGCGTCCAAAAAGCTCGAGAGGGTCGACTACGACAAGAGTGCCGGTGCCGGGGCACCTATGACGCTGCACTTCGCCAATGGGTCTACGCACGAGTGTGACGTCCTCATCGGCGCGGACGGTATTCATAGCATCGTCCGCGGGATCGTCCTTGGCGACGGTGACTCGGCCGTGCGTCCGCGGAATTCAGGGTGGTGGGCCATCATGGGCCTGAAGCCTTACGCCGCAGCGCAAGAGAGTCTCGGGGAGAGCCTCGTCCACGTGGAGGATCCGCGACAATATGGTTGGACCGGCGAGGGCGCGTATCTCATGCATGACGTGTTGAGCGATGGGCAGCTCGTACAGCTCATCGCCTGCGGCATGGACGAGGATGCCCGCGGCTCCGACCGGTGGCAGACCACACTCAGCGCGGATGAGATCCGCGAGCAGTTCCGGGGTTGGCCGGCACATCTCAAGAATGCTGTTGAGAAGGTATGTTTGTAATAAACCCAGTTCACAAGTTAGTATCGAGTTCAGGAATATTCTGTTTCTGGAGCCAGCTTACACGTCGCGTAGCTGCTCTGCAACGAGCCGGAGCAGACGGCGCGGTACCTATGGGAGCATCCGCCAGCCCGCACGTACGTCTCCGGCTCCATCGCTGTGATGGGCGACGCCGCACACGCCACCACGCCTTGGCAAGGCTCGGGGGCGGGCATGGCGATAGAAGACAGCCTGGTTCTGTCTACTCTTCTCGGCCGCGCGGAGACGGCGGCCCAGGCCTCGCTGGCTCTCGTGGTGTACGATCAGGTCCGCCGGCCACGCACGCAACGTGTTGTCGAGTCGAGCAGAGGAACAGGTATGATGCGGACTGGACTAGACAATGAAGTGGGTCTTGATCTTCTGAAGTTTCGGCAGAGATTGCTTTCCAGGTGGGACTTTATCATAGATTTCGATAACAAGCAGCATTGCGCGGAAGCATTGGCAGTCATGAACAGGCTCCTCGAGGGAAGTCAATAATTGGAGGTTCCGTCGAGAAAAGAGTAGAAGACACGAACAACTGTAGAAAGGTTGTGATTGTAAAATATATATAGGAGGGATCAAATTCGGCGAAACTGTCTAAGTTATTTTATGAAATAAAAAGAAACCATAACCAGATAAAATTTATCAGTAGTGCCAACTATTTGACGACCCGGTGTTCAGGCTGTTTGAAAATTCTTATGCTCTCGACGGTGTATCCAAACGTTGATAGACTTTGGCTTTGGTACATTATATGTACTGATCTGCCACTCTTCGTCTGGCGCAGCAAGCTCAAGGTGAAAATCACGAAATACAGCCACTATGACCTTGGTTATCTCCAGCATGGCAATATGACGTCCCAGACATACGCGAGAGCCATGACCAAACTATGTGAACATTAGCTTTATAAGAAGTCTATGTCCCAATGTTTGTGTGACTGGAATGGAACACTCACATGCAAACAACCATGTTCCATAGCTATCAGTTGCTCATAAGAGCATTCGGTCCAGCGCTCCGGTCGAAACTTGTCGGCATCTTCTCCAAACAGCTTCGGGTCCCGGCCGACGACGTACGGCGAGACTCCGACCCTCGTTCCCGCGGGGAAGAACTGACCGCAAATGTAAGCCCCTCCAGCAGGCACGTGGCGAGGCAGCGAGATGGTCACGGCCGGGTGTATGCGGAAGGTCTCCTTGATGCAGGCTGCGAGGTATGGCATTGCCTTGTGGTTCGTCTCCCTATATCGAGGGATCTTGGATAAGTTTCCCAACCTGTCTGCCTCTGTGATCTCGACCTGCAGTTTTTCCATGGCAAGCGGATGCTTCAGCAGGTAGTAGATCAGGGAGTGCATGCCGATGGCGGTAGTGTCGCTGCCGGCTGTCACGTTCACTGCTGCCATATTGAGGAGTTCTGACGGTGGAAACCTCTCTGGCCCGGCAATCTTCTGGGACTCCATGATCCTGCCCATGATGTCCGCGCGTGCCTCATGTGCTGCGTCCCGCCGCTTTTGAACCTCTTCATTTGTGACATCAGCGATGATCAACGAAGGGACCTTGATAAGATACGGTATGATGGGGTTGCCAAAGAGGAACTTGTGCATGGCCGGTACTATGGCCACGGCGGACGCATACGCAATGAAGCTGTCGACGGTCTTTGCGGTGTCTCCTACATCGGACATGGTGTCCAGAAAGCCAAGGCGCCGCGAGAAGCTTAGCTCGCCGATGACATCGGCCGCGAGCCATGTCAGCCATTGCGCCAAATCAGTAGGTGGCCCTCGCTCGCTGACGGGGGTTGTGGGGGATACAGCCGCTTCGTCCAAGCGCTGTAGGAACATCGTGAGGGTTGAGTCGACCGATGGCTCCAACTCCAGCAGTGCTGACATAGAATAAGTAGGGGCTACATTACGCTTCATGCGCTTGTGCTCTACGGGATTCATGACGGAGAATGTATTAACATTTTTTGGATCTGGGAATCCGAACATGTAGTACCAATCGGTCTCGCGGGTTGTTAGCCAAACTTCTCTGGGTTAAGTACATCATGGAACAATCAGGGCTTACCTTGACCCATTTTTGCTCGGTGTCGTAAATGATTGGTATTGCTGCTGGGTCAGCGATGGAAATCTCGTTGTGAGCGATGCGAACTAGAGGACCTTGACAACTTGTCAGCTTGATTGAGCTTGCCTATCTCGTACTTAATATCCCATAGTACTCACCCAACCGTCTGTGCGCCTCTAGCAAATTGCGCTCCATACGCGCCGTTAGAATCTGCCGTACATACTCCCACCTGCTGATTGTGGCAAGCACACTGATCGCGGGAACATCTCTAAGGTAAGGAGTGTAACGACGTCGTATCGCAACGATGAGAAGAAAAAGGAGAAGACCGCCAACCCAGAGCAGCGAAGAGTGCATTGTTGAAGCCCGACTAAGGACGCTGGTGTAAGAAGATGCAGCGTACATGATGGGAGTTCTGGAAAGAGACGCAATCAACAGATGAGACAAGGCAGCGAGTTCATAAGAAATAAGTTCAAGCTCGACCGTGTCTATCACTAACAATTGATAATCATGACTCGCTTGTACTTGACTCGTGGCCTGAGAACTGTAGACTATCACATATAAAGCATAACGCAGAATAGGCCACGAGCAGTTACTGTACCGACATGGCGCCACCACCCGGATTCCACTACAACCCGTGGCTCCATGTCGCGATTTTCACTATAGGTGGGCTTCTGACCGCCGCTTTATTCCGATCACTCCGAACCCGTATATAAATTAGGCCTACTGTGGTTGGAATCTATCCTCTTTGACCCATATCTTTTTAAATTCCAATGTCTCCAGTATTCAATTTCTTTTGAACATTACACGAATGTTGCTTACTTGTTAGTAAAGCGATATATCAATATGTTACGGTATACCTAAGTGAATTTGATGACGTCTAATATAATAAAAGATAAAAGATATTGTTCAAACTCTATTCTTATTCTTGAGTAAATGAAATGTAGGGTGCCTTATCATTTTAATCAGACTAGGAGGCAATTCTGGCTTCCTCTCCGCCGTATCTCGAAGTCACGATAGAGTAGAACACGTTTCCCGCTGTCATTGTCAGACATGCCTCGACAAACTTCTCTTCTTGTGGGGTCAAGCAACCGTCCACAGAAAGCCTCGTCAACTCGTCTTCCATCAGAGATTCCACTTCCAGCTGCATCGCGAAAGTCAATGCCTTTGCAGATTGCCAATTTGACAGGCCAAACACTTTCCGCACAACATCGACAGCATTGATCATGTAACAAACCTTGCCTGCCTCGAAAGCCCGGAGCTCCTTGTCGAACGAGGCTAGATCATTTACTAGCGAAACGTGGTCGCTGATCAAGCGTAAGATGGTGGCGAGTTTAGGATCCTCGATAACTACGTCGGATTCGATCGAGAATTTGACGCAGGCCAGAATGTACCTGTTTTCCGTCGTGTAAGTGTTTTGGAATCCCAAGGTTCAATTCAAATTGTAAAACTCACGGGACACCCGCGTCGATATTGCGGTACGTAAGGTAGTCAGCCAGACTTGCAAACTCTGACTGTGGGGGAACATGACGACAAAAGGCCACCAGGTGGGTTAGCACTTCCTGGCCTGCGTTACCAGCGAGCTTATCGTGGGCCTTGAGGCCGCTGACAACATAGTCTATCAGTGTCTGGAGCGGAGTCTTGTCATCTGCGCCGTCGTCGTTGGATTCGAGACGCTTGATGAAATCATCACGCACGACTCCAAGCTTGTCTGTTTCGTGCATCTCCCAAGAGTCTGACTAACGGTCAGTACCCAAATGGTAGCAACTTTCAGTCGTTAACTGAGGCGGAGCTTGGCTTACCATCAAAGATCACAATGAACACAATTGTTGCGGCCAAGAGCCTGGTTCTCTCCTCGTCTGCCTCGGGGAATAGATACGTGGCAAACTTGGTGAACCGGTCTTCTTCCGGCAACAAGAGCTCGTGCTGGGCTATTTTTGCCAGAGACTTCCCATTCGGGCGAACAGCCTTGCTGGAATCAACGTCGGAGCTGAAAAGCTCCAAAAGCTCGGAAGAGATCTTCAGGCCTGCGTCCCAATGGCGGCTCTGCCGTGCTTGGTGCAACCCCGTTGGCCAAAACAGGCCAGCTTCCCGCGGGTAGACACTGAAGCCATTGACGTCGACTGTCTCAGTAATTTCGCTGTCTGTGGACGAAGGCGTGCTAGAACGTGGGCTGGAGAGTCTCCGGTACCCGGAGAGTTCCGGGGGACACTTGGTCAGATAGGCTGCGGAGACGTCCTTAAGCCAGTCGTAGGAATACGATATCCTGGATACATCTTTGCAGTTGTCCTGGGAAGCGATATGACCTAAAATGTGAAAACGTGATCAGGTTAGAACCGGCAATATAACTAAGGGTGGACAGGCTGTACTAACTGTTAACAAATGAGAGTGTTAGTTCTGAGGAAGGCATGTTGAAGTTTGTTTTGCTGAACGCTGATTTTTTTTCCGGGCAACGAAAAAGCTAGATCCTCAAACTAAGAAATTCTTGTTGGCTGTTAGGGAATTGAGGAAGCTCGTAGAAAAAGTCTCATGGGCTTGCTTCCCGCTAGGTTGGGTCTTTCTTTTGAACAGTGTTCAACTCGAGAGATTCACCCTAGTAAGAAAACCAACGGATGACGATTTGGACTTTCAAGGGTGTGGTTACCACCCGATAGTCCGAAGAGTTGAACAATGTCAACACCACTTACTCGGGGCCCCTGTATCATCATTGCCAAGATAGTCTAAACGGCACACGAATACGTTTCCGAAGGGATCCCAGACGGCTCCATAGACAGAAACTCTACGACTTTCTAATAGGCCGTATTAAACATTTACCCATAGATAGATACCGTACTATCTCGGTCTTATATTTCGCCTGGATTTAGATACTAGCTACATCAATATAGACTGGTTAAAGTGGCCTAATCTTCACATAGAGTGAATACTAATCTCGCCATGCCACTTGGAATCGAGCCTAATCAGCACTCAAGAGCCCCTTCGAAGTTCCTATTAAAAGATTTTCAGTTGGAAAGGGACAGTCCCATGATTCTGTAACAGCCAGAGTAGTAAGCAATTACCACTCGGTTAAAACTCTTGGCAACGAGACAAGGTTATCACTACCATTACTCGTATGCAGTTGTCTTATATTGGCAGATAACATTCCCTGACAGTTTATCGCTCTTGGCTTCCTATTATGTTCAACAAGTGGTGCCACGTCCACAAGTGGTACCATGTAAGTAAGTGGTGTCATGAAAATAAGTGGTACCATATCAACAAGTAGTGATATGTTGAAACAAGGCCTTCATCAGCCAGCTAGAAAGGTCTCTACAGGTTTGCGGATCTCTACATTTAGCACGACTGTTTAGAGTCTCTTTGACTTTTCCCTAAGCCCTGTTAGAATTTCAGTGCTGTTATTCTTGCTGCGACATCATGGGTCTCAGCGTCGCGATCGAGGGGGATATCCGCCAATTCGCGGTGAACTCCCTCAAAGTCGGTTTTGTTCTCGCTACAGCCGTTTGGCTGGTTTCTGGAATCATCGGGTGCATCCAGAATGTATACTTCCATCCTCTCTCAAAATTCCCTGGGCCACGTCTAGCTGCAGCTACGAGCTGGTGGTCAGCATATCAGCAAGCGGTTGCACACAGGTCGATGCATCATATTTGCATCGACTTACATGCCAAATATGGTAGGTGATTCCATCACCGTTTGTGCCATTCAGTGCATTGGTCTGACATACATCCCAGGCGACATTGTGAGAATAGGGCCAAATAGAGTAAGTCTACATGGCTCGGAAAAGGTAGTCAAGTCGATTGGAAGTCAAAGTAGCTGACGTAGACATCGTTGATGTCCAGCTTCACTTCAATCATCCCACACATTACGATGATATATACAGGAAACGTTTTGATAAAGATCCATACATGTATGCACTCCTAGGCGGAGACGGCGCCACGGTCACATTTGTCAAACACCAAGACAACAAGGATCGAAAGGACATCCTCCATCCTTTTTTCTCCAAGAGCGCTGTCTTTATGCGAGAGAGGCTCATTGAGGCTAACGTGTGTGACTGAACCGTTAATTCATCCATTTATCCTGTGACTGTGAGACTGACAGAGTCCCAGATCGACAAATTTTGTGCCAACCTCAACCGACTTTATGAAAAAGGTGCTTCTGTAAACATGTCGCTAGGGTTCCGTTGCATCGGGTTGGAGACTATCACCACCCTCTGCTTCGGCGACTCAGCGTCGTGCTTCGAGAGCGAGGACTTTCACAGTCCCGTCCTGGATTCCATGGAGTCCATCGTCTCATGGTTCATGGTATTCAAGCACTTCTGGGTGGTTCGACAGCTCATACTCCTTGTGCCAGAGTGGGTCGCGCTTGTCTTGTTCAAGAGAGGTGTAGCGTTCGCGCAAATGAAAGACGTGAGTAACCTGTGAGCTTGGCAGTCAGGAGCTGTAGACCAACGGTGGTTGTAGGGATGACCTCTTATGAGGAACTGACATGCACTGTCTCTAGGCGTTCGCACAACAGATCGATAAGATTCAAGCAGGTCTGGATAAGCAAGAAGAAACTGACTTTCCGCTCATCTACCGAGCCCTGTGTGATCCAGAGCAATACAAGAAAGGTAAACGGATGCCGACAAGAGCATCCTTATTGGAGGAGTCAATTGCACTAGTAAGTCCGCAAGATAAATCACTTAGCTTTCAAGGAAATACTAATTACGAGTCGAGGTGATCGCCGGCACAGACACAACAGGCGCAACAATGACGATGGCAACCTATCAGCTGTGCAAATACCCCGATAAAATGAACAGGGTCAAGGCAGAGATCAAAGAGCTGTGGCCGGACCTCCACGGACCGATGCCTAAAGCAGCCCAGCTCGAGAAACTGCCTTACTTGGTAAGGGCAATACTCCATCGCGAAAAAGCAACCAAAAAGTCGCGTAAGAATTTTGCTTACGGTTGGATATCCTACAGACTGCGGTAATCAAGGAGTCTTTGCGTATGGCTCCAACAACGACCTCTGAGAACTCAAGGCTTGTCCCAGCCAAAGGCGCCAAGATAGGCGAGGATTTTATACCTGCAAATGTGAGTGTTCCTTGATCTCTTCCATCATTCGTTCTATCTTGACTAATCATGCCTGTGGACCTAGACCATCGTGAGCATGGGTGTGTTATTCCCGATGCAGCACCCGTATGCATTTGAGAAACCAGAGCAATTCATTCCGGAGCGCTGGCTTACCGAGGACCCGGAGGCACGAGAAAGGCACGAGAAATTCTTCGTGCCATTCTCTAAGGGGCCTCGGAGTTGCCTGGGCATTAATCTGGCCTGGTGTGAAATGTACCTTGCGCTGGCCAGTCTATACCGCCGTTTCGATATCAGGTTAGACGGAACGAAGGATGAGGACTTCGACTGGATTGACGTCGGCCTCGCCCTATTTAAGGCTCCGTTGAAATGCTATGTTTCTCCTGTCGTTGAATGATTTATATAATAGACTGCGCCACAAGGTGGCTGTGCCGATTCTTCATAGCCAGACTTCCCCCCTTTTCGTGGGTAATTTCAGCTTACAGTGGCTGGGTAGGCTGATTGGCTGCCTCCACCATCGTCTGGCCGCGCATTTCGCTCGACTTCTTTCCTGCGTGCCCCCCCCCCTTGCGCATTCAATCCGAAAGAACAACCTCCGAAGTCTGAGTAGAGCCGCCGCGCGGCACCAATGAGAGCTAGCCTTCAATTCATTGCTCAATTTATATGATCCTCGGGTTCCTTCACGTTTGCTAGTGCCTGATGAAGACGGTGACGGAGCCCATCAGAAATGACATCCTTGCGAGGGTCAACATGGAGCAAGTCATGCCAAAATGGATTGGTCACGCAAGAACCGTACCAATATCGCGCACTCAGCTCCTCATCAGCAATTAGGCTCATAAAGGTGTCGCCGGAAAAGGTGAACGGCTGCATAGCATGCAGGATTTATCAATTCGATGAGAAGCAACAAACGAACATCAAATACCATGCTCTATCATACCAGTGGGGGGACCCAAAGGCAACCAGGCAGATCTACCTGCAAGATCAGGGCCGGGAGTGGCGATCTTTCCCAGTTCACGAAAATCTTTGGCGATTCATTGATCACGTATGGCGACGTCAAACATTTGACCGGTTTTTCTGGACCGACCACCTATGTTTGAACCAGAATGGCCACGAAGAAATCTCACAGCAAGTGCCACGGATGCACGCGATATATCGCAACGCAGAGCTCGCTTTGATCTGGCTCCAGCTCGACAAGTCGGAAGAAGGGGCCCTACGGAAAGTCATAAAATCGCGCGAGCGCTCCAAGCTAATGCCCAGATTCTGGTGTAAAATAATGCAGAAGCGATTGGCGTCTTACCAAGACAAGATTTGGAGCGTGACAGAGAATCCTTACTGGGGTCGTGTCTGGATAGTACAAGAGGTTGTGATGGCCAAGCGAGTGTGCGTCACATCCGGAGACATCTCGATCGATCTGGATGACTTACATGCGCTGGTAGAACCATTTCGAAAGGCCACGTTCCCGCTTGGACACCCTTCGATGTGGGTACTATGCGACATGCGTGCCGCGGGCGGGAAAATGCCTCTATGGAGGATACTGAGGGACTTTACCGGCTACCAAAGCAGCCGACCGGCTGACCGCGTGTACGGACTACTGGGCATGGTGGCGGATGACGATGATGGGAGTTCTCCTGCTGCGAATATCCATGTCGACTACGATAAGCCGGTATTGCAAGTCTTGCTAGATGCAATGTTCGAGTCATCGCCGCCTCTCACGGAATACAGACTCGTGACTCTGTGCCTGGGACCACCGAGCACATATGACAGTCTCTCACTCTTAGAGGAGTATATCACTCGCAGCACCACAACTCCAAGGCAGAGGTATTTTGCAAAACATGCCTTACACGCTTTCGAAGCTTTCAACATAATCAAGTCGGTCCCGGGAGCGCCGCACCGATACGACATCCGTGACATAACCGATGACCTTTTCGCATCAGCCGCAGAAACCGGTTGGAAGCCGTCCTGTCGTCAAAGCGCAGCACTGATCGGCCTTCTCCTCGCGAGGTGGACCAGCAAGCCAGTCGCGCATTGGAAGGCTAATCGCGAGCGTAGAGGCCAGAAGCCGTCTCCCTGGCAATGTGCTGCCCACTGGTCTGTGTACCGAGACCAAGTGGTTCCTGCGCCGTATGAGATGGTCACACGGGTCACTGCTGCGAGAAGCTGGGACCGTAAAGGCGTGGTGGATGCGTGCGGAGAGCAATCTCGATTTTGCGACGGGTCGACAATAACGTGCGAGATCCCGCAAATTGGGCTCCGCCTCCTCGTGCAGCCTGCCATCAATACCGCAGGGGAAGGACGTCTGAGTCTTTACCGGGCGCAATCGAATATCTGACAGCGAAGCCCTTTCCTGGGGGCGGGGAGCGGTACGGAGGCAATGAGGGGAAGAAGCGTCAAGAATGTGGACACACGCACGCTGAACATGGTTGAACGATTTTTGATTCAAACCCTCATGCCCCTACCTCCCGTACTCATGTCACTTCAGATCTCATCAGTACAATATCAAAAGGCGGATAGTGTAACTCGACACCACCCCAATCCTTCTCCACCAGGGCGACCTTGCTGAGCGACCACCCGTTCTGGTCCGTATATCCATCAAAGTCGAACCAATCGCACTCATCCAACACCGGCATCAACCGCCACACTGTCGCACCCTCCCCCAGCTGCGAGGCCTCGCCCGCCCCCTCTGACGGATTCAATTCGGACCCCACGCCCGGCGCGGAGAAGAAGCGCGCGCCGTCGGTCTCATTAGGCCCCCAGCCCAGCCTGTCGATGCCCTCGAGGGCGTCCGTCCCGTTGACGAGGAGGGCGCGGATGAAGAGGCTCCCGTTCTCGACCTCGAGAAGGGCATAGGACTGGGGGCTTGTGCCCGCAGCCGACGAGGTGGTGGCGACTTCATCGGATATCAGGCCGGAGTCGACAGCAACCGTATAGTTGCCCGCGAACCGCTGGCTCATGACATCGGCCAGGGCGGTTTCGAACGCCGGGATCAGGATCTCGTGGACTGTGTCTCGGACAGCGGTGGGCGATATCCTGGTGCGGTTTAGGTCACCCGACTCCTGGGAGAGGATGACGAGCCCATAGCCGAGATTCGGCACGACATCGATCCAGGCATGAGAGCCAGCCGCGTCGCCGGACTTACCGTAGATATTGTAAGTCTTGTTTTCGCTGGATGTAACGGCGATCTCCCATCCGAAGCCTACCTGTTGCTTTCCATCGGGGAGGTAAAGGCGAGGCTGGAGGGACTGACGCCGCTGGGTAGGCGTGATGAGGCGAGGTGCGGGCGACAACCAGACCTGGTGGAGGTAGGCGGAGAGATCAGCTGCAGAGGACCACATCCCAGCTGCAGGGTTGTACCCATCCATGATGAGATCGACCCAGTTGTCAACGCCTGGGACGGCGACATCGTCGGCAATATTGGGGGGAGGTATTCCGAAAAATGAACGATTCATACCCAGTGGGCCGAAGATATCTTGCTGGACATACTCGGCCCAGGAATCGCTGGTTCCCACTATATCATTGCGATAGCTAGCCACAGCAGCACCGAGGATCGCAAAGCCAGCATTGGAGTACGCTGCCCTCTGACCCGGCGCAAACATCAAGTTACGCCCGCTGAAGTACTGCAGCACCCCGTCTGGAGTAACGGAAGCGAATTCGGCGCCGATGTTGGCCGCATTTGCTCGGCTTAGGGCAGTCACCATGTTGAAGTCGGTCGAGTAGCCCTCCCTGGGCAGACCGGAACTGTGAGTCCCCAGCATTGAGATTGTGATCTCGCTCCCGCCGTTCCGCCAGTCTTCGTCTGGGAGGCTAAACGCGGGAAGGACTGCACGGACAGGCATGTCTAGACTCAGGGGCTGGACTTCGGGGTTCATTGCAGACAATTCGCGGCTGGCATTTTGTAGCACGAGAGCGGAGAAGGCGGCCAAGTTCTTGGAGACAGATGCGATGCGGAAAACTGAATCGCTGGTAATGTTGGCCGTTTCAGAGGTGTCATTCATCTTGAGGCTGCCGTGGTTGAACGCGAGGGCAAGACCTGGCTCGGAGGCGTGGACCTGGCAAGTAATAAGCACACCGAAATCTGGCCTGATCAAGAATGACTGCTTACAACGGCGAAGCTGAGGCCATCGCTGCTTGTGTTGATGAACAGACTGGAGAGGTTCCGCTGAACCTCTGCCAAAGCCGCTGTCACAGCCTCATTCTGCAGGACGGCGGGGTCGGAGAGCAAGACACTAGGTACATCCGGTATACACGCTGAAGATGCGAGGGACGACAGGATGGTCAGGAAGGCCCCCGCCCAGACCCAAGGCACATTGCTCAAGAAGCCTCGGTCGCACCGCATTTCAGGAGATGATCATGCTCAAAGGAGCAGCGGGAGCTGAAGTTGGAGCGGTAGCGAACTCACAATGTGAGCACCTCATGAAGGTCGAGATCAGGACACAGGTCGGGAGAAGACGTCAGGGTCCATGGCTAGTATTTATCCAGATAATCCGAGCAAACGGCGGTCACCCAATGTTTCCGAGCGATACCCACCCTCTGTAAAGCTTAAAAGAGATGAAAACCATGCGGGTCTACCGGCTGTCCCGAGAACAGACTTCCTTGCCTTGGGGTTTCGCATTCATGTTGGATTCCGACTCATTCGACCAACTGAATTTGAGAGTTCTGATGTTTTGGATATGTCTAGAGGGCACTCTTCCATCGTGGCAACCTGTCTTGTCTCTCCTGATGAACGAGTCAAGATACGCAACCTCTTCCAGATGATGGATGTTGGTCTGGAGGAAGGTGCATTGTAATGGCGCAATTGAATATATGACCCCAGAGTGACACGTGCTCGAGAATGCGCACGAGCAAACCAGTCTTTTGCTGCACAAGTTTCAATTATGTCGAAAATTGGCGATGGCTTCAAAGATCGGGGGGAGGGCAGCGAGGAACAAGGTTAGCTTGGCGTTCAGGGGCTCTCCCGACGCGGGGAGCTCTCCACAGCGGGGCATGGAGCTCCTTGTTGAGCTACTGTAAGGCTGACCTGGGGGTTCTTATCTGATAAGAGGAGCTGGAGCAAATTCTGGCACTCCCTGGGCAATATTATGACTCGAACTGCCATGACTGTGTTCTTGTTACGTTTCCTGCGCTCCCAAGCTACTCATACCTCAACTCAACCTCCCTCAACCTCTTGCCCCTTTGATCCAACGTCCATTGTCCTCTGACGAGCTACAACGCACCAAAACCCCCGCCAATTGGACCCTACCGAGATCGGACCTGAGCTTGCGCTGCTGTGACGATGGCTTCAGGCAAGAAGGAAAACATGCTGTGGGGAGGCCGTTTCACGGGTACGCTGTCACAATTGTTTGCAGTCTTAAGAATTGCGTCTCTCCAAAAAAAGAAGAAAAAACTTCAGAGAGATCCGGGGCATTTCGAGAATCCAATTGGCACTCAATTGCCCTCTCACCACCTCAATTAATCCTCCAAAAGACCAGTCAAGCTAACCACCATGTTCTCTCCCCACAGGCGGCCTCGACCCCCTCATGGAGCAGTACAACGAGTCCCTCTCCTTCGACAATGTCCTCCACAAGCAAGACATCCTCGGCTCTATTGCCTTCGCTCGCGCCAACACGAAAGCCGGCCGCCTGACCCAGGACGAGTTCGAGAAGATCGAGGCCGGCCTGCTGGAAGTCGAGAAGGAGTGGGAAAGCGGCACCTTCAAGTCCATCCCCGGTGCCGACGAGGACATCCACACCGCCAATGAGCGCCGCCTGGGCGAGATCATCGGCAAGGACGTCGCCGGCAAGCTGCACACGGGCCGCAGCCGCAACGAGCAGATCGCCACCGACATGCGCCTGTGGCTGCGCGACGAGCTGGACAAGCTCGAGGGCTTCCTCAAGAGCTTCCTGCAGGTCATTGCGAAGCGCGCCGAGTCCGAGATCGAATACGTCATGCCTGGCTACACCCACTTGCAGCGCGCCCAGCCCATCCGGTGGAGTCACTGGATGTTGAGCTACGGCTTCGCGTTTGCCAACGACCTGGAGAGGCTTCGAGAGATTCGCAAGAGGGTCAACCGCAGTCCCCTCGGATGTGGCGCATTGGCGGGCAACCCCTTCGGCATCGACAGGGAGATGATGGCCAAGGAGCTGGGATTCGAGGGCCTGCTGTGGAACTCCATGGGTGCCGTGGCCGACCGTGACTTTGTCCTGGAGACACTGCAATGGGGCAGCTTCCTGATGCAGCACATCAGCCGGTGGGCCGAGGATCTGATCATCTACTCATCGGCCGAGTTCGGCTTCGTCCGACTGGCCGATGCCTACTCCACAGGCTCATCCCTCATGCCTCAGAAGAAGAACCCCGACAGCTTGGAGCTGCTCCGCGGTAAGAGCGGCCGTGCCTTCGGACACATGGCTGGTTTCATGATGACGCTGAAGGGCCTGCCATCCACATACAACAAGGATCTGCAAGAGTCCGTCGAGCCACTGCTAGACCACGTCAAGACGGTCGGCGACAGCATCCAGATCGCCGAGGGTGTGCTGTCAACACTAGCCACACAGCCCGAGAAGATGAAGGCCGCACTCGACCCCTTCATGCTGGCCACCGACGTGGCCGACTACCTGGTGCGGAAAGGCGTGCCGTTCCGGGAGACACATCACATCAGCGGGCGGTGTGTGGCGCTCAGCGAGCAGACCGGCACGCCGATGAACGAGCTTACCTACGAGCAGATGAAGGGTGTAGACGCCCGATTTGAGGAGGACATTGCCGAGTCGTTCGACTACGAGAAGAGCGTTGAGATGAGGGCTGCCAAGGGCGGCACAAGCAAGGCCTGCGTGCTTGAGCAAGTCAAGGTTCTGACAGGCATGATCGCCCAGTAGATGGATAGCCAGGCTCCATGTTTCCAAGAAAGGGGAATCAGAAGCAATTGTTTACTATAGATATCTACTAGCGAGGACTGAAAACTGAGATGCTATTGAGCACGAGTGCGCTTCCGTCATATGCTCTATCTTGCTCCGCCCCAAGCTGACCGTCCGGATTCTTGTACAATTGGTGTGCAGATTAATGCAGGGAGCTTTCATTGCCTGGCCAAAGCTTTTCATTGTGCTAAGAGCTTGAGTACATTCAGGAAAGTGTTGCCTTCGTATTGCAACTTTCAACCCTACAGAAATACAAGACTGATCTTCACAAATCTGTTCCGCTGAAATTCTCCTTTCATCTTCTCGACGTCCAATTATCAATCATCACTGCATATAAAACTACCTCTTAGGCTGTCTTGAATTCAGGCATTGTGGGTGCGACTGAGTGTAGCCTTGCGAGATCTGGTGTTAACAGAGTCAGGTGGGGTCTTGATATATTTGCTAGGGGAATTGTGTTCATTGAACTCACTTATATACCTGCTTATACTGCATTCGAATATCGATCTTCGATCGCATTGGTGTCGGCGCTCTTATTAAGATCGACCTGGGGCACGGGCTCCGTCCCGTGAAAGGTGATGTGGGCGGTGATCTTGCTGGTGCCTGTTTCTGGTTGTTAATTTTCGCCTTGTGTGGACAATCTCAACTTAAAAACGACAAGTATAGCGATAAATAACTTGCCTGCGTGTTCTACATGAAACGGTCCTTCGTCTACGCCCGTTGCTGCGTTGGTCGCTCCCGGTAAGGCGTTCAGGAAGTTGAGGTCGTTAGCATCTGCTGGTTTGTGTTAGTGACACAGAAGAAAGTTAGAGAGAAGAAGAGAACTCACTAGCAATGGTTTCCTGGATATTTTGCTCTGGGGCTGAATGCTGCCTGTGGTGGCAAAAACACTCCCAGAGAGCGATGGCGGTGGCTAGCGTCATTATGGATAGGGCAATGATGGCCACAGCAAGTTGAGGCACCATTCTGGGAGGAAGGAAGGGGGAATGACTTGCAAACTGGTCTGCACGTTGGAGCAAGGGAGATGTGGTATAAAATCACCGGCCTCGTTGAGAGGCCCGAGAGGTGTGCTGTTAAAAACTTGGCAGATCTGCTGTGAGCTTGTGCAGGAAGGGCAATCGGTTGTTCTCTGATTCAAAAGGCTCTATGTTAATAAAGGCACCATGTGAAGATATCCTGTTTTCCGACATGAGAATTGACCCTTATATAGAAGAGCTCGTTGCCCACAGCTTCGGTGGACTAGTCGGCAGGCGGATCGTGCTTTTCGGGTTTCGTAAGGTGTCGTAGCCATGCCACATTTTCATCGCATAGCACTGAGTCTCTCTACCTAGCGGACCATGAAAACAGGGGCAGGAAAAACAAGGTTGCAGTCCTGTACCGTCTCTCTTCACATGCGCAGCTGTAGTACACCACAGTACATCCAGCCTCAATCATCAGCGGCGGGCCGGCCATATGTTGTGTCACACTGGAGACTTTTTCGGATTTTGTAGCAAGATTCTTTGAGGCACCCAGCATGTGGCTTTCGGTGGACAACGCGTGACGTGTGCCCCAGCCCCTGTCTTTCTGGTTTTGTAGTGTGTCGCACAGGACCTCGACGTGGTCTACCATTGGCAGGCAGACGTCTGGGCAGACCGGGTTCACAATTCGGGTTCTGCTAATCGAACAACTTGAGTAAGTGTGGGTTATGTTTAGAGGAATAGATGCATGCGCTACTTGACTACCCACCTATTAGCTCTGAGTGTTCCAACTGTCATTGGGTAGTGTCTTTCTTTGGGTTCTGCTAATTCGATATGCGGTTTTTGGGCTGCGAGGCACACTTGCCTTTCTCGTTTACTGAGCTGTCAGCCTGCATACGCCCACCATCAAAGATAGGTGCAGCTTGCCGAATATAAGAGGCAGCGGGCCCCTCCGAAGGTCTGAATTTGGGCTCGCACAGCTCACACATCGAGCATCAACTCATTCACGAGGTGTCCGCCACGCTTTGAGAGCCACTTTTTGGCCATCTCATCTAATTCGATATATTCCTGCCCTGCTTATATTTTCGTTTTCACCAACATTGGTGCTTCACTGCAATGATGCCTCGACGCAAGACTGGCGCAGGCCACCAGCGGATGGACGAGTGGGAGCTGCACAGAAGGGAACTATATCGTCTATTCATTGCAGAAAAGAGATCAGTCAAAGATCTTTCGAAATACATGAAGGAACAGCATGGTTTCGATAAAACGTAAGCCAGCATGACCCAGCTCTAAAGCATATCCTGAGCCGATTCTGCCCATCAGCCAAGTAACACGCCTAGCAGGCCAAGGGACTACGAGTACCGGTTCTCGAAGTGGAGGTTCCGAAGAAATCTGGGTGCCTTAGAGGCGAAGTCCATCCAAGGCCAATGGTTGAGGAGAGAACAAGCTGGCAAACGAAGTGAGGTGGTCGTATCGGGAATCAGATGGCCTATATCGATGATTCGTGGAAGGCTGAGTCGGCACAAAGTCTTGGAGTCCCCTGACGGTACATGCTTGAGACCTTATCTTCCTACATATCACCCAACTGACTGCTTCTTACAGAGCAGTATGAGTTTCCCCCGCTTTCGGACTTCGTCGCTCGTGTTCAGACTCCATCTCCTCTGATGTCCAACCTTCCAGAATGGCCCAAAGAATTGCCGTGGCTTCAATTCGACCAACGATTCCGTCAAGGTAAAGGCTTCTCATATGAAACAATCCAAATCAGACTCCCTTACTAAGATTCTACAGCTCTGGCGCCCTTTACAACCGAAACAGTGTCCAGGCTTAAACCGCAAGGAGCGCTCTTCATTGCACTGATGCGCCGTTTTACTGGGCAAATCACTACGTCGGAGACTGTAGGAGCTGGAAGTCTCCACCCTCCACGAAAAATACGGGCTTCACTAGAATTGATCGCGCCCCAGGTGCACAAGGGCGACCATGAGACCACCGCAGAGATTCTCCATACTGGCTCACCAGGATCACTGATCGTGGAATTGATTCGGTTGATCATTTATCTCTCATCAAACAACATGATAGATCAATTTAGGACAATCACAGGTTGCGAAATCAACTTTAAGAATGAACTAGATTTCCTCCGACACTTCGGCATCCTGACCAACGCAAAAATCAATGAGCTGGCCCGCTCTGCCTATCCTACCAGTCAAGCGTTCCTGGAGCAACTCCTACACTGTTCTCTTCTTGACGAAAAGAGCTGTGACGTATTGGCATGGCTGGTGCCCAACCATTTCAACGTCAATCACCTTGTACCGATACCCTGGCTAGCAAAAGCCAAATTCGAACTTCGGAAACCAGGATGCTCTCATATAGCCAACGGAACTTTGCTACAGGCTTCCTCGTTTGCAGGAAATATTCACGCAGTTCGTCTACTTTTAGACCTCCAGGCAAACCCAAACGACCCAAGATGCTCAGAATGCCCTTCACCTTTAGAGTGTGCGGCACTGTCGACCGATCATACCCGTGCAATGGAAATGACGGAGCTAATTTTGTCAAACTGGAAAACGTCGACCCCGCCTAGCTGGCGCGACAAAGCTCTTGAAATGGCTATCTGGCCAGCTATAGCAAACGCCAATACCAGACTAATCGCGAGGTTACTTTCAGAGCTCGAGCCACTCGGGAATGCGGTGATCTGTCACGAACATTTCACTCATGCCGTGAGACATGGAAGTTGCGACACTGTTCGTTACCTTGTCAACTACCACTCTTGTGGTAGTGATGACCCCATCGAATTCCCCAAAGGCATCTTGTTCTCGGCGATTTCCACTGAGTTGCGTCACCATTCAAATTCGGCGGTATTAGACAAGCTTCACTACTTACTGGACCTTAATGCTGATCCAGCCGTGCTGGGCTGCAGTGATTTGTGCGACCATCATTTTATCCTGGAGCACGCAATGGAATTGGACTTTGGCGAGAACAACACGCTTCAGGAGGAGTATGTCCTAAACGTGGTGACGCTTTTTCGGGAACATGGATGCCCCCCGGAAAGGGTAAAATCCTCATCAGAATGGGGCTACATGCCGTCAGCCCTTCAAAGAGCTATCAGTCGTGGATTCTCTCGAATCACCAATTACATGCTCGACTGGGGCGCCGACATCGATTATTGCAACAACGCTTTCGACTGGGCAACGGACCCGCGGGAGAATTGTGGAGTCTATGTCACTCCAATCAAGGGCCAATCACCCTTGCTCACAGCATTGGAATACGGGAAAACAGACGTCGCAAAGGTGCTATTGAGACGAAAGCCCAAGTTGAAACTTCGCGGTGCAGAGCACAAACTCGCTGCAAAAATCGATGACACGGAGTTGGTAGACATGGTTCTCCAGGCGGGTGCTGAGCAAGTCGACAACTCTATGTGGAGAGAGGTGCTTGAGGAAGCCATGATGAGGGGAAGTCTACGAACGATCAAATGGCTACTTTTGATACGTGGCGACGCAACTATCGACAGTATACTCATGTTTGAGGTGGCATTGGTAACCGGGGATTACGACACGGCCTACCAAACCATAGCAGTGTGCAACTACAGCTCTCGGTCACTCTATCGAGCCGTCCGACAATCTTGCCTATCCGAAGACTTTCTTGGAATCGTAAAGCGGCTCCTTGAGACTAGACGACCAGCACCAAACGACGACTTTGAAGTGCTTGCAGTTGCCTATGCCGCCGAACAGCACAACACGTACCTCATGGGTGTCCTGGTGGAAACCCTAGGACAAGGGCCATGGACTACCAGTCACCGGAGGGACGAACATATTCCATATGTGGAGTTTGGCCCGGTTTACAGGGGAACGCACATTTTTAATCTTGTTAAACGTACATCTGTCAAGCTACTGTTGGACTTCCACATTAGCGCCATGGGGATGAAGCTTTGCTCTGGACCCAATTGGAGTCCAGAGCTGTTGAGGCAGTTGATTACAGCTGGGGCTGACCCGAAACAAGAAATGGCATCTTTCAATTTCGTCGACCAGGGCGAATTGGCTCAGGTGAAGGTTTTGTATGAAGCTGGAGCGCTCGTGGATACGATGCAAGTGTACGGAGAAAGCAGCAGAACCGCTATTCAATTAGCTGTTGAGGGTGGAATGCCTGATATGGTCGAAATGCTTCTGCAGTACAATGCCGATATAAATTGTCCCGCTGGCTTTAACAAGGGAGCCACTTGCCTCCAGCTCGCTGCTGGTAACGGTCACATTGGTATAGCTTGGTTACTGCTTCGCAAAGGCGCAAAGGTGAATGCAAAACGGTCGCTTCTCTGTGGGAGAACAGCCATCGAAATGGCTGCGGAAAGTGGAAGGCTGGACATGCTAAAGCTATTACTACTTCAAGGAGAAGATCTTTTCCGGACACCCTCTGAGAGATACCAGTTCATTCGGGCGGCCAAATTGGCGGAGAATGAAGGTTATGGGCCAATAATGACCATGTTGAGGCAACACATTAGCTGGGACAGCGATGACCAACAGTTGTTCGACGAGATACATGACTCTCGGTTCATGCTCAGTCCTCTCGATGGAATGACACAAAGGCCGCTCGACTGCGAAACAAGCGATCCTGATTTCTTGGGCAACATACAGGAAGTTGCGGACGAAGCCGGGCTTGAAAATATCTACGACATCATGGAAGGAATAGACGAGTGGATGGACGAGGTTTTCGGAGAAGAATCGAATGACTCGGCCACGACAAGTGTTTACTACAGCTCTGAGGGGGACGACCAAATGTTGTCTGAAGCTTGCTTGGACTCATCCCAACACCAGGAAGCAACAGACAAGAAGACGGAGCTATATGACGAACTAAGAATTGAAGCCAATTCTCAATCACACGCAGATCAGCTTTCGGAATTCATGGCGGCGTACCGTGACATTCGCGATACTTCGGTAGATCCTGCGAATCTGACACATCTGCAGAGCGATGTGGCTCATGAGCAGCCACGCAGGCAACGGTACCTGTCGAGAATCAATCCAGAAAGATGGGAGGAAGGGACCCAGGCCCACATTCCCGAGGATATGCGTCACCAGAATGTGGTTCCCGCATGGCTTGATATGCAAGAAAACGATACTGACGATATGATGCAAGACCTCGGGAGTGATCTAGCCATGCAAAACACCACGTGGGAGCTCCTGGCAGATCAACCTGTGGCACAGAATGTCGGTAGGGAATTCGATGTGGTGGTAGGAGACGTAATGGACGAGACACTGCCCATAAATGACATGTCGTTTAATTTTCTGGATGCCAACCCTTTGGAGGCCATCGACGAAGCGAACTCGTCACAGGAATTCGACTGGGGGTTCCTGTGGCGTGAAGAACGACGTGGGACCTGAACAGGGGGTCAGGAATGGCAGCGAAGGAAGTGCTCAAAAAGAACTTGTATAAATTATTTTCTTCTGGAAGTTTGAAGCTACTCTTGCTTTCCAAGGATCTTATTGAGTGTACTGGAAGTCTAAGCTCTGCGAACCATACCTTCTAAGTTACTATGATGCTTCACCCCTAGCCAACCACTTCAAGGAAATATCGATGCCGCTGGACACCTGATGCGGCGAGACTGACAGACTTCAAGCTGGAATTCTATAGTGCCTTGTGCATCATAACCATATACGACCAATCTATCCGTATCTGCTCTGCTGGGGGTGGGCACAAAGTCGGCAAGATGGTGTAGCTCGTCATGCGTGTTCCTCGTTACATCAATGGTTCCCCTCTAGCCAAGTCAACTATCTGGCGATAGGTCTAAGCATACAATTGGCAGAATCTAGTGCCCTTTTTTGTGGTGGTTGCAATAGTGCAGCGACTATTCTCTACACTGCATCTCGGTCAAGAGAGGGCCGAATCAAATCAGGGCGTCCCCGCCCAACAACTTTACATTTTCACATCGATCCTAACATTGGCAGATGCTCACGGAAACTGCTTTCACTGTCAGGCTGTCAGCCAAAATCGTGCTTCAGCGTGTCTGAGAGAGAGATATAGCCGTTTCTATATCCTTCGAGATCTCTGTCGAAAGCCCTCGCGGTCAGGGTCTTATCAACAACGACGTCCAACAAGCCACTACTCTCACCAGCAAGCAAATTTCGGCTGCTTCATCGAACGGAGTGGCTTTCCTGACTCCTCCTGCAAGTCCAAAGACCCAAACGTCAGAGCCACACACGCCAACGCCCCCGGAGCCGAGCCTTCGCAAGAAGCAGACACTACCGACACCAGACATCAGTCCCTCGAGTGAAGTACGGCGTGGGCGGGCTGTTCAACCCAAGTCGCTTGGACAAGATCTGAACAGAGATCCATCTCAAGAAGCCAAGAACCCTTCTTCAGACAATCCCGGCAACCTGGCACGGTCAAGAACTCCTTCTGCGGCGCCTCGTGCCCAAGCGCGATCCGTCCGTCCAAGGCCGCCCAACCGTCACGTACGGAGTACTTTAGAGCTCATCGAGCAGGTTTGTGACACAAAGTACAAGCGCCGGAACGGAGAGTTCTATTCGGAGAGGAAACTCCTACCCAATGAGTACAGGCAGCTTCTGACTTGGATAAATGAGTTTGAAGATGACGACGAGTTGAAGAAATATTTTTATGATAAATTGAGGTGTGATGCACTTTTGATAGTAATAATCTTGATGGCAGAGTACTTCGCAGCTAATTTGGTATCAGGTTCAATTATACGGCCGCTAACAAAACATTCTCGATTCGTATGATTTCAGCTTGCCACGAGGCCTTGATTCAAAGTTATACTGCTTTGATAAACGATTGGCTTAATCTTGTTAGGGCAGGATCCGTCGAAAGTGATGGTAGGAGATGCTCCACAGCAACAAGTAGGGTTACGAAGTCCGTCAGGGGCACGGGTAGTGCGGCAATCGAATTCGGTTCCCGCAAGGGCACATACAGCCCGGACCAATCTTATACATTCGAAGACGCAGACTTTCCCAGCCTGGTCCTGGAGATAGCCTGGTCTCAGACGGATGACGACCTCAGACGAAAGGCGAGAAATTATATCACATGGTCCAAAGGCGCTGTCAGAACAGTTATAGCTGTGTCGCTGAATGACATCTATTCACGCATCGACAACTTGAGTAAGACGAGGAAAGTTCGTGAAGAAGATTTTAATCGTGGCGCGGCCAAGTTTTTTATATACAGGAGCGACTTGTCAACGGCCAGGCCGGGTGAGGTGCTGGCGGGTGATGACCAGGTACGACTGCCTAATCCATGAAACTAGTCAGGGCCTTTGCGAGTCTAACATACACATGTAACATTAGATGGTTCGAGATGTAACCGGAAATTTGGTTTCTGGTACTGAGCTGCGCCTCTCACTTGAGGACTTAATCCCTGCTGATGAGGCCAGAGAGACCGACGGGCTTGAGAACCCCGAACTTATCGTCACTGCGGAGCAACTTCTTGACGACACAAAGTATGCGTTGAGACGGCAATGGCGGTCAATGAACAAGCGAAAGGTGACGAGGACAAGTCCTAGCCCGGTGGCTGAGGCTCGGCGTCATTTTCCACGAATGTCGCGGGAACTCAAAAGTCTGGGGTCTGCAATCATTCCATCCAGGTTGCGTTCTGGACGCCAATAAAGTCAAGCAAGGCCCGATCTAGCCAAATGCCTCGTGCACTCGATTGACTCTTAGAAGGAAGGGTAAGAATTGAGGGTGATCTTCACTGGCTTCGCGATCTATTTTAGGATTCTCCTAGGTGAGGGACTATTTTTGTTTTTGCTTTTGCCGCGTGAATCTGGTATGTCGTAGTTATTTTCAATTTACTTGCTTCGCCACTCTGCATATTTCAATTGACAAACTGTGAGAAGCAGAAGCTAATACCCTGGCGTGGATTGACTATATTGAGCAACGAATTTGAGTTGAGTAGAACATATCCCGTACCGGCTCACGTCTTTCTATCCTATCTATTCATCGAGGATGGATAAGTCATGAATTGAGAGCCAATGATTTCCAGGCCTTTCTAACTCGAGGCCACACTCCTTTTCACAAATTGGAAGCTCCCACTCCTGGTCGGTAAAGACTCAAATCAAATGTGATCATAGTTTATGTTTCCTGAATAGAACTGCCACAATAAAAGATCTATGGCTCCGCTAGAGTTTCACGTGAGGTCGTGCATTCCCAGACAGTCCCTCTGAATAGAAGGTGAAGGATGGTGTGGCCGGAGTCAAGACGAGCATAGTCAGGTGTCTTCCGAAAAGAATGACGTTCAACAGAAGGCGAAAAATTGATTAGCCAAGCTTGACCATCATCCACTTTCAGCCCGCAAGCCATTTGTCAAAGTCCTAAGCCGACAGTACATACGAGATCCTTTAGGCACAAGCAATCCAAGGCTGCTCACTGTATGGTTGTCACATGATGTCACATACACTAGTGAGATAACACATCCGCACTCTCAAGAATGGTAAGACGTCACTGTGGAGCCCCCTGTGGCTATAATTACTTCCTTCTCTATAAGGTTATCCAACAGGAATATCTCCAACAGGAGGTTATCCCATAGGAGGTTATCCCATAGGAGGCTATCCCATAGGAGGCTATCCCATAGGAGATTATCCCATAGTAGATTATCCCATAGAAATTTATCCCACAGTAGACTATCCTTTATGGGTTTATTCTATCAGACAACATCTTCGAGGTCCCCGCCGTCCCCTCCCCTTCATAAACACCCCCTCCCTTGTCCCCCTACTTATTCTACGTAAGTACTGTGGCCGCAAAGCGGAAACCCTAGCTTAAGCACGTGAGAGGCTGATTTCAAATTTCCAGACTACAAACAGACAGAGTCGTTCCCATAGAATAGATAGAAACCTCACAGCGGACTGTTTTAAATCCGTTTAACACGGTTCTAATGTAGTGAAAGAAACGGGGACCTCTACATGTGCTGTTCACATGCCTGCACGTGAGTGATCGGCTCCTAATTTGAGTCCTCAACCACCGCCTCTGCTTTTACAAAAGGCGGCCATGTATGAAGTCTCCGGATTTTATGATTTGCAGTCATTGTTCAAGATGCACGAATCGCGTCTCTTTGAAACCTGCGTGATCCTTGAGAAGGAAAGTGGGTGGACAAGAAAGAAAACGTGTGTTTACACCCGCCCATTCGGGATTGTTCTCCCAGCCTTACGTAAGTGCAAGGGACCCCTGACTGGCTGATTGTCGTTCTAAGTGCGGCGGCCTACGCGCACGCGTCTGTGCATCTCAGCGCTAAATAGACCTCCCAACTTTTCCACCATCAGTTCAGTTCATGAAATCTGCCTGCTCGATTCTCACATGTGCGTCGCAACACACCTCACCGATCGCCATCCTCCAGCGCCATAGCCGCCCAGACTGTCCATACCGTCCATAGGCGACCAGATTGAGCGCTTCTTGTTTTCAACCCACGACGACTGCGCACTACTTTCCACAATGGCCGCTCTCGACAACGAGAAGCTCGGCCTTGTGTTTGGGGCTCGTCCCGACATCCTCGAGGGGATCAAACAAGCTGCAGGTGCGCTGATGAGACACCGCCTATCTTCTTTGTGAACTGGGACTGCCAGATCCAGAGTCGGTGGCCCTGTCACTTTATCCACCAGACTGACAGCTCTGCAGATACCCCAGAACGGATCACCCTCTTCAACTCGATCGCAAGCTTCGTCTCCGACCAACAAGCTCACGACCCCTCAGTCGAGCCTAGCGCAAAACGAAGACGGGTCGAGGGAAACGATGGAGCAGTCGGCGAGAATGGCACTATAAGTGAACACGGCATGTTGCCACCACCCACACAAGCGGCCGTCACCGGAACACAGCAAACACCTGCCGTTGGCGCTGGTGCCGGCTCCTTGCTGATTGATATGGCAAATGCAGCGGCCAAAGAGGTCATATTGCTCGAGGTCAAGGAGATCAGCGTAGCTATTCCCCAGCGGAAGAAGTACGACCTGTGCTTCACCAAGAATTATCTGTACACGAAGCAGGTTGGCACAACAACACCAGTTCAAGGGATGGTGTATGACTGGAGTCAAATAGGTGCGTACTTGGCGGCCTGTTCTATCGCTGCTTGTGGGGATGCGAACAAAGGCGGAGGCTGACACTGGAGCTCACAGAATTCGTCTTCTACACACCCATTCCCGAGAAGCAACAATTACATTTCAACTACATCCTCTTCCCGCGCAACACAGCTCTCGCTTCGACGAAATCGTTCCCTCCGGCCGACTTCGAACCACTCGTCTTCTCCGTGCCCACCAGCTCGCCAAAGCCAGGCATCGTGGGGGGCTACGCAGCGCAGACCGCATCCCAGGTGTCCGACAGCTACACCTCCCTCATGCACTGGGCTATCAACAGCCAGCTGCAGTCTGTTAACAATACGACGGCCGCGATCGTGGGAACCGACCCGCGGGTGTTTTTCAGCGCAGTGCGGCAGCCACACCGTCCGAAAGAGAGGGCTGTGTACATCAAGGCTTTCAGGGGCAGCAAGGATGGGTACCTGTTCTTCCTGCCCAATGGTATACTGTGGGGGTTCAAGAAGCCATTGCTCTTCATCCCGCTCGACAGGATCAACGCCGTGTCATACGTGAATGTGCTGCAGAGGACGTTCAACATGGTGGTGGAAGTCGACGTGTCACACGCACCTCAGCAGGATCAGTCGAAGATTGGATCTTCGGGTGCCAATTGGGAAGAAGACGAAGGTCCCAAGACCGAGGAGATCGAGTTCGCTATGATAGACCAAGAAGATTATAGCACCATCGACGAGACCTACGTAAGGCAGCACGGGCTGAACAACCGCTCCATGGCCGAGGGCAGGAAGGCAAAGCGACAGCTTCGGGAGAATTTCAAGGGTGATCCCGCCGGTGCTGACGATGCCGCTTCTGGCACAAATACGAATGGGGAGCAGCTTGGGGACAACCTCACACAGCTTGCCCTCGCCGAACTCGGGGATGAGGACGAGGATGAGGAGGACGAGGAAGACTACGACCCAGGCTCTGAGGGAGAGAGTGAGGGTGAAGGTGACTCCAGTGAAGAGGACGATGAAGATGATGACGACGACGAGGAAGATGACGAGGAGGCAGACGGCTACGACGAGGAAGGCGGTGAAGAGGAAGGATATGTTGAGGACCACGAGTGATGGCCGTGATCAAGGTGCCTGGATGGCCGTGGTCGTTTGAAAACACGACCGATTTGACCCTGATGGCCTACACGACACTAAAGAAAAGTCGGGCGTTTGATGGATTTCATTCATGAGAGGCAGGGATATAGGGCCGGGAAACCTGGGCTGGTGTGGGCAACAAATGATGTGCCCGCTCAAGAGACGGTATCATGATACAACAAGATGTACGAAAATACAATACCCACCCTCCATCATTGACCATGGGAGGCTCCACAGCCATGCTGGGTTGCAACCGCCCCCAAGCAAGCACAGCGCCGTGACAGGCCACGATCGAGATCCCCATGCCCCTTAGGTGGATAGTCTCAAAGCCGGTCTCACTGCTCGCAGGTTTGACAAGGTGGGTGGGTACGTTCATCGCCTAGACTCTGTCATGCTGGGGATGTCATGCTGGGTGGGCTGGTTTGCTCATGTTGATTGCGATGGAGCTTTCCCTCTCTCCCTCTCCCTCTCCCACACACACCTACACACATGCAAGGCCGCACTCCGGGGAGAGCCCCATCCGGCCATCCCAGCCTCTCGTGGCCGCACACGTCCTGCCTGGGTCTGGTCACCGAGCTCGCGCTCCACTTCAGGCTGGAGACGCGGAGGAGTCTCATGCATGTTCTGCCTGCACGTTCAACCCACCATTTCCCCATTTACCACCCTCTTACAAGCGAGGAATCAATTTCACACTGGGGAAGAGAAACGGTCCGCAGCTAGTTTTTTGTTGGTTGCCTATTTTTAACCTTATTTGACTGTCTCACACGTGTAGAAAGAACAGATGAAGATTTGATCTAGTTGATTGAACCCAGTAGACTGGTGGTGGGATGGCACGGGACGGATGGCCTCGCGTCGTCTGATGTTTGAGACGGAGACGTGGTGCAGACGGCCTGGATGGACAGACCACTGCATTGCGATGGATATCAATTTTGCTCGCGTAGATGAAGTTCACTAAAAACGAAGGCAAAATATGTCAGTTACGTGCAGGATCTTGTTGGCATTTGTCATGAAGAGCAAGCAGAATTGCTCTTGGCCGCGGCCTTCACGACATCACTCAATATTGATCGGCAGTGACCTGTCGGCAGTTGGGTCTTTCAGTCGGGTCCCCTGGGCCGAGGACGATCACCAAAGGGCACCGAGAGGGCCCTGAATCGTCCGACCTTTGATCGTCTCCCACACGACATAATGTCGGCCCGCTTTTTGTCCAACCCCCAAGACCGAGTAATACATACGCCGCGGCGTTGATTTGATTGCGCCGTGTTTGATGGAGAGTGACGTTGACACGAACCAAGCAAGGAGAAACCCTCGTCCACATGCAACATGCAGAGAGATAACCAACCCTCTGCGACATCAAACAACAGATCTTGATCCGCGGGATGGGTCAAACACGCAGCCACAGCAGGAGACGCTGATAGTCAGGGGGTGCGAGAAGTCTAGGTGTGTGGGTTGGAGTGCAGGTTAGTTACACAGCAACAAGAGCGGCCTATCTGCTCGGTCTCAGGAAAAAGCCTGCGACGAACCTCCTGTCCCGGGCCCTGGGCGCCCAGGCTCTCCCGAGCTTCGGCTAGCGATGATCGCTCTTGGCCGCCCGGGGGGTCTCGCTGGGACCTGCTGGGGGGCCCTGCCGGGTGTGTGCGCCGCGGGATGTTTCTGATGAGGCTGAAAGGGTCCCGAACCCACATTTCCTGACGCAGACTGGCGACTTGGTATGCAGTCCACAACCGCTGGCCCAGGCGTGTCGCGGTTTGGGTTATAGGCGCCAATGGAGAGAAAAACAAGATAAGGTGTGCTGATCGTTGCTGCAAACGTCAGTCCTGCCCGGGGTGCTGGGCACTGCCTGGGATCAGGTCGAGGGCTGGACAGATCTTCAGACAACTCTTGTCGAGGGAAATCCCCGACATGGCATGTCTTCGATATGATGGCCGGATAGTGCCTGGAGGAGAGAGAGAGCGAGGGACGAGACGGGACGAGACGGGGATTGGTTCACGATGAACGCGCCCATCACTCGCACTCTGGGAGAGAGTGTGCCCGGATGTCTGTTATCATAAATACCTTCCACCCTTCTTCATCCTCGAACTGCCGCTGCATTGTTCTCAAAGCTATTGTCGACCAGTATCCTGCTTTCCTTGAAGTCTTCTGTTACCTATCTTTCATTCACGGTCTGGCTACCGACTCTTCCGCTCTCTCTTCTCTCCTTCACTGATACCAAACCACAATCACTGCAAGCAGTCTCCCACTCCATCCGCCAATATGCGTTTCTCATATGCCATCATCGCCCTCATTGGCGCAGCCCAAGCCATTGTATGAGCACCGCCCCTACCGTATTCGGTCTATGTATCTTCCCGTCCCAGTTACATCTTGCTAACATGACCCAGCCCACAGTAGGCAGCGTTGTGACCGAGCGGGGCGTCTGCAACAGCGCCGAGGAGTGCAAGGGCGTCGCCCGGGCCATCGTAGCCGACCAGGCCGCTCTAGAAGCACGCAAGAAGAGCAAGGCGGCCAAGGGCGCCGCCGGCAATGCCACAGCAGCAGCTGCCTCAAAGAACAACAACAACAAGGCCCGGTCCAAGCAGCTCATCAAGGACGAGGCAGAAGAAGAGGAGGAGGACGTCGAGGCCCGCGCCCTGGGCGACGCCGTCGACAGCCTCGTCGGCGAGGGAACGGGCCTGCTGGACGACGTCACGAGCACGGTGGGGCTCAAGACGCGCGACGGCAACGAGGTCCGCGCCGCGGTGACTGACAGCGCGGCCCTCGAGGCCCGGAAGAAGAGCAAGGCTTCCAAGGGCGCCGCTGGCAACGCCACGGCGGCGGCAGCCTCGAGCAACAACAACAACAAGGGCCGCTCGGCGAACCTCATGGACGGCGTCGGTGCCAGTGGCACACTTGAGGCCAGGAAGAAGAACAAGAAGGCCAAGAACGCCACTGCCGATGCTGCCGCGGCCGCTGATGCCGGCGCTGCTGCGGCTCGCCGATCTCGTCGTTCGTACAAGCTGTTCTGAGTGACATCATGAGGATTTACGGCCTCATGGGGTTCTGAGGATGTCTCTGCCAAGCCGCACGGGTGCAAGTCATGTTCTACTGTGAAAGGTGGTCCTGATGGATTTTTCGTGCCATGAGCATGGCAGGATGTCGAGAGTCCTGTTACAGCCTGTCATCATCGATGCACTCAGCGGATGCTACACCTGACATTTTCGCTGTGGACAGTATGCAGTGGCGGGTGGACGTGGGGTGCTCATGACTATGAGCCGGTAGTCTAGATTGATTACCGATGATCAACGAGTTTTCTTTTGTGTGTAATAGATATGTAATAGACTCGAGGCTCCGATAGTATTGAATACCTACGGCAGGAGAGTCGGTTCAGACTCAACATCGCATCCCTCTCATCTCTGCGCGGTCGTTTTGATAGCCGTTTTCTTGGAAATCAAATTCGGAGACCCAACAATAGCAGCTTGGTGTGCTTGACAGATTTAGTAGACCAAGGTGAGCACCAGCCGATCTTGCCTCGAAACTTCTGCGTACCCGCTTGTTTTGAAACTGCCAGACTCGGCACGATCCACCTTTCTGGTTGGTCCGGCCACTCATGGGATAAAAAAGGGCTGAATCGTTTTGGATCTCTAACACGACTTGTGAAGATCGCTACTCGTTCTTTCAACGTACTCCACGCCCTTCCTCTTCTTATCAAGGAAATTCAATTCGGGAGCCAGCCTCCCGGTCGGAGGCAGCCCCAAATCTCACCTCCATGCACAAATTCAACGAGCGACCATACTACGCACGATAACGCTGAGACAGTACAAATTTGATCACACCGAGTGTCCATGGCAGGACAAATCTCGTTAATGACGGTTGTGTACTTATCCGAGTTGTTCTGAGACCTCCTGGAGAGCCGGAGATTGACACGGAGGCTGGAGTTGTGACATCTCGTATGCTTGCAAAAGGAGGCGGTGCGGTCGACTGTATGGTCGATTTCTTCGTGATCTTTTTTAAGTCATCCTAAAAGATGATCTAGCGATACCGGAGTATTTGCAAACGGAGCCTCTCCTCGGGTGGTTGAAGTTGTCCAATGTCGGTAACCCGATCGTGACAACGCAGTAGTCTTGCATCTATGGCCTGATCGTCTGAGCCTTCTCGTAACCGCTGGAAAAATCGATCCCAACTTTTCCGTCAACGATAGTGTTATTCACCATCAGTTTTCGGATCCTTCTGGACCACAAAAACGTAAGCAAGCAATAATGTCTAAGCTGGCTGGGGTGTTGGCACATTCGAATTATGACGACGCGGATTTCGGATCCTGTGACCCGAAAGTCCCTCTCTCTTGTCAGATTAGCACGAATGGGTCTATGCCAGATCCGATGGTGTGAAGAATCATTCTATGAATCTTACTGGCCACTATCATCTGGGTGCACAGCACTACATATTGTGGAACGCGGTTCACACGTCCATTATAACTTCGTGCCGTATTTAAACATCCCAAGTTTTCACATTTCCATGGCCTGACGTGGTCCATGAACTTGAGCGTGCGCGTCGATAATGACAAGGCAATCTTCACTTGTCGGACTTTCAATGTTCATGGTAAAGTGTACAAAGCGTGAATTTGTTTTGCAAAAGAAATCTCGACTAGAACTGTAGTCTTATCGCGACGCTGGGTATATCTTAAAAATACATATGATACATTCTACCTCAATTTTCCTTGCTCGCTGAAAATGAAAGTCATCAGTCGTCATCATCGTTTTCCTCCGCCACCACCGCCCGTCTTGCCCGCAGGCGCCTTGCCCTTTGAATTCTGTGCCGCGCCAGTAACTTTTGTGCTGACCGGGTTGATAATCAGGTTGGCCAAGACAATCTCGACAAACTGCCTCGCGTAGATGGTTCCGATCATTCCTTTAGGTTTGAAATTCGTCTTCTTGACGATAAAGTCCATTATCGCAGCAGCAGCACCAACAGTGATCGTCTTCGGGATGCGCTGCTTCCAGGGGATCTGCGTGCCGACGGCGATCTTGATGGCCGCCACGGCGGCGGCGTCCAGGCCGACCTTGCCCACCGACTTCAGGTCGACGCCTTTCGTCAGCTTGTCCAGGAACGACTTTGCCGCCTCGCCGTCCGGGTCGATGTAGCGGGCCGACTCGTCGCGGTTCGACTCGTCGCGGCTCTTGCTTCGCTTGGGACTCGTCTTGGAATCCCTCTCGGAGCGGGTGTGCGACCGGCTGGCCCGCCGCCGGGGCGACCTCTCTCCTGAGTCTTCCGACTCCTCCCATGAGTCGGATGGGATGGGGGACAATGAGCGGTAATTAGCGTCGTGGCGAGAATGCGACGCTGTTGAGGCATCGGTGCGGCGGCGCGACGATTCCTTTCGATCCCGGCTTCCTGACGGGCTGCTGGATGCGTTGGAGCGCCTAGACGAGTGTTTGACGCGGCGCTCGCTAGAGTCGCTGCCGTCGGATGTTGTGGAATGCCGACGCGAGGATAATGACTTGTGCCGGTCGCGATCTCTGTCTTCCCTTCGGTTCCGGTCGCGGTCGCTCCGTCTGGACGCTTTTGACGCATCACTCTCGCGTCTCTCTCGTCTCTCTCTCCTGTCTCTCTCCGATGCGCTGCTTTGCCGGCGTTCCCTCCTGTGGCTTCCCGAAGCATCAGACCTCCGTCGTTCTCCTTTCTCATCTGCGTGATCGCGAACTTGGTCGTCCTTGATTGACCCGATGGTTCCAGAAGTCATGTTTTTGTACTCATCATCGTCGACTTTTAGGTAGTACTTGTCTCTTGGGTCGTAGTCCGAGTCACCATCGGAGTCCCTCTCCTCTCTCTCTGCCTTGGGTCCGCCCTGTTCGGCATCCTCGGACTGGCTGAATCGTCTCCCGGACTCTGCATGGTGCTTAGCAGATTCGGCATGATAGTCACGTAACGCGTCTCTTTGCACATTGTGGGCGTCTTTTGGCGAGTTTGCTGCAGAGCCTCCATAGCCGCTGTCTCGGCTATCGATGGAGGCGTCGTCGCGATCATGCCGGCTGTGATGTGGCTGCCGAGATCGACTACTGTCTTGGGCGTGTCGCCCAGGTGCCATCGCTGCAGATGGAGAAAACTTTTGGTTGAGATGGCTGGTGTATTGTTGAGTGGTGTGTTTTCTGTCCTTGACTACGAACTCATCTTGCAGCATTCAGTCAGAATATGCATTCTACTGTAAGTATTCAGCGGTGTGAGACGGTGAGGGATAAAGGAGCGAGGTGAAGGATCTAGGGGCGCCAGAGAATGCCCAGATGGGTGAGACGCTGATGTTAACCGTAACCGGCAAGGGGGCAGCTCGTTCCAAGGTTCCTCGCCACACGCTTCGGTCCCATCCGCCTGCCCGTCGATGACGTCCGCCAGGTTCCCTGCCAGCCTACCCCAGCCTCTCGCGTCATCTGCCCACACACCCGGGAATAAGGTTGCACAGTCAACAGTAGTGTGCGTCCTGGCGACCCTCCTCCTCTCTATCTCCCTCCAGTCGTCAGGGTCGTCTGTCCCCGTTGACTTGTCAATGTTTCAATTCCCAGAGCAACCATCCTGGCCGTTGCCACGCTGCCGCTACATCGTTTCTGCCCGACAGACTGGGCAGAATGGCAGTTAACTCGGGTATCAGATATGGTGGGACGAGAAAATGGTAGAATTACGGCCGATGACAGAGACAGGCTTGCGACAGATCTCAGTTCTCCCCCACTGGTCGATAAGTCTTGTGGGATGTCATGACGCACATCGGCAATGGCCAGTCTTAATTGCCCTTTTATTACCCTGGCACCACACGCATTGTTGGTTCGCCCGATCCAGCTCTTCCCCAAAGATAGTTCAGGTTCAAGAAGATGCCCCAGGGATGGCCCGCCGCGAAATTCCGGGGTTCCGAGCTCGTGAATGCGCTCCTGGGGATCATGCTGTGGAGACCGTTTCAAACAGACAGCTAACCGGCCTCGAAATAGCATCCACTCTACTAACAATAACCAACATTCCCCTCAGCTTCTATTCTGAAAGTGGCTGTCGCTGCATGCCTCGACACATGCAGAGTTGCTTGATAGTCTTTCAGAGTCATGCGCAGGTATTTTAGGAGGCAGCAGAAGAAGTAGGCTTTGATGATAGCCGCCGCATTACTGAAGGGCAAAACGCCCAAGATTGAGACTGTTCTGCTGTCCTGCCATAAGTTCCTTTTGGTGTTTCGGTCCACGGTATGAACTCTGTGGTACCAACTTCTCGGCCGTCATCACTTCATTGTTGTCTACTATGTCGCAAAAGTAAGTCGATTCGTTCCAGAAGACGGGACTTATTGGGAGCCCACCGTAGAGATATGGGCTAGATACGCCGCACCAACAAGCGTTGGAATGTCTAAGTATGTGGCACAATATATCGAGTGCGTGGTGCAGCGGGGACACCAGTGATCAAATGGAAAGGAGGCAACCATGATTCTTCGAAATGCGAAGCTGTCGCCAATGGTTGAAGCTCGCCTGATCCGGGGCCTTTGGTCGCGGTCCTATAAATTGAGACGCCTGCGTGTTTAGACTCAGTGCTTCACAGACGATGACAAGCTCTGAGCTCTCCCATCCACGGGTAGTCAGCTTAAGTCGAAGTGTCATCGGGATGTTGGAAAGCATTTCAGTCGCAGCATGGTATGCGCGACAGTCAATCAATGGAACGTGACTGGTAGGTCGAATAATCCTCACCGGATGTATTTCAGTTAAGACTGCGAGTGCTGTCGGTAGTCGAGGCTTGTCGTCCTGGGGTATAATGATGACTTGAATGGCGCTGGCCCACATGAGAACGAAGGACCTACTCGCGACTACAGCTGGTTGGCAAACTCCATGGACGTATAAAACATATCGCACGTCCGGCACAATTGAATAGCGCGCCTGGCTCTCTACACACAGTCAAAGTGGCGACGGCTTGTGAGACGAATCATGTCATAGAGTGATTATTCTAGTTGCAAAAGCCGCGCGCCTCACTCGCTTAGGGTTTGATCAGCTCGCAGAAGTCTTTGTCCTATAGCACAATCTCACCGCGCGGCCGAAATCTTTTTGGGTTAAGTTCCACAAGTGCAAGCCAGCCACTGAGCCAAATAGGGCTGACGGTTTTTTTCTGCCTGCTTGGCTCCGCGTACCCGTCTCTATGCACATGAGAGCCCAAGCGAGCGAAGCTGACATGTACTCCAAGTTGATCCCTAGTTTCACCAATGCCGTCGGAGTCTAAATTGCCCGTCTTATTGCGATCGGGTTTCAGCCGGTTCTGAAAACAAAACCGACAAGTTATAGCAGGAACAAGTCATCAACTCTCGTAGCCAGGAGATCTTGTTATCTTGCTGCCTGCCCATATATTCCTTAAAAAGTCAGTTTCTACTCTATGGAGTTCCAGCAATCCAGCCAGCAGCATCCCATATTTCACCATAGTTCGACGATGGACAACTATAATCCCGACCGCTGGTACGTGAAATCGTGTGATCGAGCGTCTCATAGTAGTCAAAACTTTGGCAGGAGAGACTAACTAGGCTTCCAGCCCGATTTACGCTGTCAGTTGCCCTCTGTCATCCTCGAGCTCGCTCGCACCTACTTCGATAGGATGACTGAAATTAAATGTAGTCCTTCTTTGGAGCACTGGGCTGTGCCATGGCTACGATACTTTGCTGTCTCGGAGCATCATACGGAACAGCTAAGTCGTCGGGCGCTGTGTTTAGCGCAGCCATAATCAGACCTGACAGCTGGACTCGTAACATGTATGCACCTGTCAATTTCCGGGGAAGCTTTCATTGATTAGTTGCCTACCTCGTGTGAGAACAAGCTGACTAGGCATGGTCATGACAGGCTATGTGCAGTTATGGCCCAGATCCTGTCGATTTACGGACTTGTAACAAGTGTCATTATCAGCAACAGCCTGTTCGAAAAGATGGCACTCTTCACGGGGTTCATCCAGATGGGTGCAGGTATCGCTGTCGGACTATGTGGCATGGCAGCTGGATTTGCGATTGGCATCGTTGGTGATGCCGGAGGTATGATAGAACCTGCTTCGTATCCAGATGCTTAACGGTGTGTGACTCTCAAAATCGGGCTTTTCTGACCAGCAGGCAGTACGAGCGAACGTTCAACAACCACGCCTCTACACAGCTATGGTCTTGATCTTGATCTTCTCCGAAGTTCTGGGGCTATACGGTCTGATTGTTTCTATTCTTATGCTTTCAAGGTCTACGCTTGGGGTCACAGAGTGTGTTTACTAGTTACGAGGTATAGCAAAAGACAAGACAAAGCTCTGAGCGGAGGGCGGGTGCAGGGGTTCCCTGATCTTAAGGATGAACACTGTTCGAAACAATGTTGGGATATAACCCACATAGTAAATGGACTCGACCGCTTTTTACACCAGACCTAGCCAATTGGCTGACACTTCGAGGGAAACATAGACAAGCCGATCACCTTTCAGGCAAGGGATACGAAGTATTGTGATTTGATTTCGTGCATTATGGTTGGGCACCATAGAGTGCAGCAGACTTCGGCCCCTGATAATCAAGAGGAATTCAACGCAGGACCACACAAAGCAGAGGAAAACAGTAAGCAAGAGACGCGAAGAAGTTCCGCGGCAATATCTATCAATATTTGTCCCAGCAGCTGTCAAAAGCACCACCAAAATCATTAACATCAGCAGAGCATCTGACGTCGTCGTCCCAATAGTCGAATTCATCCTCCTGTTCATCATATTCAAGATCCCACAAAAAGTCCTCGGGTTCTTTGTCATCCATTTCTCTTTCCCACATGACTTCTGCCATTTCTTCCAAGGTCAATTTAGTAGTAGAACCTCCACCCCAGGGCCCGAGTGCCTTTCCAGGCGATTGGGGCTTATATTCAGGAGACCGGGCATCAGCCAGGCGGCGTTTCGATTCCTCATGCGCTTTAACAAGCCAGGTCGGATTGACTCGGCCCATGTAGAATTTTTGCAGCGCTGGCAAGTGAGCGACATCGTTGACGCAGTACTGTAGTGTGCTGGGTGCAAGAGGGCGTTGCGAGAATATGTCTTTGGACATGAGATTCCGGACCTCACGTTTAGTTCGTAGCCAACGCTCTCGATCCATGAATCCTAATTTGACATCATACTGAACCGCTTTGTCCAGTCCGCATAGTTTAGTTTTGTCGATCCAGTCCGGGCGAGAGGCGTTCTCGAGGAGCTGAATGTCGGTAACGCCAGCCAGGCCCACCTGAAAATGAGCCCAGAGAGCATCGGCATCGTTTCTGACATCCCATACATACTTCTGGACTTCATGGTCTTCGAGTATGGATTTCAGGCTTCTTCCCTCGACGGACTCGATCTCGAACGCCGACTTCCCGAGGGTCAGCACGTCAACCACGCGAGTCACTTTCTGCGGATGGATCAGCATGGTGACGAGAGTGATTGTTCCGTCACGGCTGAGACTTTTGCCTTCCAAGTCCAGGTAGAGTGAGTTGTCAGATTCGATTGTAGAGAGAAACTCTCTGAGATCCTTGCTGGTGGAAATGAGGCTGGATGTTGAAGCAGCCATGGTGGCTAAAGTTCGACACACAACGTGTCCGCGAAGAGATTGACAAGAGAATCAAGTTCCAAAGTGACAGGACTGTATGGCAACTAGTCACTTTTAAGTACACATGTCAATATCGAGTCGACGAATGTGTTTCAGTGGGCCTCCCGCAGCGCGCATGCAGGGACAACAAGCGCCGCGGGCTGATTCGTTGAGATATACGCTTCAAGATAGGGGCCATGGCGATTGGAATGAGAGATCAGGGAAATGGAATGTATCAGATGTGGGTGAAAGACTGTGGGAGATCAAAGAGTCAGGAAATCCTTGTCTTCAATTCCCAAATCTGTCCTAGCTGGTGTATGTGCTAAATGCTATCATAATGTGCCAAAACACTCGTGTTTGTCCATCCACTGTTGAGGGATTTGGTGTGTAACTACATTTAAGGCGTATATATTTCAACAAGATGTCTTAGTGTAACACCTCAATCCCAATCGACTGCCAGTCTAGATGTGAAACGAAGATGACATCGGTCTCCCTTCGTATCTCGGAGGTGTCACTTCCTTCTCACAATGTTTAAAGCTAGGAAATGGCGTGAAGGATCCTTTTTATACAATTTCCAGGCTGTTGCAAAAGCTTATGGGCAGTCAACGGGAGGAACCCCTCGTCACGGATTAGCGTCCGCATCGCCAGTCGGAATCGGAAGAGTGGCATAAAGAATGTTTGGCTCTGGATCATCTTGAGTGGGTGCCGGCGGCGCTTGAGATGGCCAGGGCTCCATCTGATAGAAAATAGTCGGCCTCTCAACGTTGCCATCGCTCGGCTCCACGTGGACTAGTCGTATGACCATACGGCCCGGCGGGGCCCTGATGCCTCTATCTGCCAGAATCTGGAGTTCTGCGGGTGACAGATAGAGCCTCCGGCCGTAATGGTATCCGTCCGGTCTCGAGGGTGGTCTCGCAAAAGGGCTGTATGGTGGTATGCGGACTGCTCTGACCAGGGGGGCTCGTGAGGCACGCCCGTCTCCTGTGGCCTGGCTGGGTCGTTGGGCCTGGATGAGGACATTACTGGATTGAGGTGTAGCTATCCCAAGGGCAATTTCTCGATAGAAAACGTTGGGAACGCCTCCTTCAGACGGGTCGACAGGATCGACGCGGAGCGCAAACAGCCCCTCAGGCACGGTGTATCCTTCCACAGACGATGTCCGACCATGAAGATATCCAGGCGGGGCAGGAGGCGGATCAGCCCCACGAGCATACGGCGGGATGCTAATTGTGTTGAAAACCCTCGATCCTTTAACTAGAGGCAGGGGAAGAACGATTCGCCTTACAGATTTGCCGTTGCCTCCAGAATTGCCTCCACTTGTTGGATCATGAGCGCTCAAGAAGATGTTTGGAAAGTTGTCTCCCGTCGAGATGGTAGAGCCCATGTTAACATCTCGCGAAGTGTCTGGTCGAAGATTGGTGGAACTTGTTCCGCCCCTCAGCAATCCTTGATTCACCCCCGACATAAGATTGTTCCCTTGATCTGTATTTGATACTCTCATCTGTCTTGCCAGAGGCAATGGGTCTGCTGCTCTTCGGCTTGACGCTCGTTGTCGGCCTGCCGCTGGTGATGGATTAACGGATTCGATTCCTGCCGAATTCATGACTATCTCCGCCATCTGTGCCGTGAATAGATGCGCCACATTGTCTGGTACCTGACCTCCCGCGAGATCGTTTCCTACCCCTTGTGGGTATGATAGTGGTGCTGGTGATGACGCACTCCCCCAGGCACTCAGGAAGGCCTCCAGACCAGCTCCAGCCGCTGTTGCCAACCGAAGGACTACATCCGGCATCAATGTTAATATGTATTGCTGCGCTTGACCCAGATCAAGCCCTGCCTGCCTTGTCAGAAGATTCCACATAGACACTGCTTGAGTGCCCAATAAGCGACCTAGGTTTCGATCGGGCAGAGCAAGGGCGGGATCAATGATGGCGTTCGGCTGTGCAAAGAGTGGTCAGATGATTAGCAACCAATAATCCCCTGAAAAGAAGCAGACAAGTAACAGACAGGGAACATACGTCTGCTGGCTCACCAGCCATCCGGTCGAACCAGTCACGGTCATCGGGGTCATCATTCCAACCTTGCATTCTCTCGGCTCGCGCCATGTATGTGCTCAATTCTTGCAACGTAGGGCGGTGAGCAGGCTGATCCGCTAAGCATCGGATGAGCAGCCCTTTGAGATCATTATCGATGTTCATCTGGTCTCGTAGCCACCCTCCGTGCGTATAGAATGATTCAACCACATTTCCATCAATATCACGCAAGGCGGGAATTCCATCCGGCATCAAAGAGCCGTCTGGGCCATTCATGGGGCCAGTAGCAAATGGAGGATATGGGGGTTCACGCCTCGTGACCATGCAATACAAGATCTTTTTGGCCAGTCAGCACTGCAGCGTTGGGCTATCCTGCTCGTTCTGACTTACCATGCCAACGGCCCAGATGTTGCTAGCTGGCCCGTAGTTTCCTGCGACCTTGGGGATGGGATTTTCGTCTTGGGGAAGCTCGGCGACGTACTCCCATTCTTTATGGAATTGTTCCGGCATAAGAAAAGGCAGTTTCCCCACCCTTCGATGTGCCCAATGTGCTTCCCTTTAAGGAATCGGAACGCGTTAGATGTACATCATATGTAATTCGTCACTAGCTAGAAACAGTGAGGCACATACCGAGTGTTGAATTCAGGCGACTTAACGACACGAGCGCAACCGAAGTCAGTAACCTACAGACGTGTGAGTATTTCTTTCGTTGTTTTCATGAAAATTTTAATGTTTCCCAGGTTCATCATTACCTTGTAAGCCGGCGCTGCCAAGTGGTTGTCGTCAAAGTCACCAATCAATACTTCCAAGAAAGAGTCACCAATCAGCGAATATCGCCTGATGAAATGCGTAAGGATTATCTTTACCATTCTTCGGGTCCAAGTCGAAATGGACCAAGCCATAACCAACTCTTTCCGATTCGATGATGGGAATTCTTTCGACGCCATCTTCGCCCGTCTCGGGAGCCCAAACCTCACTTCCGTCCTCCTGTACCTGTCGTCTAGGGGGGTACTCCATGGCAAGACAAGCTCGTACGACTGGGTTGAGTATTAAAGTCAGGCGTTTAGCGGGTCTAGTTACTTATATGGGAAGGAAATAAGACTCACGACAGAAGAACGCCTTCCATAGGATGCTGTTGGGGATGTTCTCGCCTGCAGCCACCGCTTTCACGACCAGTCCCTCTAAATCACCCCGTTTCATATACTCCTGGAGAAGTATATCGGGGTCCGAGTCATCATTTTCAAACACTTGGTGCATACGATCGTCAGCTGCAAGATCTGTCACTAAGTCTTTTCCCAATTTCAGAGCTCGTACGATGTGCGGTGCACGTCTCAGACTCTGGGGGACAGGCATATGTCAGCGATGTACTGAACGGGTACCACATTCCGCCTGCAGAGATGCCACAACCGTCAGATATACTTACCAACTGTTGTCTCTTCTCTTCTCGTAGCCCTCCTTGCGTATAGGATCTTTTAATGACGAACCTCTTCCGCACACCGGTCGTCCTAGACCGTAGATCAAAAAGTGTAGCTAAGCCCTCGCCACCAGCTCCTAGATGCCGTAAAGCTCTCACTTCGAGGTTTCTGAGTATAAGCTGATCACGGACCCATTTCGCAGAATCGTCTTTTGGATCCAACTCTTAGCTTTGGTGTTTTTGCTAGTATCATGGTTGTGAAATACATAGTGAACAGGGATTTGAATAGGCAAGTGGTTCGTGGTCATTCGTTTGCAATATACGCAGGGTATGTAATCTCTTGTTCCAAAGACTTCTCATGCTTACCTCTTGAAGCAACTCTAGGTCCAGAATTCTTATCAGCTCGCATCATTTGCACGTTTCTGGCCTGCATGTCGTGCATCTGATCAAGATCATGAGTGCCGAATGGGTTGCTATAGACCTGATACCAGTCTTCTGGAGCCGGAGGTTCGACCCGGTCGAAATTAACCAAGGCCTTATTGGGGTGGAACCATGGCTCTTGGCCTCGTTGTAAATAGCGCCATGTTAGCCCTCGCCGATGGTATTCATAGAAATTGTTGAGGTAAAATCTATATCTTTGAAAAGCTCTATTAGCTCCTCCCTGTTGTGCTGCTGTCGGCAGTGCTGGCACTGCTGCTTCTGGAGGTGCTGCTGGCTCTGATTGTGCTGGGAATGGCAATGGTGGCGGCGCTGGTGGTGATGCTGGAGGTGGTGCCGGTGATGGTGCTAGGGTGCCGAAACTTTGGTCACTCGGCCGCGCTCCTGGGACAGACATTCTTCTTGGCTGTGGATTTCAGACAACCCCTGCAGATCGTTTTGATTCCAATGAGCAATATAGAGTCCTTCTCCAATTGATGCCTTGAAATATTGGTGGCGTAGGCGTGTTCTTCAGGGCTGGCTTGGCATTACTACTGAAGTCACAGTCAATGCTGTTGATATTGCTTGTTAATTTTTGTCGTTATATTGTTGAGCACACTGGCGCACATACAAAATAGCCATACTCAAGGAAGTCCTGAAACATGTATCGAATTAACAATCATCTGCACCACACAGTCCGCAACCGGAGTGTGCTAACCTCATCCTTTGTTGCTCACAAAGACAAAGCATAGCCCAATACTGGACATCTCTGGGGCCAAGTATGTTAATAAAACAGCCCTCTTGATTTCTAGGGCCAATTATCCACTACTGATCTACATTTTCCTCAATCTCAAATGTTGGTTAAAAAATAGTGGTAAACATGATGGGTGATGACCACGAGTTCCACCTTCCAATGTTTGAATTTTGCTGAACACTGGATCAAGCCATTGAATATTTGATTTGACTTCCATACAGACACTGTAGAGTCGCACGCATTATGGAGATATCGATGACACAAAAGACCCCGCGGTTCGTACCTGAATATAAATGATTTGAGAGATTGCATCAAAGGATGCTTATCGTTATGCTCCATTCGTATTCTCATCAAGTTCCATATTGAAAATTTGCACAATTCCAGATGTTTTCCAAACGTAACTTGCTTACGATGACAACACATTCGACTCCAGATGCTTGACTACAGATCTAGCCTGGAATGTGGGAGTTTTGAGCGGAAGAGAAACTTAGCCTGGAATTACGTGCTTACACATCAAAATAACATTCACACGAGATGCGACACTGCTGAATACTAGAACCCTGTTGTTTTCCCTACTTTGTTGCGAAATTCAATCTTTGGCTGGCGCCGCCATCTAATACGAAAACTCCCGAGCACATCATTGAGCCCAAAACGCGTTCATGCCGCAGAAGCACATGCCGTCTCACGACCGATCCTGGTTGGCTGGTCTCCAGCCCGGACAATAGGCTTGCCACTCGAATCTTGTGCCAGCAGCTTGTCCTTATCCTCCGCATGAACTCGCTTCCACATCTCGACCTCACCTCCGCCTCGAATGACCCCAACTCGCATAGTGCTGAGGAGATTGTGCGCCGCGTTCGAGTGAAGGTACACACCACCATTGAAGATAGCTGTGGCGTCCTTTCCAATAGCAGAAGAGATGAGTGCTTTACCGCCTGGATGCTCTTTGATAAAGTCCGTGACATCGTGGACTACGCCGGCGATTGTGACGAGCGCCCTGCCGGTGCCATCGGCCTTCGACTGGGCTACGAAATCATCCCACTCGATTATGGGCAACTGGTCAAGAGGAACGCCCCAGTCCAACTTGGACCGCTTTTGATCGAGCTTCTTCTGTAGCTGCTGGACTCGGCCCTTTTCAATTTCGTTCTGGCGGAACTGCTTCAGATCGTAGGCCAAACCGACCTTCTTCCACAGCCAAATCATCCATTTTGTAGGGTCGTACTGGTACCATTCGATGGCATTTCGGTAGTCCGAGGGGAATTCGTGGTGGAAGTTGTGGTAGCCCTCACCAAGTGTTACGAGCGCCGTGATCCAGTTATCACGAGGGGAATTGCGGTCGTCAAAGGGCTGGTCGCCGAGCCAGTGGGCCAGTGAATTGATGCAGAATGTCGCCTGCTGTACGAAGGTGGCGCGAAGAACACCAGCGTAGATGAATCCGCCGTCTGTTGAGCAAATGTTAGCGAGACCGATGCACATGTCTATATGCAGGTAATCCACTTACACCAATCGCCCCATCCCAAGCCACAGACCAGCGTTGGGAAGATCAATGCCATAAAGATGACACATTTCTGAAAGATACTTGTTAGCAAGAGGTGTACTATAGCGTAGTCCACTACAACCGAGGCGCACTGGACGGCAACAATCGAGCATACCAGATAGTTCACATGCTGCCAAACAACGATAGGGTCCTCGTTCAGGTCGGTAATGTCCGAACGGCCGATACGCTTCGGGTTCTGCTTCATGACGAGCCAGCCGATGTGTGCATAGATGAAGCCCTTTCGGACGGAATACGGGTCCTTCACGGTGTCTGTGTAACGGTGATGTGCCCGGTGGCCTTTCGACCACCACCTGATAGAGCCCTCAGCTGCTCCGACACCAACCGCTGCCAGGTATATCTGTAGAGGCAATGTGGCTTTGTATGAAGTGTGCGCCCAGAGACGGTGGTATCCTGTGTGGGTCCTTGCGTTAGCTCCAGCCATTGACAGCGTGCAATGAAGGATTTAAGGTCATGCATACCAGCTGTAATACCTAGGCCAGTGTTGAAGTAGTATATCACACTGAACACAGCTGTCCATAGTTGCAACGGATGATAATAAGCTGCCACGAATCCTATGACAGGGACGCCAAATATGAAGAAACTGTTCAGCCAGTTGACATGGCGATACCAATTGGTCCAGGTAATTTGCGTCTCTGTGATGTGAGGCTTCTTCAGGTCATATTGCTTCGATCGTAATGGCTGGTAATCTTTTGTGCCGTCACAGACTGTGCCACCCGGCATAGCACCTTGTGTACCAGATTCGTGCATCTGAGATGCCGGCGTCCGGCGCGCTGTCGACAAAGCCATCTTCGAGAACGCCTTGTGCAATTCCAGTGCACTCTGTCGCGCTCCACACAAGATAATCAAAAACAATCAAATGTTTTAGTACATTGGAGTTGAAGGCTGGTTTCAAATCGCACCGAGGACAATTCAAGCGAAAAGCCTCGAGGTTATCAATCCCACATCAACGGAAGCCATGTCACAGCCGAGGTCAACAATACCAGGTAAATCATCTGACAGACGTAGGTTGGGACCTCTATCACGTGGTAACCCAGGTCTGTAATAGTGTTCGCTGTTGGGACCGTCATTCTTATTTTGTTGGGACGTCTAGGTTTACCTGCCTAAACGGACATTTGCGGGTGGATCGTACGATCCTGCAGCTTGTACTTGCAAAAATCAGCTGTTTCAGCAGATCCAGACAGCATTGACCACTTCCAAGCAGGCTATGCCATCGCATGATCAATCCCACTCGATCTGCTCAGTATAATGATCAAAATTATGGCGCGGGTAAGCGGATCTCTCAGAGGCGTGGGCCACTGGGGACTTCTGAGCTGTGCCTGCAGGTGGAGCAACAATCTCCATTACCAGATATGGTGAACAGCGGCCCAATTGCAATCCTGTCCAAGAGCTTCAATCTCTGCTGACCAGGCTTGAAAGTAGAGAATCGGTCGAATCGAGGATCGATGTTGTTGATAGCCAATCTGCAAGAGAATGCCAAATTGTCGCAATTATTCCGGATATAGAGCGTGCATGAACTCAAGTTCTTGACAATGAGGGAATTGATGCAGTGATCAAGGCATACAGATGTATATTGACAGCGTACAGCTGCCACGCATGGCACAGTGACCCTTTGGCTACTTGGTCTTCTGGACTGTGGTGAGGGATTTGGAATGGACGAATTCAGCATATCTCAGCTAATCAATCAGTCTTGTGTGCGTAGTGCCAATGATCTTGGGCAATATCCTAGATTGGTCTTTCTCTCTTCCAAACGAGAGAATCAGAGGCAAAAAGAAGAGAGTTACTAATACAGCATGTACCCTCATGAGTATGCCAGTCGTGCGATAAGGCTGGTTTCGCTTCTGGATTTGTGCTGACAGTGACTGCGGTGACGAAGCCATCCAAAGCCCAGATAAACTATGTACAAAACCAACTCGCGAGACTGGAGGCACCTCACCTTAAGAACCCTATACGGCCTTCTCGAAAGTATACGCGAAGTTTGGTCTCACTGTGTACCAGATCGCTGGCCTCATCAGGCCAGAAGATACAAATTGTGTTTAACCGAGGCTTTTAAGTGGTGATACTCGATGTACCTCTAGCCTCACCGCAGCAAGGACCAGAGGGAAGAGGAATACGTTTATCATGGCTTGAAGTCTACATCGTAAGGGAGATGTCGGTCACTCGCATCGTAAAGAGGATCAGGCGCAGAATAGCTAAATTAAAATATACAGTGAAATATTTCTACCGGTTGGATCCGTCAACTTGAGTTCGGGTAACTTCGACCCATCAAGACAGCCCAGTCGACTTGCGCGCAGCATCAACAAGAATGTTGTTGTAGTCCCCGCCAGCCTCCCAAAGAGCAAAGCCCTTCAATCCGGTGTTCACGATGTACTGTCCCTTGACGGTAATAGACTGGGCGTCGTCGTAGGACACGTAGACGTTGCTGGTGGCGTTCCAGAGGAAAGGTGTCTGGCTGCAGTTGTCATAGGTATACTCGATGCCAGGGAGGGGCTTGGCGGTCTCGTCCAGGAAGTTGGCCTCGGTGATCAGACTCCAGAGAGGATATGTGCCACTGGGAGGCGAGGCCGCCCCACACTCGTCGATCGACGGGTCGTCGTCCCAGCTGCTGCCCTGGAAGCGGTCGCTCGAGTTCTGGGCGGGGTACAGCTGCAGCGTGTCTGTGCCGTTCATGGCAGACGTCTCGTTGACGCGGAAGCCGTGGCCGTAGGCCGCGAGGCCGAGAACGATCTTGTCGGCGGGGACACCAGCGTCGATCCAGGCCTGGACGCCAAGCTTTCCTGAGCCCTGGTTGTTGCGGGCATCGCAGGATGAGTCTAGTGGGGCGTTGGGGCCCGCGGTCGTGGCCCAGGCGCCGTATATGTCGTAGTTCATGATCATGAGGTAGTCGAGCACATCGGCGAAGCCACTCAGGTCGGCAGAGCGGGCGCCAGTGGCGTCGTTCCAGGGAAACAGCGAGGTGGCGGCCGTCAGGGTCAGGTTTGGTGCCTGCTGGCGGAGTTCCTGAAGGAAGGTGAGGAAGTTGGTGGTGTCGTTGTCGTTGATGGCATTGCAGCCGAGACCCTGTCTGTTGGGATACTCATAGTCGAAGTCCAGGCCGTCCAGTTGGTACTGGCTCACGAGGTCCAGGCTGGTCTTGACGAACGCTGTCCTGTTTTCCGCCGATCCGAAGTTCGTTGAGAAGTATCTGCTTCCTGTCCAGCCACCGATTGATACAAGCGCCTTCACATTCTATCATTGTATGTCAGCGGGTGTCAAGTGAGATACTGATAATTTTGGGGAGAGAACAAACATTTTTCTTGGCGTCTGAAACGAAGACGGGGAGCTGATCGGGGTTCGACTTGGTGAGGTTTAAGCTACCGTCTGCGTTGGTTTCACTATGTGAATTGTTAGTCTCACGCTGCAGGGATTTGTATTTGCAAATTCGAATAGAGAGGACTTACGCAAAGGCATATTTGATCTCAGTGTACTTGTCCCACGGGATGGAAGACACTGGGAAGCCTCTGTCCGCGTGGTAACCAGCGAAGTATGTCGCGGCTACCAGTCCACTTGAGTTCGTGGCGCGCTTATTGCAGGGTTTGACGACGCCGGCGCTTGCGAAAGGAACTGCCGCCCCCAGGAGGAGTGCAGTCAACGATGTTGATAGGACCATGTTGAAAATGCTACTAGTGTGAAGAAACGAGAGAAACTAGTGTTGTTGCAGTGCAGCTTCTCAGGTCCACAGCCAAAGAGGTGGGAACGTGGCAGCTAATAAACATTTGATCGAAGTCAACTCAAGTTCGCAGCATAGCCCTTTGTGCTGTCCCAAATAGAGCATTGCATCCATAATTAATCTCGGGAGGTGCCAAGATTAGGGGGCCTACAAACTCTATTCATGGGTAATGAATCACGCACGCACGCGTCGGCATGATCGCTCGCCCGTTGACAGGCACAGCCGCCGGGATGGCCAGTGCGGCTTTGCGCGATGCAGGGGAAACAGAGGAAACATGCGCGGAATATACTCTGGGCTTGGGGCACAGCCTGTCCATTGCAGCTTGGTCATGCCCGATGTCATCTGCTACCCGATGAACCTAAAATGTGCCCTGTCCGATCACCTGCGCCAACCATTTTGAGAGTTTGCTGGTTAACTATAATCCGCAACGGGAAACGATGTTTCGCTCAGGGGCGAGGAGGCTCATCTCCAGAGATACGATTCGTGGGCCAAATGAGCTGGACCAAAACCTTCTTGCCGGGTAAAAGGGGTCTCCAACGTTGCCGCTTTGTCGCGCGCACGACGCAGTCTCGGGGCGGCATTGTCGGGTCTCTCGGCGCGCTCTGGATTTTCCCTTTAATGATCGCCACATGGTAGCTCCGCCCCTTCCCCTTCCTGGCAAGCGGGCTGGGTGAACCATGTCATGGAAGTACTTGGCTTAGAAACAGGCCGTTTCGTTGGTTCCCTCCTGGTGAAACTCCAAGCCAACATGGAGGCAATTCCATAGTCAAAGTGCCGTAGAGGCCCGTAGAGTGCCGTAGAGTGCCGGATCAACATCGGACCTGCAAAGATTGGATGAACCCTGTTATAAGGGCATTTCCAAGACTTCCCCCTTTTGAAAGGAGCAGCGGGCCAGCAGCTTATTGCCTAACGCACACCAACGGCTGGCGTCGCTACTCGAGGCTCAATTATTGAGGCTCTCTTGGCGCTGTTCACGGACAACATATTCGCCTAGCATCCAAGCACTCTCCTGAAACTTCCACACTTGAATCGCATTTCACGTGGATGCATCCGTGCGCGAACATTCGCACGTTTTGCGCGCGGCTCTACAGCATTGGGGCAATCCGCACATTGTGGTCCCACTTCATATTGCGTCGATTGAGCTTACAAACAAGACAGCCCACAGTCGAAACGAAGTGGACACAAACCGTGGATGATGAGTAGTATCGATGGCATGGCAAACAGCGAGGCAAAGGCATCTTGAATAACTAGTTTTGTAAGCCGATGCAGGTGACGCCGTAGATGTGCAAGCGCGCGACTAAGCAATAAGTTTTCACAGGCTCATCACTTCCCTCCCTGCTTTGCTACCTAGTCAGAGCCCAGACAACATCTATGAGGCAGCGCTGGCTTGCCTAGTGCAAATGGGAGACATGTAGCTTTTGTGTGACATAAGAAAACACCTGCTTGTGGGAATAGCATTGAAGCACCATGCAACTATGCAGCCGCGAATGCCATATAATTTTGTGGCTAAAATAATAGCAGAGAATTGTCATAGCCAACAGGTGATGCGAGGGTCCGAGCAATGCCTGAAATTAATGACTCTGTGGGGCCAGGCTTGATTGCCAAGGGCCGGGCCACATATGATGAATGGAAATCTTTTGAAAGGAGACTCTTATCTGATGTGGAGTATACAGGTTAAAGATACTAGCTCAAGTGTTGAGTGTTGTTGTCAAGCGAGGATCTCGAGCGAGGCTGCCCAGGACTTGGAGTGTGCCAACTCAATGAGCTCTCGATAGCACGTTCAACGCCATTTCGAAGGCTGGCATCGACAAATTCGCGGGTACGAGCGTTCATGTCAGGCAGGACAGGACGCAAAGGCAACGAGTGGCCGGAGAGAAAGACGTTTTCAACCCACTGCATCGTACTGTAAAGGGCAAATCACTGAATCAACGATTCTCATAGTGATAACCCCCGACGAAATCCGTGAGCCTGCAAGTAAGTTAAAAGTACTTGAGGCCAAATGGCTCACATCTCGATATTGCCTCGGCTCTTCTGTGTGGTCACCGACACTCAACATTCCTCTTTTGGCACCTGCAGATAGTCTAGCTAATATTGGTATTGTATACGGCGATTGGTGTGGCCTATAGACAAACCCCTGATACGTTAACCGGATAACTAGGACACTGGAAAAGCGAAATTCCACCCCGGCCATCACAAGTATTATCATTATTCCGCAGTCACCTCCCTTATTGTACTTGGGGTTCTTTCACAGGAGAATGATCGCCTTCCCCGACTGCCTGCCCTTATAGATCTTTTCCAGAGGACACAACAGAGCTATAGAAACGTTTAGCAAGAATATCGCGGCAGCGACTGAAGACGTGAAGGGTTGTTATTATGTTGGAACTGCTTCAGTCAGCGAACAGCAACAGCTGTTGGGCACCAAAAATTTACCCAGCGCATAGAAACTGTATCCTTGTACTTGTCTAGTTTTTTCTATGATGAAATTGCAGATTTCACACTCGCCGCATTTTATTGTGAAAAGTTACCTCAGAAATGGGGGTTAGGGTCGCCGGTTCAACAACAGATCACCCATCCTCATCCCAAAGCAGAATATACCGGTAGTTGTCGACGGAAACCAAGGTAGCTGAGGGAGACAGTATATGACGAAGGCAGAGTTCAAGACTTTCATTACTTCGGGCGTCTTTCATACTCGACAAGACTCTGTGCCATTCAAGGAAGCGAACGATGAATTGCTGTGTGTCCTGCCGGAGGAGTTGATTCGGATGAATTAAACCCTGAGCTTCACTGAGCACGTGCCTGAGCCCGCGGACTGTGACACAGTTGTCGTCGAAAGAGGCAATATGAGCTGCCAAGCCGCATCCAAAGCTGCCTAGGGGTCCATCTGACCACCAACGTATCTCACCAGTAGCGTCTTTTATCCACATTGTTAGCATTTCGGGCTCGAGCTGGTCTGCCTCGCAGAACCGCGAAGGGAACAGCAGAAGCAATCAAGGAACTAGCCACTAGGGCGCACGCACTTCGAAGTTTGGGCAAGGCGAGTACGTCAGCTGCTCCAGCTGCGGCCAAGGGGCATGAGGACGCCTCTGCGTCCGCGAATGTCAAGGCGCCTGCTGCTACAGTCGAGGATGCTGAGGACTTGAGTTGGGCTGTTTCTAGCTTTCTTGCAGCACTTACCAATTGCGAAACGTACGGAGATACCAAATCGGGGTTATCAATCTTCTAAATCGAGCGGGAAAGACGTTCTCCTGCTGTGATCATATTCTGGTATAGCAGCAAGTGTGACAAGACCCAACCTCTAGGACTCATGGCCCTAAACCAGACCCCAGAATGGAAGGTTAGTTGTTGCTGCTGAAATTTGCTAGCTCATTTCTCCCCGCGCAGTAACAGCGCGTATTTGTGCTAACGAGAAGATGACATCTTGGACTTGGAAGGTACCACCAGGCTCTCAAATTTGTACCAAGCGGCAATTCGCAGGCAAGTGTACCTTTCTTACAACGACACTCGACCCAGTGCAGCCGATCAATCCTCTAGACCATCTATTTGCGAATGTGATGCACCCGAGGGACCGACGAGTTGCGCAGAGCGAGACGGCTCACATAGCTCTCTTTAAATGGACGTGGATGGCCATGTCGAAACAAAATTGAGCGCCGGATCGTCCTGTCGAATTTCATACACACAAAGCAAGGGCTGTCTGTCTGTTTATCTGTCTGTCTGTCTGTCTGTCTGTCTGTCTGTCTGTCTGTCTGTCTGTCTGTCTGTCTGTCTGTCTGTCTGTCTGT